AAAGTAAAGGTGCATTCCACTGATTTTTGTCATTTCTGAACCAAACTAATTTCCACCCCTCAATCAGGAACCTCAGAAGTAAAGTGCAAAACAGGGAAAACAACACAAAGCCAGCAGGTTACAGGTAAACAAAAACAAACATTTAGAGAAATATAGAAAACCAGACAAGCAACCACAGGAAAACCATGCAGGAAGCATACAGCGTCCTTCACAAATCAAACGTAGTTTATAAGGTTTTATAAGAGGAAGAAAACTGCACGTCAAGATGCTGTACAACTGTAATCAAACAGCAGACACACAGTGGCAAACGGAACCTAAGACAGACAGGAGAACGGCAAACGACAGATTCGGGAACACATCGGTGAATCGTCCTTTTTGCAGAAAGCCGTGCCAGAATCCCGCTCAGGACACCGTTACCCAGAGTTCCTGAGCCCCAGAGCCACAGCGCCTGTACGGCCTCACACATTGAGGAGCAGAAACATCTCCACGTGAGGGTTTCTCTGGACTTCTCGGGGTCAACAGGACATTTTTAAAGAGCCCTGAGAGGCGTTCTGACAGCAGGCAGAGCCACTTTAAGGTCAGACTGAGCGTTCACTGCCACAGGGACCACAGGGTTGACCGGGATCAGCTCGCTCAAACCAGCCTCGTCATCTCGTCACCTGCGGTCTTACATGTTTGTTTTTCTAGCTCTAAACTGGCTTCCCCTTTACTTTCCCCAGTGATTATATCTGTTATTTTTTAATCATAAAGACTTTGTTTGTATCGGTTCTGTTAAACTTTAAGATTTATATTTGTATTAAGGATTATTGCTGATTACCATTTAATGGTAATGTTGAATATTCTCCTCTCAGTTTCCCCATAGGGCCCCCCCCCCGGCTGGTAATCACAGCTATAAACTGATGGTGTGGCAGGAAGTGACATCAGAGGGTGTCGTTTGAGTCAGTCTGACCCGGCAGAGTCAACTCACGGCTACCCAAAACCCGATCCGTTCATCTTTGATTATCTGACCCGTTTCTACTTTGTTTGAGCGACGCGGCTCCACAGTGAAAGTTCCCCTCAACCAGCTCCTCGTTTCCAGCCTTGTTTCCCGATGCAGGTCCACACAGGGCCGAACTGGGCCAAAGCATACCAGACTGGGCCAAAGCATTATATTTGTAAAGGTTTCAGTCTTTCTCTTTCCACTTTTGACAGACGTAACAAAGAGGTCTTTGCTGAACCGGGGCTTGACTAAAGAATTTTGGGGGTTTTTTGGAGCTTGTCAGCTTGAGCCCGGCTGATCCTTTAGCCTTCTTCAACGCTTTGAAAAGAAATAACAATTATTATTGTATTATTAAATAACAAACTTTGGTTTCTGTGGTTCTGAAAAACCATTCAGACTCCTTTTTTCAGACTGTTCCACACATGTACTCATTACTTTCTGTGATGTCTCATTAAAAAGGTGTCACTTTTCTTCTGATTTAGATGTGTTTTAAAAGTTCCCCCCCTAATGGAACAGTACATGTGTATCAGGCTAAAGTTTTCAAATGGGGTTCGAATGCTGACTTTCTCCGAACCTCCCGGTAACGCTCGCACTGTCAGATAAAACGATCCCACTGGATCCTCGTTCCACCTGACTTGGGCTTTGCTGCTCCCCGGTTTACTTCACATCTTTGCTGCGTTTTCTGGCTTTGAAAAGTTTGGCCCAGAGGGTCCTGCAGACGGAAACAGCTGCTGCACAACCTGCGGTTTCATTCTGAACCCTTTACAAAACAAACAAAAAGCAGCATTTCACTCTCAGATCAGGATGATTGGTCTATGGTGTTAAGGGTTCATAATATAAATAATGAAAAGAGCGCGTTTAAGGATGAGTAAAGGAAGAGCAGCTACTTAGAAATCTGAACTTTACTTTAGACCGCAAAGTCTAACAATTCCCAATTCAAAACTCTGGAAAAGTCTATCATGTCAACCAGAGTCTAGATTAACATGGCCGAGTCAGGACCTAAAAAAAACACCTGAGCCGAGATCAGCTGGTCCCAAACAAGGGTCTGGGAGTGAGAGAGGCCCAATTTAAGCCTAAATCCAGACCAGTGAGACCCATGAACTGATCTAAAACACGAGGCCTTCATCCCTCATCGAGACAGTGAAATGTTGCTTTTGATCACATACCCGCTCCCTTCAGACCCTTCATTTACTGCAGCTTTAACATAAGCGTCTATTTTCTTCTTTTTTTTAATAAAAAAATGTACAGGTAAACTCCCTACCGAACACAACATACTTTAAACAAGGTTTATTACTGTGACCGACCGTTTTGCCATAAAAAATAGCAGAGTGCAAGCATAAAGCAGAGCGTCACATCACCCATAAATACCCATCGATATCCTGAATACAGTAAACTCACAACATACACAGACTCCATCTTTCAGCAGTGCAACCTTTGTCTCCGTTCTGTTTGGAAAGGGCTGAGGCTCAGAGCCAAGAGTCCGCCTCGCCAAACCGAAAACGGCCACGCTCGCTTTCCCACCGCGCCACGAGCACGATTGTAACAGTCCGACTCATCTAAGGGTCCCTAAAACTGACGTGAAGCCTTTGGAAGAAGAGAAACAGAGGAGCTCGCGGCCGCTTTTTCACCACCCGGATCTCAACTCTGGGATCAGGGGGCGGAAAAACGGCGGGATCGAGCCCCGCAGTGTTTAGCACCAACGATGAAGAAGAAGAGGTCCTCTCGGGGAGCGAGAGGCTGTTTGGCAGAGGTGAAGGACAGCGGTGGGTCAGAAATGTGACATCTGCAGGACCACAGAGGGTTAAACCCCTGTCAAAGCACATCAGCAAATACGTGGAAAAGTTCTTTCAGCCGTTTCGTATTAAAAAGTAAAAAAAGGGGAAAATACGTTCTAAATCAGTTCGTGGTAAAACTGTGTATTTGAAGTTATTCGATCTATAATCTAATACATTTGATAACCAGTTCTAACCTCCATTAAAAACTTTAGAGCAATAATGTCACCTAATTTAACATTCAAAGGAGATTAAATTGGGATTCTCACATATCAGAACTAAAAAGAGGCCTATGATATTAAGTACTTGCTGATTTGGTCTATGTTCAGGCAGCAACAGCATCTCTAATGGCTGTAGTAAACTTTCTGTAGCGGGGAACTACACCTTTTTCTAATTTCATAAGCAATTTGGAGCATGTAACTCAGATTGTGAAACTTAAAGCTGAGCTCAAGTGACTGTCTCGGACAAAATCTGGACCAAACAACGGTTTCAATCAGCTCCCAAATCAGCGACAGAAGTCAGAAACAATAATAATAATGATGTCACATTGCTGATCCACACTGAGCTGCAGTGAGCTTGGAAAGGTGGTCCGGCTCGTGCAAAGGGGGAACGGCAACGCAAGACGAGAACTAAGCCAGCTAGCGAGCTAAATGTGCAGTCCAACGCGGCTTTAGTGCAACAGAGGCCATTTCTGCGTAGAATACGACAAACTCATTATTTTTTACTGCATCTTTGTGTATTAGAGCTACATGGCAGGTGTCTCTGTGCTTTGCTCAAAGTGCCTGAGTTGAGGTGTGTACTTCAGCACCGGAGGACTGACTGAACTTAAACCGAAACAATTCCACTTGGCTCCTGCTGTTGCCGGGGCGACGCCTCAGGCCGCACACGGATGAGCGCGGCTGGTCGGCATGACAGCGAGCTCTGGAAACGCAGCTGTTTGAGGCCACGCTCTCCATCGGGACCACCAGGCTGCGAGTTTAGCCTTTGACCCTTTCCAGGACTTGCAGGACTAGGATTTCAAACACGTTTAAATCTGTTTTTTTCTTTCTTTTTTTGTCTTTGTGGTCAGCTGTAGAAAAACCACCTGTCAACATGACTCGGACAAATGTCTGCAGGTAATCTATACACACTTTCAGTCATTTTAGGCCTCGGAAAAGATTGCGCACAGTGTGAATTGACACTCAAAACATCACCAAAAGAAGGTGCAGCCATACACTACAAGTGATCTGGCATGTCCTAACCATGCTGTTTCATTAAGTGGCTTTAAGAGGCTTTAGCGAACCAGCTAGCTGGTCTAGAATTGATGCTCAACCCAGTAAGGGTTGGTTCTGGGAAGCTCTCTCCCTTTCAACTGGAAAAAGACTTGTTTCAGTGTTTTCCTACAACTAACCTGGAATAATTTGTTTAATTTTTAAATGACTTTCTTTAAAATCTCATTCTTTCTCAGACACACACAATCAGAGACTCGCACAAAACCAACAGATAGAAATACAAAGCTGTTTAAAACAGAGGAGAGCAGAGCCGAGCTTCGGTTCCTATCATTCGTAGAATCTTTTCCGCTTAGTTTTCTGGGAAGCAGCAGTTTTTTCTGGCAGTTCGGGCTCCAGGTTGAGTTTTCACCAGGAGGAGCTGAACCGAGGCTGGGCTCTGTCAAAGAGGTTGTTTTTCTTTTCTTTTTTTTTAGCACAGAGAACCTTCACAAGGCTCTGACCCGTAAGTACCAACTATATCTATCCACTGATTCAACAGGGAACATGTCTCCTTCCCCTCCTTCTCCTTTTCCAACTTCCCTTCCTCCTTTGCATGAATCAACTTTTTTTTGTTTTTCTCTTTTTTTTTACGAAGCAAAGCAGCAGACGATAAAACCTCAGCGCAGAACATTTGAGAGTCAGGATACAAGGAAAGGAGAAAGAAGGGAAGGAGGGACAGAAGGAAGAGAGGAAGGAGGACAGGGAGTGAGGGAAGAGGAGGGTTTTCTGGTTTCAACCACGAGGGACGCACAGACACATGCAGAATCCAAGGTTCAGTTTAGTGCGCCGAAGCTGACCAAAGGAAACAGCGTCGACGTTTTGGCTTCATTTATCCCGCTCAGCTGACTGGCTGGCTGCTGCCGCCAATCTGGGATTTCCACCAATAAGGAGAGGAAGAGGTAAGAGGGCGGGGCTTCTGAGCAGGTGAGGTAAAAGCTGTGCGAGGGAGGAGAGTAGAAAAAAACAAAAACAAACAACCAAATGGGTTGTCGGGGAGAGCTAATCTCCTCTGTCCGAGGGGCTGATCTCCATTCCTTCCTCCTCCAGCTTTACATCTATGCTGGGGGAGGCCGGGGGTGAGCAGGCGGAGGGAGCGGAGGTGGATGGAGGCGACAGGCTGACGTCAATCTCCACCGGCGTCAGTGTTATCTCCACCTCGCCCTGCTCCTCGTGCATCTTGGGCAGGGGGAGGGGGAGCGGGGGCGGTGGCGGGGGGTACGCGGCGGGAAGGGCCGCGGGGCTGCTGTTGTTGTTGTTCGGCCGCGGAGCTTTCTGGATCACCTCCACCTTGGGGGTCCGTCCCGCCGGCGCCAGCTCCAAGCCGGGGCCGCCGGCGCTCTGGAAGAGCAGCAGCGGCCGGCTCTGGCGGTCGGGGTCGGCGGCGCCGGCGGGGGGGCACTGCACCACCACGCCGCGGTGCTCCACCAGCTGGTGGACCGTGTCCGAAATGGTGGGCAGCTGGCTCAGGACCAGCCCCGGCTGGTCCTGGATCACCAGCTCCAGCACGGGCTGCGAGGAGGACGCCAGAGAGGAGGAGGCCTTCTGGATGACGCCGCCGGTCAGGGAGGTGATGACGGGCGGCTGCGAGGGGGGCGGCGGAGGGGGAGGCTGGGGAGGAGACGGGAGGGAGTCCTCCGGTCGGGGTTTTCTCGGTCGGCCCCGTTTCCGCTTCACCAGGGGGGCGTTGGCAGCCGAGCCGCCGGGCACGCCGAGCGCCCCGCCGCCGGAGCACGCGCCCTCCGGGGGCCGCTTGGGGGCGGGCCCGCGGACTTTCTGGACCACCGACGTGGGGGCGGCCGTGGCGTGCGGCTGCTGGGCAGGGAGGGGGGGCGGCGGGACAATCTTGTCCCTGTCGTAGGACAGGCAGCCCTGAGGCAGGATCATGAGCGGGACGCCCTGCTGCTGCGGCAGCGCCGCCATGGCGATCACCTTCACCCCGCCGCTGCTGGCGGCGGCGGCGGCGGCAGCAGCGGCGGCGGGGCCTCCGTGACCGGACGCGCCCCCGACACCCGATGCGTCTTTGGGAGCCAGCGAGGGTGGAGAGGAGCGGACGGAGAGCGTCTTATCGGGGATGGAGCTGCGCGGGAGGATTCTGGGCAACTGCTTCATGAGCGCCTGCATCTGCAGCAAAGTCAGAGGTTTGTGTCAGTTACTCATCTGTCCGCGGGAGGGAAAATTCTTTCCAACCCCGCTATTTCTGAACTCTAGTTTAATTCAAGTCGACTCACCGCTGGACGCAGAGACGAGGAAGAGGTGGAGGAAGGAGGGGGAGGGGCGTCTGCTGAAGAGGGTTTGGTTCCTGAAGCTGATTTGTCTCCAGGTATGAGCTTCATTAAGGAGGGGTCACCTGATTCCTTCTGCAGACAGACGGGAGGCAGTGAGCAGCGACTAAAGGCATCGGGGAGATTTACGACTGAGCGGCAACAAACCTTCGAATCCGCAGCTCCGTCGCCGTCAGCTTTAGAGATCACAGGAGCCTTCTTAATGACTTTGTGGGTTTTAGCCGGGCCTCCTGCAGACACACAGCAACGGCTGAGCAGCTTCTCAGACAAAGTTATTCAGCTGCAAATTTAACAATGTCTAAATGTATCCATGTTCAATTTTTTTTTTGGTTCCCTGGAACCATTATCAAACCCAGAGGTTTCATTCCCAAAACAGCCGATTTTCTAAGTTTATTATGTTATGTTTAATTTAGTCTTATCTAAAATGAAAAAACACACAGAGCTCCGTACCTGCGAGCGCCGCGGAGGTCACCAGCTCCGCCTGGCTGCAGCGGGGGTTCACAATGTGCTCCTGGATCAGGTAGCGAGCGATCTCCACCACCGTGTCGAAGGAGCGCTTCAGGATCTTCTGCGCCCAGTCGCAGATCAGCTCACACGCTGCCTCGGTCACCTCCTGTTTGTAGGTCTGGACCAGCTCTGTGAGCTCCGACTGGAAACAAAGATGAGTGAGCTCCAGCTCATTTAAACCCACAGCGTCAAACTACCTGTGGCTGCACACTTCGAAACACGTTGACATACTTCACAGTCCAACAGAAGGGAGCAAAATCAGCTTCCACTCCGACCTCAGAAGTAACAAATAAAAGCCTAATTTTCTTATCTCTAAGAATATTTAAAGGCTTGGTTACAGCTTCACAAAGTTTTTTCCAACAAAACTAAACTGATTGTATAATCTTTGTTAAACAAGTAAAGTGATAATACAGTGCAGGCAGTGATGGTTTAAAGTGGACGTGTACTGGAGTTGGCGTGTAAGTACCGGGTCGTTCTTCAGGTCCAGGTTGGGCAGCAGCGGCATGTTGAGAACCGTCTTCCTCCTGATGCCGCTGTAACAGTACGTATCAGCCCAGCAGGTTAAGGAGTTCAACCGGCAGTCCTCACAGTCTGATCTAAACTAGTAACTTCACCTGTTTTATAACTGGGCAGAAAAGACAACTGCATCCAACCAAAATAATCTCAACAAATATATGTATACACACACACACACGGGTACAGAGGCAGACAAAGACTAAAACTGTAGCAGATCAATCGGTCTGTTTGCCTCTCCTGAAGGGAAAGGATATTTGGACTGTCCTCTGCCCCCTAGCCGTCTGGCTTTGATGTTGGGGAAAATGTCTCTAATAATCTTCCCAAAATTGGCGGCGCTCAGGGGACGATGCTGCAGGTTCTCGCAGTATCTCCTGCAGAAACAGGGGCCAATCAGTTCAAAACCCCAAACAGAATAACTGGCAGACAGACCTTTATTTCTACCCTGATTTAACTGTATTTGTTTTTATCTGATCCGTATATGCTTTTACGTCATTTTAATCTGACCGTCTTTATTTCATTCAAAAGAGTGTGAAGATTGTGAGTTTCCTCACTTGTAAGTCTCATAGACGTCCTGTTTGGGCAGGCAGGTGTCTGAATGCTCCTCCAGGTGACTGCGGATCCAGTTGCAAGTGTGAAGCTGGTCGGCTGTGTTGAAGGAACTGGAGTCGCTGCTACAGTGTAATAACATAAAGACACCATAAACATTTGTCCCTGTCCAAATGCACTTCCTCATGTCAAAGAAAGGTTAAAGTGGAGTTAGTGGGAGAAGCTTTAAGATAGCTCAGACTGGCAAATGCTGCTGGGCAAACAGGGAATGGTATTCAAACATCTAACAAGCTGAATAAATATGTTATTTTCATCAGAAATAACAATGACACAGTAAAACATTGGGTCTGTAGTAAAAGTGTTACCCATTAAAAAAACTCTGACCTTTTGTCCCCAGAACTGGGTCCAGAGGGGAGCTGGAGGTACAGGTACAGCTTGTCATTGTCTGAGAAACGCTGGACGTCTTGCTGTAGAAGCAGAACAGATCAAGTCAAACTCCAATAAAAACCCCACAGATGTCAAAGTTTTTATTCAGTAAGATTTTGGTCAAGGTCTCATTCTTACCAGGATCTGATCCACTTTGGTCTGAACATTCTTACTGCAAAACAGAGAGTGCATCACTTCACTTAAACATGATCGGCACAACATTTTAGAAATTTAAAAAATATCTTTTCAGACAGAGAGGCGCCAAAACATCACGGCAAGAGGAAAAGACAATTTTAGCGTCTAGTTTCCAGAAAGCTTGAGGCTCTGGTTTTTACTGAGACTTACGAGATGTTGCTTTTGAGTTTCTGGAGCAGCATGCTGGGTTCGGTGTCGCCCTCTCCTGCCTCCAGACCGCCCTCCCCTCGCTGGGAGGCTTCGGCCCCCGGGTGGCACTGGTCCTCCGACATCTGGACCGACTAACCAGTGCTGATCACCACCATCTAGGGACACACAAGCAGAAACACTCCATAAAAACACCTTAATGGGAACATTTTAAAACGGCAGAAGTAATTTCTATGTAAAAAAAAAAAAAAAACTTTTTGGGGTGTTTTTATTATTCTAATCCAGTATCACTGAAGGCAGAACAATAAAGAAACAAGAGCTATTCATAATATAGTCAATTGAAACTACATCTAAAAGAAAATCAGTGTTGACCACATGGTAAGATTGAACACCACTGTCATAACAAAGTCAAATAGGAAGAAAGAAATCCCCAAAAATGCAGAACACACCATGCAGCATTAACTTTGTGGTGTAAGGCTGTAAACTACCTACTTAAACAGCTGTATACATACACTGTCACTTACAGGGCCGTTTTGGCTCTAGGAAAGTGAACATGCTTGAAAAAAATTAAAAGTCAGAATATAAACAAATATATTTAATTTCTTTAACATTCTGAATGGTTTCAAGATAACAAGTCAAGTCATTTTTAAGTGATGAGTGATCTTGTGAACAATCCAGACCAAAATGTTTGCCTTATAGGGCTGGAATAACCAGAAAGTCCATAAAATCATACAAAACTATGGAGCCCTATATCATCCACGAACAAATAAACACAGAAACAACAGCCGTGCCCTTAATGACCATAAAGAGAAACACTACTAATATGAATGGGCGGGCCTTTTCACGTCTCAAGTTCCCAGGGGATTTTTATTTAACCACCTGTTCATTCCCTTCTTCCTCAAAACCTTGATTAAAACTAACAATAAACTCTGAAATAAGCGTCTGAATTATTATAACAGTTTACTAAACGGTATCTGAGACTCAAATGTAGTAACAGGCGCGAGTTTCGCGCTTCGCTGAAAACAAAGACGGCGAGGCTTCTGTTTTCACCCAAAGCTTCGGATCTCTGCGGCTAAACCGGAGCGGTTTGATCCATTCATCGTATCTCGATATGTTCTCGCTTTCAGCTCGGAATCGGACGCGGTTCCGCCGGCAGCTGTTGAATGAGGCCTGCGGGCTGCCGCGTAGAAACACATGTCAGCTGCTGTCACAGCGACCGTTAAACGTTAACTTCCACAAGCGGAGCCGGACGCACGTTTTTAGAGAAGCCCCAAACAACCGGCCGCCGGCCACACAGCCCCGCGACACGCCCGCTAACGCTAGCTGGAAATGCTTGTGTGCCGGCAGGGCTCCCATGTCAGGTCTGACTGCCGTGTTTACAGCGGGCGTCGCGCCGACGGTCATGTGCCTGCCATTTACTACACGACACACACACAGACACACTGACCCAGCTCAACATGTTACTACCGAGCTAGCTGGCTAGCGGACAACACCGACGCCCTTCACCCATTAGCTGAATTGAAATCGACTCGATCCTAACAACGCCGGAAAACTACATAACACGAAACGAGTTTTATGTGTACGATAGTGATAATAACACGGTTGTTGTTATTTTGTTTGGCTATCTTGAAGATGACAGAAACCGATAGAGGCTAGATAGCCGTAGCTAGATATAGCCATGCTATATCGGAGAGCATTAGCTAGCAAGCGTTGAAAGATCTCATAAACAGATTTTTACGCACTATTTTCAATTCCAAAATATTTTAAGACAATAGTCAAGTCTATGTCCTTTTAATATATGGTCTGACAAGTTACTCATATTTCAATATTTATTTTAAAAAAGAAAAAGAAAGTACCTGAGCCAAGATACAGCAAAAATCCCCTTTCAGATTTTTTTGTGATTGGACAACTTTGTTATGTCTGCCTGACTACAAAGCCAACGTCTATTCCAATTGGTCAACTGTATAACATCTACTTGGATACCCAAAGTTGGTGAATTTCTATTCGTGGAATTGAATTATTTTTTTGACAGAGGTTATTTTGATTGGACGACGTTTTCTGGTCTGCCCAGTTACAAAACAGATGAAGTTATTTAGCAAAACCTGCCTAGCAACTGCCGTGCCTTACTATGAGGGTACTGACAAGTGTGCATATTATCGGCTAGTACACTAACACAGTAACACTAACACTTGCACTTGCAATTTATTTGCACAATCTGCAAATAAATTGCGGAATAAACAAACATGCATTTAAATTTGAAAGGCCTGCAATATTATTTGTTCTAACGCTGCACTAAGGATAGAAATTTATATCCATTTATCTTTCCCTGCTATTGGGCTCGTGTGAGCTTGGACATGCAATATCTTGTTAAGGCAATATGTGGCAAGATACCAATACGGAATATATATATATATATTTTTTTATTCACATAAATGCAGTCTTCATCATGCAAATTCCTTTAAATATACGCATCTCTGTGTATACAAGTTGGGATAGACCTCAGCCCCTCTGCAACTCAACTAGGAAAAACGGTTAAAGATAATGGCTGTGCTTTCATAATTCTGCATTGTTGCTGCTAAAAAACTGTAATTTTCCACTGAAGGACTTAAAGGATCATTCAATCCTTTTTTTTATTATATAACCAAATATTTTAACAAAATTGTTGACAAATCACTCATTAGAAGAATTACATAACAGAAAGTTGTGTGAAGATAAGACATAGCTTTTTAAATACAAAAAAGACAGGAATGCAGCATGGTGGTGTTGCCTCACAGCACGACGGTTCTGGGTTCAAGGCGCTGGGGGAAGCAGGACCTTTTCTGTGTAGAGTTTGCATGTTCTTCCTGTGTCTGCATGGGTTCTCTGGCTTTCTCCCACCGTCCAAAAACCTGCATGTTAGGTTTACTGGACATTGCCCTTTGGAGTGAGTGTGTGTGGTTGTTCGTCTTTGTGTGTCTCTGTGTGGCCCTGCGACGGACTGGCGGACCATCCAGGGTGTACCCCGCCTCTCACCCATTGACTGCTGGGATAGGCTCCAGTCCCCCCGTTACCCCATTTGGGAAAAAGCGGTTCAGAAAATGGATGGATAGAAGACGCAAGAATGTTTCATTTATCACATTTATTTTCTGTTATACAAAAGTGACAATAAGCGGAACAAAAATTAAATCAGTACAGATTGCATGTGGGTAAATGTTTCTGATGCAGGAAGAAAATGCTTGCAGTTCACTCAAACCCCCTTCAAAGAAACAGAAAAAAGAGAGGTCAGTGCTGGAATGTCAATAATGGTAGTGTGCAACACAGATACTTTTCTTACTGTTTAATGTATATGTTTATTAACACGTATATTACTGAGCTGCAAGACTATTAATGTTCGTTTCAATTCAATAAAGTTACCCTATGCACATTTGGTATATCATACAACCTGTAATTCCTACATTGAAGTTAGGCTAAATTTATATTAAATGCTTTCATAACAAAAAAACACCCTACCTGACCATGTGGGCAATGTCCCAGTTGGTTTCAGATGACAGTGGGCCAATGATCTCCACACCTTCCTCTGTTACTATGGCAATTTCATGCTGAAATGAAAACATCCCAAAATTCATGAAACACATAAGACACCACTAAACAGAGATGACCAGGGCAGTATTCTTTTGCTTTGTTAACTTACCTTGTTGTAGGAGCGAGCATCTCTGTAGTACAGTACTTTGAGGCAGCGCTCCACCAAGTCACGAGCTTCCTGTTTTGTGATCTCCACCTTATTCTCCAACACCTCCCTCATCAGAGGCTGAAAACACACACACAGTTAGTGGAATTCACTCAGCCTCTTTTCGTTCTTGTAAAGAACGTCGAGCAGAAAATCCTTTCCTCACTAATAGTAATAATAATTACGATGATTAATAATAAGAATGGAAAATAACACTAACACCTTAAATTAACACCTTAGATTAAACTCACCTGAGCCAGGTATGCTCCAAAACCAGTGGCCACCGTTGGAGCTTCATACGCTACACCCAGTTTGTCCACATAACCTAGGAAGCTAAAGATGGGGAAAAGATAGAGATGCCAATAGTTTATTAAACCTCTACACAGCCATTTTGTTCTAAATTAAGGAATTTTCAGCTAAACTGGACTAAAAAACTGTCTGGAATCAGAGTTATGTTCATCTCTGTAGGCTTCAAGTGTGAAGTTTCCCATCAAATATTACATGACAAATGGAAATATCAGTTTCTCAAGTGATAAAGTGATGACACAAGAAGTATTTATATATAGTTAAAAGTATGGAAAATAAAAGGTAACATATTTAAGATAAATAGAAATACACTTTGAAACCAATGTGGACAAAAGAATACTTTTTTTCATATAATTAATTATAATTATTATATTTATTCAAACACAATTGAAAGATTAATTCTTTCAATTATCCTTCTTTTAAAGTAAATAGAAAACCAGTCATCTGTCAAATAATGTCTTTAGAGTTGCTATCAGTGACCTAAAGAAATATAACTTCATGCAAATACAAAAAAAATCTGTAACTATTGTTAAACATTTTAGTATGTTCTCGAGCTAAATCTGAATGGAGTAAGGTAAAAACAATATAATAGAATGCAGATTCCTTTTGTCCAAGAGAGTAGGAAGTCTCACCTCTCCCCGTTGTAAAAACCTCCGATGACCACAGTGTTCCACAGGGGGTTCATCTTGCTGCGGCGGTTGTACATCACCCTGGTCAGCCAGGAGTGGACGGCCTTTGGACTGTAGCTGTGACCGTCTCCCAGAAGCTCCTCGTCGATCCTGAGAGATGATTCTCAAAGTTTAAAGACTGCTGTTCTACAACGGAAGCGGGCTGTGCTGTATACTGATCAAATGCTTACACCATCTGCTCGATGACCTGTTTGAGGTACTGGTAGTCAGCGTAGTCGCCGGAGGCCCCGAGGATAGTGTTGCTGTTTACCTGCAGAACAAACACAGACTTAGCAGGTTTTCACTCAGCTACATACCAGTTGGTTTTCTTGTCGATTACGACCATCACCTTCATGAGGCGGGAGATGTTTCTGAACCGAGCCAGAGAGCCGTACGAGCCCAACATGTCAGCTGCGATGACAACGCCGCCAGTGAACTTCACACCAAGCACCGATGTGCCAGTCACCATCGGGTTACTGTGGAGAGGAAGGAGCACCAGGAACAGTGGCAATAAGTAAAGAGTAAGTTTGGGTAAAACCTGTTCCTAATTAAACTTTCAAATTAGTATTAAATTTCAGACAATTTGCCCTAAAAAGTGTTTCATGATGCCTAAACACATTTTAAAAAAACTGCATTATCAGTTTGCAGAATCATCATTTATATGGTATGAAGTCAATTTTCTCTGAAAGGAAAAAAACCCTTATTCAAGACAACGTAGACTTTAGGATGTCTTATCAATTAGTAAGATTATTTTAAAGAAAGCTGTATATGTGTGTCTTCGAGATGGATTAGAGATTTAGAATTTTACGTTAAATTGCTCCCATAACTAAAATCTCTCTTTTTTTTTTTTTTTTAAAGATTAAGGTTATATATAATTACAAGTTTTTAATAGTTTGATCTTAAATTGTTTCATCATTTCTAAATCACATATGACTTTTGGGGTCTGTAAACAAACAAAAAAAACGACTATATTTAGTGAATGCTGGGGGCTAAAATCAAACATAATACTATATCGATTGTGGTGAGAAGGTGAATATCCTTTGCCAAAGTTTATTTATTAGGATAAAACACACTCCTCAGTCCGAAAAAAATGGTACTTGATGTAAACCGGCAGTTAGCTTAGCATCAGTTAGCAGCCGTTTCTCCATGATGATACAGCACTGGTGCCGAGTTCAAACCGAAACTGATAGACTTGTTTGTCTGAAATCCACGCTGAACAGCTCCAGGTCTTTTGAGGGGATTACTCACAGTGTGTGTTTGACCGGTCCACATGAAGTACCGGGCCCGCTGCTGCCAGAGAGAGAGTAAAACTCTCCGGGCTTTGGTCCATTCTCCCAGAAATTGAGCTTCAATCCGCTGGACTCCATGTTGAATATACAGGAAGTGACGACACACCGTCTTCTTGTCAGGAGTCCGTCTGATGTCACGAACGGCAACTTTACTGCCCCCTGCTGGTTGGAACAATTACTGCGTGAAGATGGTTAAACAACGCTGAGAGATCAAGACTTCCAATATCTAAATTATTTTGAAGTATCTAAATATAACATTATGATCACACTATAAAGAATAAAATATGTGAAATAAAGCATTTTTATGAGCTGCATAGTTGTGTGTTGGGTCCTAGGGTTTTTTTTCTGTGTGATGTTTAGCTTTCTTCCACAATCCTGTCGTTGTGGGAGGCTTATCCAGGTTTTCTTTTTTAGCAATGGGATCATAAACTTCCTAATTGTCCTCCACACAAACTGTTTTTACAGTTTTATTTTGTGAATAACTAAGTGTGCGTTAATAGCAGTTCAGTGGATCCATTGAGATGTGACTTTCACATTGAAGTAGCAGCAGGAATGTGAAACTTCAAGTTGACTAGCCTTAACTGAAAATATCTAGGTTCCACATATCACTTTATATCACCCATTTTTAGCCTTTGCACTATGTGTTCATGTTGCACTTTTCTTACACTTTGGCCATTTCAAGGCCAATGTGGGGCAATTAAAAGCTATGAGTACATTCTGACATTGTAGCCTCTTTAAGGAAACAATCATAACTTGAAAGTAAATGTTGAAAAGTGTTCTTAAATGTTGGCTATTGAGGTTAAACTGCACAAATACGTTTGTATTTCTATATTTACTAACAATCTGTAATTCATATTTAATAACTGCACAATAAACTGGAACAACTGCATCTGACTCAAACAATTTAATTGAATTAATGTGATTACTAGAATATCTAAGTAATTTAGGCATTTCTTTGTAAAATATATAATTTCAGTTGCAATTGCAAAATTGTTATACATGACTTTTCACATACAAAACACTTTATCAGATAGAATAAGCAGATTTACCTGACCTATATATTTTTTTTGCCAGGTTTGCTTTGCGATCAGGAACTATTTTGTCAAGAAAACTACCATTTCAGTCAGTCCAAACCCTCAAAACCCCCAAAAATCTGCAACCCAAAAACTTGCTCCATCTGAACCGTGTCATTCCCAGGCGGGCACGCTCAGCAGGTAGCAACACGCGCGCGACAGTTTACACCCCGGCACGCCTGCTTGAACAGTCACGGTTGCCACAGCAACGAGGCGGCACCTTCGCTGCCGCAACGCACCACACCTCTGTCGTCCCGTTGGCTAAACGTGCACCCGGACGGTCAGGTGGTGGTGGTGGTGGGGGGGGGGGGGGGCTGTGAGAGTGTCAGAGGTCGATCATAAAGTCATTTTAAAAAATTGGTTGTGATGTCACCAGCTGAGTCAGCAGCTGAGCTCCGGGTTCCGCGGTGATCTGGGCAGGCCGTCCCGAACCCGCCTCACCTGTCCCTCTCCTCACCTGGCTGGCAGTCGACGGGCCGAGGGAGCAGAACCGCTGTAAGTCCCTCCGCGTTGTTCCTCTTCACTCTTATTCTGTCATGTTCATCGAACTTTCTCCTTCCTCTGGCCGTAAAAGTCAGATAAGAGCTGAGTGAGAAGCGACTTAAGGCAAAAAAAGTGTCCGGACAGGCTTTTGTTTTCCTGCTTTTGTTCCGGTGATTTTCCTGCTGGTGCGTCTCAACCTGTTGACTCAACAGGTTCGGTGTGTTTTAGTTTGTCTTGTTTCAGCATGAAAGGAAATGTTGCTTTAGAAATACTGTTGTCAACGTACAATAGAAAAAAAGTACTATTCCATTGAACGACTTAACAGCTTTGTTCTACAGTGGGCTATGCACTTTGTGCACCTGATTCCAAGAATTGTTCTCAAAGACTGCTATCTCTTGGACATTATTTCCAGATTATTAGCTGTCTGCATGACACTATAGAAAAAACTAAACAACTGTTTCAGTCCCACTACAATGAGATATTTATGTAAAATATATGTAAACTCATCAGTCTGACCAAAACTGACATGCACACTGATGATGTATTTGGTTACTGAATCACTCCTGCACATTTACGCTTATCTATGGCTAAATGAGCTGTGGATCTCCCCAAATCTTAAGCGTACATAGCCTAAGTGAATTCCTTATAAAGCTGCAAACATTCACCTATTTTTTTGTCAGACAACTCAACATCCACAACGTTATGACCGAGAATGAAAATACAAAGCTCATACCAAATAATCCTACAATGGTACATGACTGGAGTATACATTATTATTATTGATATGTTGCCATTATTGATAGACACGGAGGGTAATAAAGGTGAGGTAGGGCGATTTTGTCAACTAACCACTCCTGTGAACAATTATGTCAGACTGCAGTGATTTTGGTTCGATCCAATCTCAACCTATAATGAATATGGAGTCCAGAGAGGAAGAACAAGAGGAAGAAATATACAGGTAAGAGCACATACCTTTTCATTTGGGCCATAAGGAATATTTTTTAACACTCTGAAACGTATGTTTGAATATTCATATAGAAAAAGAAGACGTTTAAAAAGGATATCTTTTCCTCTGATTTAGAGTGATCTGTTTCATAAATATGGGCTGTTAATTTAAATAAACTGCAGAGAGTCTGGACATTTCTTAGTTCATCCTAAAAACTCAAATCAGAATAAAAGCTTGCTTTGTTCAATATGTTTCATTTATTTGTTTCTTTATAAATATTGAAGCATGAAAATAAATATATTTTTCCAAACCATCTTTTACTTGTGTTTTTTTTTTTTGTAGACCATCTATGGAAGAAAAAAACACAGAAACCACCAACAGTATAACTGCTGCAGGCAGTAGTTCAGCAACAGCCGAGTCTTTGGCTGAACCAGGGGACAATTTATCAGGTATTTGGAGTTTTGTTGGACGCTGGAAGTCAATCATGATACACAAGCTCATTAAAGTACTACATAACATATTTTGCTTTTAGACTAATGATATGCTTTTTCAAACATGGAAAAAATGTGTATGTTTTAAAAGTAAAAAAAAAACAAGCAAACATTTGGTAGAACAGGCTGGGGAATTTAAGCTAAGTTTCCAGACGGAAACTTCAACCTGCAGCTTATTTCCAAATATTTTGCCCACAGGATGTGAGAAAACAGAACCAGACAGAGTTTCCATTTCAGTTACAGACGCTGACTCAGCAGGTAAGAAGACCCTCTGTGTGTCATAGTCTCAGGTGAGTCTTTTCTGTGAGTCTGCCGTTTACTGTCAGATCTTTTTGTTTTCAAGAGGAGGAGTTGGAGCTCGCATACAGGGAGGAGGCATCTGCTGCAAATGAAGAAGGGGAGGAAGAGGATGAGCGGGGTGAGGAAGACTCAATAACAGAAACACGTTTGGTGATATTCAGCATGTCTCTTTGTCAGCACGTCAAACGGGGGCATGATTTTCAGCCTGATAAGAAACTTCCCTCTTCTCCTTCTTCTTCCTCAGTTCCTTCTCTGACTTCCTGTTTTCCTCTTGTCCAACAGAGGCTGTTGAATCTGAGGAGGCCGAGTCTGAGCAGAAATCATCGACACCGAGCAGAGACAGGCCAGGTACACACGTTTCTGTGCAGTTTTGTGTGTTTTTGTTAAACGAGGAACAGTTGATACTGAGGAGCTGATCAACAGAAACGTGATATGATCATCTTTTTATACACGTCTTTCCTTTTTTTCTGCAGCTCCTCCCAGCAGTCTCCCTTTATCAGGTCCACGACCCATGAAGAAGAAAGTCTTGGTGGCTCCAACTCTCAGTCTGTCGTTAGGTAACAGGGAATGGCCGTTTTTGGTATTATTTGAACAAAGATTTTGCAACCGTTCACATTTCATAAGTTCACATTTTGATTTCGACATATAATTGCTTCATGTGCTTTGATTTAGTTCAGGGAAGTGTCTCTGGCACCACTGAAACGTTGTGTTTAAAGTTACCACAGGGTTTCAACTACTTAATTATCATAACTACTTAATCCAGAGGATAGGTGGGTCCCTACTGGATGGAACCGGGAGGGGCAGCTACTGATCAGCTAATGGATGCTGCCGTTTTCCAGCCGACATTTTCAGATGATTATTGTGTCTTCATCAGGTGGCAGCGAGTCAATCGTGTCTGATGACTTAACCGCAGCCTTTATCTCCCCCTCCCCTGAAAATGATGATGACACTGGGCTCGACATAGACTTGGACGCCATGGAGACGCCTTCTGACAGTGAATCACTGCATTTCCCCACGTACGATCTGAACCTGGAAGGTGAAATATCTTTTTTTTTAGTTCTTCCTGTGTGCCAGCGCCTGTGTTGCTGTGACGGCTTGTTTATCGTGTCCTGCTCTGTAGACGACCTGCGCCGCCTCGGCGTGGCGTCCCACCGCCGCAGAGCGTCCAGCTCCAGGTCCAGGTCAGATTCCCACACCAGCTCCTTACGAGGGATCGATCAGAGCGGACTGGAGAGGGAGGATGTGGTGGATGGCCAGGGCACCAGATGGCGCTCCTTCTCCATCGGTGACCAGCCGCAGGAGGGCCGGGTCAACATGAGCGTCCTGGAGCCGTTTCTCAGGGTGCTGTCGCATGGAGGTATAGGGCCAGCCGGCCTCATGCTGATTTACCCGGTTAGGCATCACCTAAAACCGCTGTTTCATCACTCAGGCTACTACGAAGACAGCACCAACGACATCATTGTGTTTTCCTCTTGTTACCTGCCGGAGAACAGTTTGGAGAATTACCAGTACGTGATGGATAACCTGTTCAGGTAAAAGATGTGCACTCATTATTAAGGCGGTCCTTGCTGGGACCAGCCCCAGATGTTCAGTCCTCCTTTTGGAGGCTTTGGAGGCCTTTTAGGTGGGTAGGAATAAAAACTACATTGGTAAAAGATAACAGGCCCCTCAACTCAACAAAAAGAAGGATAGGGAGTGGGAGTAGGACTGTATTGGTTTGATCTACTGCTAGGTGCTTATCTAGAAACATTAAGCCCTGGACACACCAGAACATCACCAGTTACTTCCAGCTGACTCCAGCACTGTGAAGACGACCTGCTGATGGTCACATTTTTTAAAAACCGATAAATCGCTTAATCCACTCAAAGAGGGTTCTTTTTCACTTCTTTACGTCCATCCTTCAGGTTTGTGGTCGGCACTTTGGAACTGATGGTGGCAGAGAACTATGTGATCGTTTATTTCTGTGCTGGATGCCAGAAGGACAAACTGCCGGGCATCGGCTGGCTCAAAGAGTGTTACACTACCATCGATCGGAGGTAAGAAAACTCCAGGTAAAAGCTGAAATTAACGCGAAAAACTGTCTAATGTTAGTGTTTTGAGGTCAGAAATTCTTAAGATGCTTTAGTTATTTTCTGTCTTTGTCGTTTCGGTGTCAGTCCAGCAGAGAGCACCACTTCCTCACAATGAAAATCAGCTTTTTAAGAAAAGCCAAGCAGCACTGGAGCCTCACTGCCCATTGCAGCATCAGGAGACGTCAGATTCCATTATGGTTTTGTTCTTAGTAATCAGGATTTTTACTGTAGTTTGTGCTTAATGAAGGGAAAAGTGATGTACTCAATCAACACCACTGAGGCCAAGTTTAATTTAACTTATTTTATCATTCTACTTAGAATTATACCTTTTCACACATTTTTACCTTCCTGTGTGTGTGAGCTTTGAGTTTAGATCTTTTGAAAGCTGTTATATATTTAAAAAAATGTGGATCGCCAAAATTTGATATTTACAGTTAGGACAAAATGAAAAGAGAATTTACGGTTTTGTCTTTGCTCATTTGCTTGCCTGCAGGCTGAGGAAGAACCTGAAGGGCTTCTACGTGGTCCATCCCACCTGGTACATCAAAGCTCTCATTACCATCATCAAACCCTTCATCAGGTCTGCCGTCTCCTCTTAGCCACTCTTTCTTTGTTCCTGAGAGGACGCCGAAAAGAAAACTGACAGCGCTTTTCCTCCTCCTCAGTTCTAAATTCAGCAGGAAGCTGCAGTTTGTCGACAGCCTTCAACAGCTTTCCCACTTCATCCCCACTGAGCATGTGCAGATCCCAGACAGCGTCAGAGAGTGAGCCACATTCATTAAAATGAAGACTTTAGTCATTTGGTTGTATATACTCATCTATAAAGAGCCTGTGATTAATCAGAAAAAAACAATAAAAAATAAAATAAAGAAAACATTTCGGAAGATAAAATGTTTTTCAGATCCAAAATTTCCAAAAAGTCTTAATGATGTCTCTAATTTTCCTGCAGGTATGACCAGAGCTTGTCCAGGTGATGCTTCAGAGACTATTCCTCCCAATCATTTTTACATTAACAGCTGCCAGAGCGGCCATCCAGCAACTGGAGGGGGCCAGCGTCTTCTTCTGGGAAACCTTTCATCAGTGTTGATTTGCAAAACCTGGCAGTATAAAAGGGTGGATCTCTGCTCCATTTGGTGTTTAAAAGCGGGGTCTTGTTACATGAGTTTATCCTCATTCATGGATCATCTTGAAACGGTGTTGACGATTTTGGTCCCAGACATTCAAAATTAAAAAGACAAAATAGATTAACCTGCAATTTGCTTTTAGAAAAATAGAGCTTCACTTATTTTAATATTTTATTTTAATTCAACTCATTAGTCAATTTCTTAAAGTCTGAGCCAAACGTTTTTAGCAGGGATGTGGTTCTTCCTCAGGATTTAACTTAAAACACCATGGACTAAAGCCATTCTCACAGACTCAATTTCAGAGCCACCAAGGTCCAAACTATTTCTTTATTTTTTAACGAACAAATCATCATAGTAATCTTCTTCATAAGTCACACTGCCAGTGATCAGGTCACACAGAGACCTAAACGCATCTCCTGTTATGACAGTTGATCTTTCTGTTTACGTTTTAGCTTAAAGAGGACTTGGATTCTTTGAACAGTCAAATTGCAACGACATTCCACCCTTTTTATTCAACAGCAAACTGGAGAAAGTTTTAAAGAACTTCCCCAGCTCTGTTCAGTCCTTCCAGGGCCGGTGCTGAACAACTTGTGCTGCTGGTAACAAAAATCATACTTGTTGAGTTTTTGGATGTTTAAAATCATTGCTAAAGTTGTTGTTTAATGACTTACTTTTCCTAGCTTTGCTTGATAATTCTTTCAACGTAGATGATCCAAACGCACAAAACTCTTGACACTTTATCCAGACTGTACCCTGCTGCCACTTTATCAATTAAAATTCCACCAGGACAAATAATCCTATTCATCTTAATAATCATAACTATTAGAACCTTAATGGGTAAAAATGTGCTAAACCATCTAAGAGTACCTTCTTTTGGTGGCCATTAAATTACTCTGAAATGAAACGAACAAAAAAGGGACCAAGAAAACACCAGCTCTTTGTACGGATAACTGTGGCTGTATTCCTGTTGCTTAGGGGGAAGAAAGGATTCTTAGCAAAGTTGCTAAATTAATCTTACTAAGATGTCCTAAAAGATTTACTATTGTTTATTTTATTTCTGGACTTGTTTAAAGAGTGCATCCTGTTAGATTTCTTGTGAATGATGATGAGTAACATTACAAAATGATACTGTTTTACTTCCTATGGTGATTTGATAAATGAATGCTTATTGGATATCTTGTGCATTGGCATCTCTGCTTCGTATTAATGTTTCTCTAAAGTGTTTCATAGATTTTACTTCTTTAAATATGATTTTCTTGTTGTAACAGGAATATTAAATTCTGTCTCTTTATGATACGTTTGTCAAAGAAACATATCATAAAGAGTTAAGTTTTGGGTTGGATCAGCAGTTCCTAGTTCTTATGTGATCAGCAGGTTCATCCAGCTGTGACTGTGGCTCACTGTGAGCCGTTAGGTCGCTGGTAAATGCACCAGAGCGTGCCGTGTGTGAACACCCTTAGTGTTTGGGCACTCGGCACTGCAAATAACGTATGGGAAACAGACGTTGAGCTATTGAAGTGCGACAAATGTTCAAATATGATGCCTACATTAGTGGTACAATAAGCTTTTCGTAAAGTTTGGTTATAAGTCAAAGTAATGACCACGGAGGTGATGGAAACGCAACAGTTTGCACGGTCTTTATGAATCAAGCTGCTGGCCAGGAAATGGAGGTTGACAGGAAGGAAGTGATGTAGCTGCTGAGGAAACTCCAGAAACACAGGGCAGACTGTGTGCATGAGCCCAGGTCCAGGCTGGCTTGTTTTCCTGAATTTTTCCACGTCGATTGAAATCTAAACACATCAAGGAACTCAGTGTTAGCTGTACTGGAGTCTCTCCTGCGTCTATCCTTCTATTTCTTATTTCAGTGGGACATATGATGAAAAACTAAAAATGGGGAAGCAACCAAGGTGACCACACACCTCCAGCAAACAAAGAGAGTGTGTCGGGTTCCTTCTTCGAACTGGGATGTTGTTTTCTGGCAAAAGCCAAACCACCAAGACCTTGTACACGTCCAATTACTAAATCCGGCCCTCCCAAACCACTCATACATGTGTCTCACTCAGGAATGCACCCACACCAACAGAGGGGGACATCTTATCTCTCTGCTTGCATTTCTTGTACGTCGTAATAATAGGAACGAGTCATTTATGAAAAACGCATGCACACAACACATAAGTCTCATGAGACCCTGAAATGTTCTGACATTTTCTCAAGTAAAAGGAGAAAATATTATTCAAGTCAGCGTTGTCATGGGAACCATTACTAGACATAGTAGATATCATTAATGCTTTCTACAAACACGTATCTGGAGTGAGATAACTTGCCTGGTAACAATTTGTACCCAAGATGTACCCAAAAGCTACTTAGTTACCTCATCCATCCACCTGCATATTTTTACACCCATTTGATCCATTTTAATTTTTTGGGGGGGCTAGAGCCTGTCAAGAAGAGTGAGAGAAATAGTAAATAATAATAATAAATTAAAAACCTGAGCATCTCATAGATTAGTCTAAAGATAATCTACTTTTTTACTTTGGATTGGGAAACATGGGCTCAGCTCACATATTTCTTTTACAGAAATGTTTACAGACCACCACATCACATCTGATCACACATTTCAAAACGTACTGCAGCAATTCAAGGCCAACATTACTATTATGAGATTCATAAAGATATATTTTTAAAGCTCTCTATCCACTATGTGGGGCTCTCAGAAATGATAAACCACCCTGATAATTTGGAAACTTTGGTATTTAGAGACACAGCCTGCAGGCTACAGTGTAAAGCGGCCTCTTTGTGTTGTCATCGTGACACGCCTGTCCTCTGGGAGGTAGAGATATGCTGAACCAGTAGGTTTTAGCCCAGACCTGATATACATGCTACCAAACAATGGGAAAGGCCTTCATCAGCTTGTTTCGGTGGGTCTGCTTGTGTTTTTAAAAATAGCTTCAATTGCTTCTTTCTGGTTGAAAATGGGTTGAAACAGATGTGAGACAAACCGGGTCCCGAGGGGGCTGTGGCCCAATAGCAGGAGGCTGTGTGTGTGTGTGTGTGTGTGAGGGGAGGGGGGGGATCAATAATGTATCAAATAAAAGAGTTCAGACATGAGCAATCAACCCAACTTCTTTCCTAAGTATGTAAACTCCACATTTAAATTTTTGCATAGATGCTTCCATCTAAAGTGATACATAAGAACACTAGATAACACACAGACAGACAATGTGGTCACATCCAGCTGGAAGACAAAATGTCTACAGTGTTTCCTGTTTCTCTATTCTGCCCTTAGTGTTGAATTCAAAAGTCCAGTGAATCGTAGGGATCAAAAGACTGTTAACAGACTATTAACTGATGGAAGTATAAAGCTAATCTGCAATTAGCTTTATACTTCTTGCTCATTCTTTCAGCCTGCATGATGCAAATTTCATCATCCTCATCGGTGTATAAGCATCTGATGTGTCCCTCTGTGGCCGACCTCTCGCAGCCCAAATAATTTAAAGGGAAAAAAAATTACACATGCACCTGGATGGATGTCCATTCAGAAAAAAAGTCATCAAAGGAAAGAGAAAGCAGAGCTCCATAAATTCTAGTTTTGAAGAGAGACTTTGCAGATTTACACCTCTAGAATGTGGCTCAAACAGCAAGTCAGGTGGTTTGATGGTCCCAACTGCTTTCCACACTGATCATGAAACTATCTTCCTGTAGTAAATTGCGGCAAGGCAGTCTTTTGAGTAGATCTTCATTCATTTTAATATCTTAAGTGTAATATCTGTATTATGAACCTATTTTTCAAAGGTGTGACACAAAGTAAAGCAAATTAATGACAAAATTCAGAAGAGAAGCAAAGGTCCAAAGAGGGTCTCAGCCATAATCCTCATGTTTCAGGTCCTGTGTCCTGTGTCACTTGTTCATAAGTAAACAATGTCTCAGAAACCATGTCCATATGGTTCACGGTCATGTTTCTTTATATGGCACATTTACACCAACCCAAGCTGTCCAAAGGGCTAAATACTAACAACATCTGTTCAAAATATTCCAAATGCACAATAACAACCGGGTCTTTAGTTGGAGCTTGAAACGCTTTGGTGGACAAACTGCAGACAAACTGCTCTATCATTTAAAGCAGCCTCTGAAAATCCTTTGTCACCACTGGTTTTCAGCCTAAAAAACGAGCACGGCTAAGTACAATGGAGCCATACCTTTTAAAGCTTTTACCCACAAGACTCTAAAATAAACACAAAAAAAAACAGAATATCCGTCCATAATCGCTAACAATTAGCAAGAAAGAATTATTTTTACATGGGATTCACTTGCGGTCAAAACAGTGGAACACGTGACAAGGCTCAGACTGCCAAGGGTTAAAACTTAAACCTTCCACTTGGTTCTGAACCTAACAGGAAGGTAGTGAAGGGAAGCCAGCACATGGGTTATGTGATCACAGTGCCTCCTCTTGCCAAGCTGCTGGCAGCTGTGAGGAGATAAATGTTAAAACTAATTTAAAAGGCATCAGTTGCAATGGTCTGAACGGCTGAATTTTTCAAGTAGACATAAAATCTACTTTAAACATTTCTATAGTAATACAGTCAAGCCTGTGGTGTCCCATGAATCCCCATGCATTTATCTCTGTGTAATACAGGGTTATGAGTTCAGTATACATTGAAAAAGGGCTGTGGGAATGGGTTAATGTGGCTTCACGCTCTCCAAATAAATGTGGTCAAAAATCAGATGGAATCCGTTCATGGTTAAAAATGCGTGCATTTACTGCATTTCTGAGTCTCAATTGCATCTCTAACTCCTAGTTTGATTTTAAAACAGCTAAAAATGAGTGTTCCAAGAATCAATCTGTATTTCCAACCAGATACCCGTGGCTGAGTTCAAAGACAACAAGGGTGAAATGAGTAATGGGTTGTTTTCTGATAGAAGCTTTGAATGTAATGTTTGAGCTGCTGGAACATTGAGAACACATGACGTCACGCGTGTTTAGCATGTGTGTTTCCCACACGCTCAGCTCAAGACAAGCCACCAGCGACCACATCTTTAATTTTTCCACTTGTGCTTCCTTTTCTTTAGTGGTGGACCTGCGTTTCCGTGGTAACTCAGAGTTTAACCATCATCATTTGAGTTCTGCGGTCTGCGCGCAGCTGCTTGTAATAAAACGTGATCCTGAAGAGCCACGCAGTTTGTGAACAGTGTCAGATGTATACAAAGGGACAGGGTGCCCTCACAAACACACACAGAGTCATCGGCGAGTGTTTGGATTAACATGTGAGAGTTTATGGTTTGTTGGCTGTTTTCCAGACACAATCAGTAAAGCTTTAAAAACCATCATTTCCACTGATTGGAGAAAACATTGAGAGCATGGTAACAATCAGTTAAGGCGTACGTTTTTTATGTATTTCCCCCCAAAAATCATGAAGAAACGAGGACACAACAACTTTAGCCTGTTTCAAATCATGGTTGTTAATGTCCATCCTCTTTAGCAAATTGAGTTTAGCGGTAAATTCCTCTTGACACAGACAGATGCAAACACACACACATTTGGAGAGAAAACAGCAGATTTATTCAGCCATCATGAGACACCTATTACATAACGAGAAGGAATAAAGTCAATCTGTATCTCTTTTTCTGCTGAGGAGGAACAAGTTACATAACGAACCTTAAACAGCAAATACAAAAAATTTTAATCAGTCACACACTTGAACCACACATCTGTGCCGCCTGAACACAAAATATTTCACACCACACACACTGAATGAAGTCTGCTTAAAGCTTTTTTAAATTAATGTGAAGTAAATTTAAGGTGGTGTCAAAGGTAAGCTTTACTTTAAAGCAAATACTTTTTAAATCATCTTACAATAGAAAAAGGTTATATCGGGTACTAAAAGCTGCTATTTTATCATCGTCTTTGCATGGCTTTATCTTTTGTTGACATAGTATTTTTATTTTAGATCTTTTTCCCAGATCTTTGTTTCTTTCTATCAAACTTGACACAGATTTACATTTATAAAATATATCGTGCACACATTACAGTAAATCCTGTTAAGAAAAAAAAAACATCCTGCAAGGTGTTAGTTTTTCACTGGGATTCAATGCTTAACCGTAGTGTTTGAACTAATTCAAATAAACATTACAGGAATCAGGTTTACTTCTGCACTTTATCATGTTCCTCAAATCCTACCTGCAGTGCAGATTGTCATTGAAACATGAGGAAGTTTCTAAATGTAGGTCATCATTTTGTAGGTTTTCATGCTCACAGTTTTTCGAACCCCAAACAGGAACCACCACAGGGGAGTCTGATGAGCTGGTACACCTGTAATTCAAACAAACGTCCAAAGGGGAGGGGGTTCTGAGTTTTATAAATTAGATTTCTTTTTTTAAAAGAAGTGAGGGCTGATAAAAAACTAAAACTTAAAGAGGACCAAAACAACTGTAAATGCAGCTCATTACACTTGGACATTCAACTGTGAAGGTTTCCGATCGGTTCATACATAAACTGTGGTTCATTAACATGAATTTTGTGGACATGTAAACAGTTGCCAAAAGAAGAAAGTTAGCAAAATCATATTAATATCAATAGCTGTAAAAATCTGACTTTTTAATCATTAGCTCTTGCTGGTTTTGGATAGCAAGATCCACAGAGGCTCAAGGTTTCAAAAGTCACAGAAAAAGTTTGCAATCAATTCTCTTTACAGATGCATTCATATAATAATAAGCAACATTTTAAGAAGGGGACAGTAATACCAACATGTAGTTATATAAAATCAATACCTTTGATTAACAAAAAAAAAAGAAATCAAAGTGATAATAAGAAAGTTTAAATTTGTAGAGATAAACAGCATATTCTATATTCAGGAATAAATCTCTTAATTGTTCTGCTTTAAGGTGAGACAGAAGGGAAAGTGCTTTCCAGTGTTATTGGACTGTAAGTATAGATGATAATCAAAGAGGAAAAGGAACAGGAAGAAAGGACTATGATTGAGATAAACAAAAGGAACTAGACTTCAGCAGAAAACAGGCATGATTTTCCAAGAATTAGAGGATGAATAGGGCAGACAGAGCCAAGAGGTCGACAGCAACAATGCCAGCATGAACCTAAAGACTCCTGTAAGTCAACCCTGAGACTTAAAGAGGATGTTACGGCCACAAGATGGACACATGGTTATCAAATGGTAACTAAAATTGTAAAACTATTAAAAAGTGGATGATAAGATATCTTAAGGAGTTTAATCGGTGTCTTACATCAGTTCAAGTTTCTGTGGCGTGAATTAAGTTGAAATAATATTCCTATAAACACAATCAATTCCTGACGTTGCATGATTTACATGTTTTCTGAAATGATGATGTTTTCTCAAGTCTGGAGAGAGAGTTCAATTTACTCTTCGTTGAGTCGGAGTGATATATTTTTAGAGGGCGTTTATTTAATATGGGAAGCCAAAAGAGAAAAAGGAGGGAGTGCAAAAACTCCCACGCATTTAGGGGGCTTGTGAACACACCATGACCAGAAGCAGCAGCTCAGAGTTTCCTTAAACAAACTTGAGCACTTTTGCTTAAGTCTTAGGGAGGAAGTGGTCAGTTGCCACGGTGAGGGGCTACACATTGACTCAGCAGTGTCCAAGGCAACAATTCAGATGGATTCCCCTCAGTGAATTTCTGGCTATCGTCACACAGATCAGTCTGTGTAATCACATTAAAATAGTTCAGACATATTTATTTTATTTCTTATTAAATTGCATGAATCGTAATGGAGTTAAATGAATTGATGAGAGGTTTGGAATAATTACATGAATTATAAGGTTACCTCAATAAATCAAGATATTTTTGGAATTATTTGGATTCATTATAGAAATGTCACTGTCCTCTGACTGATGGGACTGTTTTCCCCAAAAATATCACAAATGATCAGAACAAAAGCAGACGGCTAAGTATCTAATTTGGCAATAGACGTCTGGATCAGGCCTTTATATACTATTTATTACACAAATAGCTACAACTCTGGTATTTACAGTGGTTTTAATTAGATGAAAAAATTTAGACATAGGTTTTATTTTTTCTATCATGAATACCCCCAAATATAACAAAAAACCTCTAACCTCACTTCGTCATTTTGTCAGTCAGTGTAAAGAAGTCTTTGACACATATGGACCACCGTGTAGATGTAACTGTTTAAACATATCGAAGACATTTACATAATTAAATCAGAAATGGACCTTTCATATATCAAGGATATTTGACAATAACAGGAGACACTTTGGGGGTGGTATTAATGTTTTGACCCTGTGTTAGAGTTTGTTTCTTACAAAGTGCTAGAACCAAAATGTTCTAATATGCAAAAAGTTGAAAATGTTAAAAGTTCATTTCATTTGATGTAAAAGTTGCATTTTGCTTTAATATTTTAAAGAACAATTCAAAATTATAAGGTGGATTATGTTACAAAACTTCAAAAAAGTTTTCGTTCTTTTTGTAAATATTACACAAAACATATCTTATCTGTGGTAGAGAGAGATCAACTCTATTCGTTTCGACCCAAACATCTAAAAGGCTGAAAACAGAGAAAGCACAAGCTAATCTGAAGTTAAGGATCAAGAGAGGACAGAGCAGACAGAGATCATAAAGAGACAAAATGCAGCAAATCATTCAAAACAGCAGATACACAAATCTGTATAAACCAACCACACACTCATAATGTAAAGTAATAAAACATTTAATCTTCCACCATGAAAGCATGCAGCATGAAATACTTTGAAGAAGAACACAAAAAATATCTCAGCCTGAAACTTTAGGACTCAAAATGTGTGCAGGACTCATTCAGAATCCCCGAATTGCAGCAATGGGAATCATTTTCTTACATAAAACATGCTAGAATGTGAAAAATATGACTTGTATAAAAATGGGGCTTTTTTTCCACACACATTCTTGTGCTTCTATCTCTGTTGGGACATTTGTTGACATAATAAAGTAAACTGACTCAAAACCTGGTCCTAAAAGTGAAGGCCAGAATTACTTATAAATGTCCCCATTAGGTCAAAAACTGATGTTGGTCACCAAAAAGACAACTGTGGAAGCACACACACACACACATATACAGACACACACACACACACACATGAACAGTCCGGTCCAGTGTAGCAGGGATTTGTGGGACTTTCCCATCTCTTAAAACAAGAGTCTGTCATCATGGAGCACCAGCAGTGAGGATGGCCTGACAGGCCTCCTAAGAGATGAAGTCCAGTGATGTCATCACTGTGGTCATGCGACCCCAGAGCAAGTAAGGGTCGGAAAATAGACAAACCCCCTGACCAAACAAAAGCACAACAATCTCTCAGGAGCTCCATACCAGGAGCAAATTTAGCACAATGAGGCATCGGCAAGTTGACGTCCTGCACTCCCGACCAGCAGACGATCTGTGAATGTTGGAAATAGTTGTCCTTACATCAATTTGTGGAAATGAAACTTTTAAAAATGATCTTTTGTTGATACAGACTTTCTGTCATTGACTGCTTATCGTAAAGGGTAAGAGATGATGGGAGATGGAGTCCAGTGGTGCTATTGGTTGAATTAATTTAATACTGATATGGGGACCTCTTTGCTCTTCCCTCTATTAGGAAACACGTGAACAACACGCTTGACTTCTCCGATGCTAGCTGATAACCTTTCATCCTCAATTGTCCTTCTTGGTGTGTTTTTTCTAGTAAAACATGAAAGTATAGGCCGGTGAGAGGTGTTCACAAAAGTCTTTGTCTTGATGATATCTAAAGCAGCAGGTTGAATCAATCAGAAAATTCACTTGTGTTGGAATCCTAAAATTAATCCACTGAGTAAATTTTGCACGCTTGAAAAAAACCAAAAACCTGCAAAAGGTGGTTCTTTAATGGCCGTTGCTCAAGGACACTTCAGCAGGGCGAGAAGGGTGTCAAAGCCTTTGGTTGTTGACTGGATGTTGGAGAAGAGGCTCAGAGGTTTCTTTAGTGCGATGGAGGTCAGTCAGCTGGTCTGGGTCAATTCAATACATTCCTAAAAAAAAACATGTGAAAGGTCAAAAGGTGCTCCTGTCAATTTAATGTCTGCTCACTGGAGCCACAGTTTTTTCATATGAAACGAGTGGTAGAAAATGTTGAACGATACTCAAAAAAGGCACTGCATGGTTACAGAAAATGGTTCACCAAAAGGTGTCACGAGTGTATGTCAAAACAAAAACAGTGAGGGATTTACCGGCTATAACAGGCTGTTTCTCCCATTCGCGTTTGGGCCTTTTGATCTCATCTGTTCCTGAACTGACCCAGACTGCAAAACAAAAAGAAGGCATTTGAAACATCCTCCACAAGCCCAGAGATGCATCAGTGGCAAAAAAAAACCCAATTACTTTAGAATCCGCTCAGAATGGCATCATAGATAAATCCTGCTTATAATTAATTTATAATAAGTAAATGGAATATCTTTCTGTTTTTAGAATAGAAAAAACTGCCAAATATAATGAAATTCAACATACCTTCAACTTAGATTTCGTTTTAAAAAATTTGGGTTAAATCTTTGTTCATGGATCGAACAACAAGGTTAAACACGAGTATCTCATTATCCTCTTAGGACTTTCAGAACATTTTATATGGTTTATTGACTGATTATGGTAACTTCAGATTCTCTGAAAAACAAAAAAAAGCTTTCAAAGAGGAAATACATTTTTTACCTCTGACAGCATCGTAAAGAAAGGCCCCTTCAGACCCTGACCCAATCTGAAAACTGATTACGTCATCTTATGATGTCGCACCACTCCAGCAGTTTCTTTCACTCTTTTTTGCTTTGCTAATATCAAATTTTAACCGTCCATTCATGGATATTTCCACATGTATGTTTTTAATGATTTTCCATTAAATTTCCATCAAAAGGAAGATATATTCCTTTTTTGTTGTTTGGGCTAACTCTTGTGTTTTGTGTTGGGGGTGTTGAGTCTCATGGCTGATGCTGATTTTCACACGCCAGATGTGAAACCAAAAAGCCAAAATAGAAGCAGGACGGATGCAGTGCCCCATGACACTTCCTGACACACACGCACAGACGCACAATGCCGCTCTGTCTTGGTGTTGGACCGAAGCCTGAGCCGTTAACAAGTTGTCTCTGATGCGAGGAGCTGCAAAGTGTCACTTTTACTTCTCGTCCTGAATAACGTCAATTGTCAGACTTCTGCAAAGTCGCATCTCAGCTAAAGCTACGCAGGTGTGGCACAGGTGTGGTGTCTCACCGGCTGCATGCCGTCTGCCATCTCTCCAGAGCCGATGTGCGTGAGGTGGACGAAGTTTGTTGGCTCTCCGATCATACTGGGATCAATCTTCCTCCTCTTCTTCTTCTGCATGTGAAGAAGACACAGGCAAACAAACATTCCTGCCGTTAGCAAGGTGGGTTTTCTGATTCTCCTTCTTTTTTCACTACTCATTTTCATTCTCTGTTTTCTTTCTTTTGAACCAGAAATGACCCCCTGAGAGTGACATTGTAGCATTCCATATATCAAAGCTCAATACACACATGGAAAAGAAAAATGGTTGATCAGATGAGCAAACACTGCATGTTATCATTTGATAGAGACTATCAAATCTCAGTGTCCCCATACTTTGTAATACGCTTTGCATAAAAGCTTCTGCTAAATGCATAAACTAAAATATACATCTAATTTTAATAAATACCTGTTGGTTCAAATACAAGTCTTCTCCTCTCTTGCATACTCCACATGCCTACGGTCCATTACAGTGTCTTTTTGTCTTTAAGAGTACATTTTTAAAGTCATGTCACACAGAGCTTTGTTTAACAGAATAGCGGAGTTGGGCCATTACATTACTTTCTTATCAATTTATTGCTAGAGATGATAATACGGGTTTAAAAATACATTTCCATGACGCAGAGGGATCGAGTATAAATAGTTTTTCCCAATGTTGGAACTTTTATTAGTCTCAGATTAGCAGCGAACTATCTAACCATTCTGCCTTCCTGGTTGAAATCTCCCCTGGAGACTAAATGATAACAGATACTGGCTGAACGGCAAGTTAAGCTGAATTTAGGGGAGCAACTATAGTCACTTCACAGATAATCTTTTTTAGAGCCACCCTTTGTTCATGTGGTAATTTCCTAAAACGTGTTGGAGGTAGCTTTGATTATCAGAACAGCGATGCACCTCTGTGGCTCTTGGTGGCATGCTCAGTCTGCTCTCAGTAGGTCTACTGCTATCTCGGGAGGCCTTCCATGAGAATGTAACTTTTCATAATAAAGTCCAAGAAGTCTTAAATATTTCATGTTTTTATTGTGTGTTTGGGATGACTTGCCAGGTTGGAAAAAGTGAACTCATATCACAGCCCCAGAATACTTGGAGCAGAAATCACCTCCATGGATTTGGAGTCCTCGTGTTATTTACTAGCTGATTGCTTTAATCGTTCACGTTTGGCGGGGAAAGGGATCTTTTCATTTGTCTGTGATGTGACTAACTCCGTACATAGATTATTTCAGCTTTACTCAGGACTTGGTAGTCTGATTAGTCTCTGATGTGTCTTTGGTGTGTCTCCACACGTCCACATACTCTAAGTCTCACATCATCTTACGGAATCATGTGAGGACAGAAATGTGACGCAACTGAAACAGAGAAAGGTAAACAGTACAAGAAGCATTAGGCAAAGCCCTGAAGATGACATACAATGAATCACTTACACTTCCTTTAACCAAATGTAGTGTGTTCTGAATAAAAGTGATCACATGAAACCTGAAAAGGGGTTTTTATTGAGGCTAACCCATAGTGCAGTTTCTGTGCTGCATTCAGGGACGCTCAGAGCTCTGGCAGACAGCCACGGAACATTTCATTAAAACCCCATTTTGCTCCCCAAGTCCAGTAAATCCTGCTGCATTGAAACACATCCCAACCACAATCAAAACCATTTAGATGTGATTTAAGAGGCTTATGTTCCTGAGGATTATTCAGAAATCTTATGTAACATAACAGGACCAAATGTCCAAGGGGTCAAGTCAGGTCAGATCAGAAGAAATTCGGTCTTGGATGGAGAAAGATTAACTGGTTCTAGCGTGATGTTTATGCTTAAAACATAAGAATGACAAGAGATCGGAGAGCTTGTTAACATGTTAACATTTTTAAATCAGATTATACATTTATACATTTCCTGTGACATTGATCCTGGGAATGTAGCTATGTGTACATTTGTATTTACGTTTATTTATTTTTTTATATTCTGGTTTAGGAAAATATAATTTTCTATTCATATATTCACCCTGTCTAAATGTATTTCTAGTAAACATGTTCCCATTTTAGGAATATAAAGAGAATGTTAGTTTTTACTAAGTAACTCTCTTTAAAAAAAACAAGTATGATGTGAATATTTAAAAGACCGTCTGTATTGAGTAGTGGTTGTTCAAATATTAAATGGAAGTCTGTATAACCAAAGCCAGAATATTATTAGTTTAGCCACTTTGAAAAATATTTTGTGGCTTTAAAAAAAATGGGCCAAAGGCAGATTAGCAAACTACAAGAAAATTCAGTCACATAAATATGAAGCGAATTAATTCTACAATATCGGAGAAGCTTCTCTGAAACTACAGCGTAGCAATCTACAAAGTCGAACCAAAGCTAAGCTTTACCCCAGAAAATTCTATTTTGGTTGAGGAAAGCTATTTATAGAAAGTAGTTCAAACTCAAATATAGATTAAAGTGAGGCATAAGACGGTAAAAAAGAAAAAGGGGCTCACAGGGGTATCGATGATGAGGCAGTGTCATCTGCATCCATCTTTCTAAACTAACTCAAACACAAAGCATACCTTCAAAATCACTTAAAAGAGCAAAACGTTGACAAGTAAAAATAAGTTTGTATTATTTTGTTGCACAAAAAATCTGCAAGAAAAAGTAATTAATTATCTAAATGAGTACACATGAAATGATAATATTCAAATCACCAGCAAGTTACTGCAAAATGTGATTAATCATCTAGTTTCATGTATTTGAATCCGTCCACTCCATCAAATTATTCATGCAGCGCCCTGGCATAACGAAACATGTTCTCATTTTTTAAAAATACAGTCCACTGAGTGGGTGTGCAGCATTGACAAGGAGCAGCATGGATGAGAATAACACCTCGGTTAAACTAGTGTTGATTCAAACCAGACAGCACTTGGCTCCAACAAAGCTACTGAACAGCAGAAGGTGGAACACAATGACCTGTTTTTCCTCCACTAAACACAAATCTGGTCTCTCGTGTCTGGCTATGGAACAGAAAAATTATCTCATATCACGCAGAGTTCATTACACTTCCCTCTCACGCTGCAGATGTGTTATGAATGGCAGCAGAAACAAACCAAGAAGAGGATTTGTCCTTTTGTTTAACTGGCTGCATTCAGTGACCCTCATCTCAAAATGGCAAACATGAACAATCAAAGCTTGAATAGCCGCTCGGTATCTACACTGACTCTCTGATGGTGACTCTCAGACTGAATATGATGAAGATAAGGCAGTAATACAGACACGGTGATGTCATGTGTCATGTGTTTTTTGGTGTACATGTGAACTTTTATGGAGGACGAAGCCTGAATCAGGCCTCCTTCGGCAGACTGCTTCTCTAACACATGAGCATGCTGGCATCCTGTGGCCGACCAGCCGGGAGTGAATCATCCCCTCGGCCCACGGGCTTCCTCCTCCACAGCGACAGCTGTCGTCATGGCAACGAGAGTGAAAGAGCATCCTGGCAGCATGAGCTGAAAAACTGGAAGACTTTGAAACCTTCATTTCTCCAGGATGCCTCAGCAGAGAGTCGAAACGCGGCAGCCGTAGCAAACTGACACGAATTTCTTTGCGTCTTTGGAACTGAAACCTGCACTGGACACTTTAGCGCCGCTTGAATCTAACCATGTCAGACTTGAAAAACAGCAATACGCTCTGTAACATGGAAAAATGAGCAATAAGACTGATTGGAGAGCGGTTTAGTTACATAATGGTCAGGCTGCCGCTCAGTTACTGAACAAACATGAGTGGGGGGGGAAAAAAGACTCTCCTGGCAACCTCTGTGTTGGGCTGATAAACAGCCCTGCTCTCCATCACCACCACCACCACCATCATCATGTAATCTCTGAGTCATCTACATCGACGCGGGGAACAGGCTGGAATTTCTAAATAAAAAAAGGCTGAGGAGAGACATCACAGGAATATATACAGAGGCCCGATCCAGGCTCTGGCCCGGCTCTTACCAGGAGGCCACTGCAGCTGTTCGCAGACTTCCTAACAGTAACATCACACGCATGCCCCTTGGTCATAGGTCCACAAGGCCCTGGGGTCATGGTTTCTACAAGGCCGTATTTGAGACGCTGTGCTTTGGCGTTTATACATGTGCAAAGACATATCAGGAACAAACAGCTGTGCAGGAGGCTTCAAAGTTATGTCAGACAGCATCTCATTAATGGCAGAGTGAAGTCACTACTTAGGTCCAGTTTCAGTTTCTGAAATGGCAGGCCTGCGGAAGCAAACATTAAAAATCACAAAAATAAAGGATTCGTAGCGCAAAATGACAAAGACTACATCTGTAAACAGAAAAATGTAAAACAAAATGCAGAAAAAACATTGTATGCAAGTGAGAGGCTACAAAGAGACAAAACACAAGAAACAGACTTGGAAAAAAAAAGTACTAATAAGGGGAAATAACACCAGCAAGTCAAAATAGAAGTGGACAATAAGGCCATAATAACACAAAAACCTAAAACAATGAAACAGAATGACTGCAGCGAAACGCAAAAAGATCAAAGAAAAAATGAGATGAGAGAAAATAAGAAAGAAACCAAAACAGTGCGGAGAGAAACTAAATGAAAGCATAGATATCCTGCTGTTCTGTGCCTTGTTGTTTCTTCTTCCCTTATGAAAAGGGAACCTATGTCTAATAACCTGTTTATTCATGTATGAAAAGCATTTCTACGTTATGATATTGTTGAGTTAGAGTTTTACAGTCGAGCTTTACAAAGAGGTTCAGATTTAACTTCCTGAGTGAAGTCACTGCTGGCATGGCTGTGATTCTGAGTGTGTTTATTAAAGGTGTATTGTTGCAGCGGTACAATAGAACAAACAGAAAACTCTAAAAATACAGGCTGAGGAAGGAGGGAGGGTCTCTGGAGAGAAACACAACATTACACAACTTCCTCCCAACAGCAAGAGCGCACACTGGTCTACAACACATTTCTGGAGTAAATCCCCGCACATGGCGCTGTGCTGGGCTTTTCTTTTGTCTCTGCTAATTGTTTAGACATTTAAATGAGACATTTATGCTTCATCCAATCGGCTGTCATTGAAAGTCTCTTTTAATCATCTGAACTTTACAAAACACCCCCAAAATATATTCTCCTTTAGAGAAACAATAACGAAAAAAATGTGGATATGAACTTGAAAATTAGTAGCTGTTCAGAGTAAACCAGAAGTAGAAACCACTGGACATAATGTGTGTGTGTGAGCTCATTTGATGGGAAATGAAGTGGAAAAAGGGAACTGAGAGGTTGCAGCAGAAACAGGTCAAAGGTCAAGGTGAAACAGGAAGTCCTGCCACCTGTGTGACATGTGTGTAAAGTTGTTTGTCTCCATTTGTGGCGACCACACTGACTTTGAATCCCACTTAGGACAATTTTGGGAAGAATATGTCATTTCAGAGCGGATTTATTACAACCAATTTCCACCTCAAATTGACGCTGCTCCTCTCCTACTAAGCTTTAACCTGGTGATTCTTCCTTTATATTTACCCCCAGCCTCAGGATGTATTGGATGAGCACATATTTTTCTACAATTAATGCTCACAGACATTTGCTTTTCAAATCAATTAGTCTAACCAATCAATAAATGAAAAGTTTCTCACCGGTGGGGGTTTGGCCACAACACAGCAACCCATCTTGTGCCAGAAGTCGCTCATTCCGACGCTCCGCCTGTCCAGTGGCCGGCTGTTGCTCTCTACTGCCGCCCTACAGGCTGGAGGATGAGCTGCAGCTTGAGGATAATCCTGGGGCATCCAGACAAAAAACTGTGCCGATGCAGACACTCAAGAGGACAGACCCCAAACTTTACCCCACCTCTGAGTCAATGTAGCTGTTGTTAGGACTCCAGAAGGCTCACGCTGAAACAAAAATAAAATAAAATATGGCTCTTCACGAGAAAAGTTGAGGGAAAAGTTGCTTTTCCCAAAAAATCAGATGACAGAGTCCAAAAATCCAAATAGTGGTGAGTTCAGAGATGCCACTTCAAGTTTCATCTGTGGAAAAAAAACAAGAGAAAACCTTTACAAATCAACTTAATTTCTACAGTTCTACACACATAAACTGAAGTTTTCTCTTGAAGAAAGTATCAGTATACTTCTTTGATGAAGAAAGACTCAAGCATTTCATCATTTTACGTCTTTGCTTTGTCTCTCTTTGCAATAAGGAAGTTCTCAAATGACTTATTGTCTTAGGAAGCCTGCCACCGGTTGTGTAACTTTCTCTTTTGCAATCGGACAATGATACAAAGTGGTTTATTTTATCGATAATACTATCCTTCTCACTCACCTTTTAATCCATCAAAAACCTTGGATTTAGTTGACCATGTCACTTGTTTTCTGCCTCAAATATTGACAAAAAAACAAAAAAAAACAACGAAAAACCAACAAGACTGATGACAGATTTTGTCTTTATATGCCTCCACATTGCATCTGATTAATCTAACTTTATTGTGTACCGATGGCTCAGGATACAGCTGTTCTAGCCAACTATAAACCTTTACTGAACCTCCCCTCTTAATAAAAAGAAAAATATGTTGCAAATTAAAGCCACAACTTTTTCCCAAACTGATCCAGGCACAGCAGTAACACAGATATCTACACTTTCTTCAGAAAACAGCCATCATTAGCTACCAAATATGGTCACAAAAGCCAAATTATTCAGGAAAAGCCATGTAATGTAATGACTGACTACAATTTTTAGACCCTTAAACAGGACTCATGATCCAAAAACAACCACTACCCCAACCCCCAAATACAGTCCTCACAAGAATAGAAGAATATGTGTATGCTCTGTCATTGAGCTGCATGGGAACCAAACCCTCTGAGACATCAACAAGGCAGGCACATTAAGCATGACTAAACACTGGGTGTGGTCCAAACACAGTGCAGGAAGTAACAGACACACACACACACACACACACACACACTTAGGGCTGTTACTTTGAATTCAAGTTAGAGTCTCTGGTAGTGCTCTTCTTTTTTCCAGATGATACCAAGTCAACAGAGTTTGACTGGTCAGAAGACGTGAAGCAAACTCAGGAAAATGATCACATTTCTGCAGATTTAAGACACACGTGCACACACATTTTTGACCTTTGACTCCTCAGGTGAGAGTTAAACAGGCTAATGAATGATTACTGCAATAAAAACACAGAATGAGGTCTGGTTTGTGGACCTGAATAGCTCCTCTGTTTCTTCCTTCACCTACTTTTTTTGGTTGTCCTGTTTTTAGCATTGCTTAATCGCATACCTGTGAATAATGTTTTTTATTTGTTTTACCTCAAACCTTTAAAAAAGGACAAAAACAAGTTAATCCTTGTTTATTTTTACTCTCACATTGACTTTTATTGGCTCATGTTAACTAGGTTTCATAATCATTTTTCAGTTAGCAAAGACTGTATTCACTGTAATCACCCATTAAACATACCTAAACCATAAAAGTCACTGGAAAATGATGTCACTAAACTGAAATGTGTTATAAAGAACAAAAATGCTTTCAAATAAATGTATCACGTAAAACTAAATCTGCACATGAGAGCATCAAATCAAAGTTTTTCTGAATGAGATAATCTAATGTGAACTCAAAATGTCTCCTGGGAGGTCATTGTTGTGACTCAAGATGGCGATAAACTAAAGTGACCTCCAAATTTGACAGACGAACCCGATCCCTGCAGCAGCTCGCTTCGTCTGCATGGCAGGAGGCGTTGCGTGTTTCCTGATTACATGAATGGTTAAACTGTGTTTCTATTCTCAGTTGGTCCTGGTTCTGCTGCAGAAATGTCTGGAGTGCCTCCAACACATTTCAGCAAATGATAAGGAAAGAATGTGGAGGCCAGAAACATGTAGCTTCATGCTTCACATCCACACAAATCAACAGAGAGGAATTCAGCCTTAGGCTCTGACATCCAGATGCTCCACCTGATGGTGGACGTTTGAGAATCAAACAATCCACGGTTTATTAAAAGAACGGGACATGGACCAAAAACATTCAGCTCAAGAATGAAATCCACACAAGACAAAGGGATTTTCCTCCTCCCTTTACATCTAGTTTCAATTTCAGTGTTACTTAAGGAGCTAAAGCTTTTTCTACTATCAGGGGAAACAATGTATTCAATCTAAATAATGGATCAAAAGAAGTTAGCATGTCTGTGCTTAATCTCAAATTAATTTAGCCAAATGTTAATCTGTACACGTTTGGGATCACTGGGATCTAAAGGAACGGCTCCAGAACAGAAAAAATCGTAGTTTTGTGGTTTTTCTTCGGTTTGTAATGCCAAACATTGTTGTCCCAGTTTCAGTAGAGCACATGCTGTCCATATATCACTTTTTATGTGAGCCTGTGGTGCAAAAAGTAATCTCTAGGTCTTGGAGACCTTTTTCTGAGTGAGCCGAGTTCCACATGTGTGAGCTCAGTTGAGTCCACAGGAAGGGGTCGGGGTGAATGTAGAGCTCTTAAGACCAGCATATGCATAGATAGAGCTGTGCAGCCGGGCTGAAGCAGAAACACAAAGATGTGTTCAAAACATGCGCCCACTTCTGTCAAATGAATGCCCGCTGCTTTTACTCCCACACTTTACCATACCTGGAGAGTTCTAAACAGCTTTAGCTCATAACAGATGAGTGAGGGGGAAAAAAAGAAGGGAAAAGAGGGTGGAAAGGAAGAACAAATAGCATTTATTCTCATGCAAACACACTGAAACAGAGAATCATCTTCAGATTGTCTGCAGGAGATGATCGAATGGATGAATGGCTGAATAAAGACATGAATGTGCAGCAGGAAAATGTACAAATTTCATTTATACCGCCTGACCTGCTTGTTTGTGTGTTAGTTTGCAGAATGTCTGCCACATGACATCATTATGAGAAGGCAATGCGCCATCCACTCACACCTCTTATGCTGTCTGCCGGTGGTACCGTCTGTGAACTTTTTAAGGCAAAGTTTGGAATGTTTAATAGAGAAAGAGCGGAAAAGTTCCCTCGGAGTTTAATAGCTTTATCCTTTTGTGAGCTATCTCCTCCTGATGACTCATATTTATTCCATTATGCCGGCTGTTTCATGTTTGGAAACCTCAGATTCTGACAAACAAATGAGCATCATCACCCTCTGCACATCATCCCTGTTGTCGTCACTACTGACCTCCTGCTCTGACACCAGCTGAGTGCTGGTTCATCAGCCTGAGGGGCAGAGTCAGCTGAAGTACCACTAAAGAACAACGGCAGTCTGTCTGCGAGGGCAGACGGCCTTAAGGTCACATGATCACATCCAAGCTGAGAAATCTTTATTTACACAAGTCTGCAGAGCAGTCTGACCTCTGACAGCTTTACAACCGTCCCGCTACTCCTGTGAAGATGATGGCTAATCACTGACATGTGAGTGACTGTTGGAGGTAACAGTCAGCTTTTTCTTCTCGTATACATTAAATCACATACATGCTTTCTTGGAAAAACTGTACGAAACTGTGCAGAACTTACTATTTGTGGCAAAAAAGCAAACACAAGAGATTTGTCTGAACAAATCTGAACCTTCTAAGTAAGTGAGATTCATACAAAGTTTACATTTTTTCATGCCTTTAGTCTATAGTTCATTGAAGAATTAGTTTGCTTCCATTTACAGTTTTTGTTGTGAAACAGAGAAAGTAAAGCGATTCGTAGACGATGCATTACACCGCATAAGTGTCTTGTGCAGCCATTTATGGAAGCTGAATTCTTAATAAAAGACAGACTGAATTGTTTTTCTGGTTTCTGGTCCACTTCCCTTTTCTAAACTCAGACGTTCACTTCCTGCTGCAGCTTATCTCAGAGCGTCAGCAGCTTGTGATAAGAAAAGCACAAGGCCTTCTTCTTTTAAAGAGCAGATCCAGAACTCCAGAGGGCCTGAGCCCAGGGCCAAAGTCTATCAGGCTCTAGGTGAACGTCTCGTGCACAGTTTGCGTTTGATTTAGTCATTTACATCCAACAAGAGGGAAATCCTTTTTTAAATATTAAAATTGTACAGTTTTGATTTCACACAAATTCAACATAATACGTTTAAGAATATGCAGGAAGCCGAGATAATATTAACTTTGGCCTGAGATCTGCTGCTTTAAGAGGCATCCAGCATCCACTGAATGACTTAGTTTGTGACCCCACGTGCAAAATTTGTCATCAAGATTTTAGATTATTTTCAAAGAAGTGAAAAACTTTTAAACATAATTAAAAACACCAACAAAACAGCTTTTCTGTAACTGTTGTGTCAGATGCAAATAAACACGAGAGGATGAAATCCAATATCTGGGATTATTCATTGATCAGCTGGACGTGTATCGTTGGCATTTACTTTAACATGAGCCTGTTTCATCTGTTGGGGAGTCATTTTAGGTCAATTTAAGTTCACTTTCCTCTTTACTGAACAAAAAAGTAAGGATAAGTTGAACTGCTCTTCTAGGCCAAATTAGTCATTTAATTGGACTGCTCTCCTTGATCCATTATATAAATGGCTATTGGGCAATATGCCCTCTCTGAACTCGTTATTACTGGGCTTTTAACAGCTGACCTATTTCTTCACAGATCAAAATAATTGACCGACAGTACAGCTGAAGGCAAATTGGTACCATGTGGAGTGCTGCATTGAAAAGCTTTACAACTCGCTCTACTTTTTTTTTTATCAAACAAATTAGCAGCACCCTATTCAAAATAGTTGCTATTGTTGTTGTTGTTAGCGGCTTCTTTCCAAGTCAGATGTGCTTAGGATCTTTGCGCAATAAGTGTGCACAAAAGTGACAGAGAGCAGGTAGAGAGATTATTAGCTAGAGCTGGTGAGCCTGAAAGAGCAGCAGAGCACCCAGCTTCACAATGAGCTCTTTTCATTCAGACATTTAAAAGAAAACTTTCCGACTGCCTAACGGTCGACCCATCTGTTTGAACACAACGAGCAGCTTTCACCTCGTGGAAAAACGAAATCCCACCAGCATACTTTAAGCTTAGGTGAGTTTCCAGCTTCTGAAACTAAAACGAAACACAAGACACAGCATTAATCTGCATTTTTAGTTTTTTACCAAAAGAACCAGAAATTGCAAGAAAAAACCAACTGTTGGGAAAATGTCTCAGTGTTTATCACCAACTGATTAGATAATGCCACTTATGATATATAGAGAAATATGTAGAGCTGGATTTAAACTGCAGTATCAAACATGATGAAAAGGAGCACAAAAACCAGTTAGTCATTCATCTTCCTGCAAACACTGCCTGAGGTCAGAGTCCAGCATCCACATGCCACCAAATGACCTGCTCCAACACAACTGAATCACCTCCTGTTCCTCTGACAGAGGAACGGCCTGACCGAGAACTTGGATTCTGACTGGAAACTTTGAGTCTGATAGCTGCTAAAAATACCTAAAATACCTTGAAGACTTCAGGACATTCCCAGGCCACCATAAAAAAAACTGAAAGGAAAAAAAAAACCCTGAGTCAGTGAGAAAGCCCTGAAAACATCTGCAGTGATTTAACCGATTCAAAGTGTTCAAAGGAAGAGCTCAGCGAAACATCCAGTTCTCACGGGGGTGAAGGGTGACGACACAAATCTGCTCTGGTCCTGAGCCGTTTCCACGGAGACCAAAATCCAGTCAGGTCACTGCCTCACCGGCAGGTCGGCACCTGTGAGTCAACGCTACCAGGCAACCAAAAACACCAGGAAGCTATAGAGAAATACACTAAAACGACACAAAAACCAGCGGCTCGCAAGCAGTTTCTTCAAAGCTCTTTAAAAGAGCCAGAGGTGATGATAAAAATTACCATGAAGACGCATGAAAACAAGCTCCCAAAAGAAAAGAAACCTCTTGAAACCGAGCGGAAATTGTGAGGGAGAGAAATACTTTAATAGGACAACATATAACAGGATCAAATCCAGAAACAAACTTGCATAAACAACACAGAAACAAACCCTAATAGAGCAGAAAACTTTCAGAAACTAACTAAAGCTGGAGGATCATGAGAATCCTGTAACTAGCCTGAAACTGTTTGGTTAAAAAACAAAAAAACAAAAAAACCCTACAAGATTTTACTCACATTAAGTACACTATCAAGAGTCTAATTTCCCTGACTGCACCTGAAGGCGTCCTAACGGTCTAACAGAAAGACTGAGAACACAGATTCGCAGCCTTCCTGGCATCTGACCACAGGCGGCAGCTCTGTTCGCTGACCTGTAATTTGGCTCCGGATCTGGATCTGGATCCAGAAACGAGAACTCACTCCGCACGGACGCAAACGCGCACGGCCAGGGTCGTACTTATGGCGTCCCGGAAACAATTCTCCATCCTGAGCCCGATAGCTTCAGTTGGTCTTCACCCTCTGACCTTTAACCTCTAAAACTGCAGGTCTCAGAGGATGTCCTCGTGTTGGAAGCTTTGTGTCACAGATGCTCAATCTCAGAAAATGCTAAATAACTCAGCTCCAGTGGGTTTACGCGCTATAAACCATTTTTTTTAATGGCTTAATGCTTCCCCCAATTAGAAATGAGCAAAGCGAAGCTGTGCGGACAGTCGTTAAGTGAGAAATATTTGCCCATTTTCTGGTGTGGGGGGTGAGGGAACAACCAGAAATGTTTCACTCATCAAGAAATAGTTTTTGCCCATAATGAAGAGAGGGTCATTAAGGCGGGTAATTAAACTATAAAGAGATTTTCCACAGAAACAGTGCTTGTTACAGCTTTCTGTCAGTTTGACAGCCGTTTCTGACAGTTTAAGCAGATCAAACCACACAAGAATCAAAGGCACACACAGACAGCAAGGGTTGTGCCGGCGTTATGCTATATCCTGTGACCCGGTAAAGGAGACTGAATGCCGTCTTGTGTCCCTTGAGCGCAAACTGAACTCTTGAGGGAAAAAAAAAAGATTTCAACACTGGACCTGAAGACTAAAGCAGAAGTTCAAGGGTCACAGAAGAAAACACCAACCTGTTACAACAGCTAAAACAACACCCTCTTTTTTTTGTGGCTTGCATGTCAGTTAAACCCTGACGGATAGAGCGAAATGAGTGAACCAATAAAGATCAGACTTTAAATGGCATCAGTGTTCCGCTGATGAACAATCAGTAACAGAAAACATTCACTGAACCCTTCTGAACCTCGTCCACACTGTAGATGAATCATTTACAGATCAAACCGTCCTTCAGGGAGGGGGTTGAAGCGTTCCCTTCACCTGACAGCTAAACAGTCAACACATTAAAGCACTTCTTTATGTCTCCTGTGGTCCTGCATGTGGATCTGACAGTCTTAATGGGAATAAGGTGGCAGCACACTTACCAGAGACGGAGCACAGCTGAGTACCGGGGCGGCTGAAAAACTGCACTCTGAGCCCACTGCAGCTCTCTGACTGTATCTCTGTGAGGTGTGGCTCCAAACAGGAAATCCATCCTCTTTTCTTTCCTAAGAACTTCATTTTTCTCTCTTCTCCCCTCCCTCTTTTTGTTCCTGTGTAGGCAAACAGCGCCTCCTGTTGGCAGAGGAAACGCATCACACAGCAGCTACAGGGGCCAAAAAAGACACAATAAATAATAGGCTTGTTATATCAATAATAGTAATAAACATCAAACTTATATAGCGTTTCTTTTACACTTAAAGACACTTTACATACAAAAACATATATTCATGCTAATTTAAAAGGCTTAAACTGTTAAATGTTGAGATGTTTGTTCATTAAAAGGCATTTTTGTGTCCTTTTAGTCAGAGTTTGGTGCATTCTTTGTGATCAACTCCACTTATGTGTGCTTACTCTCCATAAAGTTTGATTCAGACTGTTGATTCAAACAGCTCCCCCTGTTGCCTAAAAACTCTGTGGAGCTGTTAACATTAATCTCTGAATATATCGATTTCTGGGCTTATTACTACATTATAATATATAATAACGGTTTATATGATTGTAGCCGTGTTTGTTCCCCTTAACTCAGAATAATAATAATAAAAAAAACGTACATAATAAAGTCTTAATTGTTGTCTTTAATTTACTTGTGGTTTATTTTCTTGGAAAAATAACACATATATTAAACAAATACATTTTTTATGGTAGAAAATTATAAAAAAAAACTGTGTAATTGCATGTCATCGTCAAGTTGTAATGAGTTTAATACACCGGATACTCTTTTTTTCCCCTTCAAAATTAGGTCTCCTGTTTGGTGTCACGTGGCCTGTCATTTTGAGTACGAAATGTGTTAAATCTGTTATATATATAGTTATATAGTTATGATAGTCACCTTATTCTTATTACTATCATCATAATACATGCTGTTTATGCACTTGTTTGAATCAAATGTGCAGGTTAGAATAATACAACGGAAGTCCACTGAATGTACAACTTAATATTAAACTTTTGTTTAAACCAAACGTGCAGTCTGTCATTTCTGTCAAGCAAGAAAAAAGAACCTTTCACCACTTAAACATCAGTCCTGGTCATTTTTTAAATAATTGTTTATCCTGCAAATTGCTGTTGAGAAAAAGAGCTTTCATTTAAGGGAGTCGTTGGAAGGAATATAAAGAGACTATTTCAAACCTCTGTTGGAAGTCGACTCTGCTTGATGACTAAACTAATGATCTAAAAACGACCGGGGCTGCGTGCACCTCATTTTGGAGCGGGACACAGGAAGTGTTGGTGCGCAAACTCCGCGCTTTGACGCATCCTCTGCGCTCACTTGACCTGCGGCAAAGCATCAGAAGCACCATCTGATCCACCGGCACCGAAACCCGGCTCAACCGAGAGGAAAATAACTCAATCCTGTTTTATTGCCTCGCCGGAACCTTTTTGTGTTCATAACCAGGTAAAGCTGCTTCATTTTATTATTTTTTGGGGGGCTGTTGCATCTTTTTTTTATGTCCAGCGTTTAAATACAGAAATTGGACAGGTGTTTGTTCAAATCTGATATGGATATTTCTTATCTTGTGTCGTTTTGTGTTTTGTTTATTCATTTTATTAGTCGTCTCGTGGCTTGAATGTGTCCTACATTTGATGGGTGCTTGTGTTGGTCTTTTCTGAGGATGATCTTCGGCCAACGCCTTAAACTCAGACTGATGCCCCCCCACCTGCCGCAAAATCAGACAATATTCAGGGTCCACCACGCCAGTGTTGGACCACACATGTTAAACACATTTGTTATTCAGGTAACCGGCCTTTGGTTGGTTCTGATCCACAGAAACCAGCCATGCCGACGCCTCATGATCCGCGTCCCAGAATAATGGCAGCCCAAAATAAAAACGCCAGGAATATGGATGGGGTTCGGCGGCAGGTTTATTTCAGTCTGCTGGTGAACGACGATCCCTTTTCTGTTTCTGTTTTCGGTCTCAGGGGCAATCCACAGTCCAAAATGAATCTGTCTGATTCTAGCAGACCGGTCCGCTATACGGAACCACGCCCCCTGGGACCGTACCAGATCCGTGTAGCTGCGCATAATAATCCTTTTCAGAACGGAGTCATCTTTTATATTTGTCTGATCAGCGTTAGAAGTGACCCAGATAAACTCGGTCTCTGCCCACTAATGTTCAGTTCTTTCAGATCCACAGTCCTCATTATGTCTCCACAGGATTGGGATATGCATTCATTTAAAAATGCAATATACAAGATATAATTCAGATACACAAATATAATACACCTTAATTTTTTCATCTAGCTTGAAGGTCTGTTCATCTGTTTCTCAGGTGTGTTTTTCTTTGTGGTTTCAGACTCTTTCCAGATGGAGAAGTCCAACAGCCAGTACGACTCCTTCCTGTACTGGAGGCAGCCCATCCCGGCCCTTGACCTCTCCGAGCTGGAGGACCTGGGTTTGCCCAAAAGTCAGCCAATGAGTGGCAAAAAAACTAAAGACAACAAGTCCAAGAAGTGGAGCGCAAAAGAGGAGGTGACAAGTTAATGCTTTCGGTCCTGACTTGGGTTTAAAATGCGACGCCTTTAAGTAACAACATGAAGATGGATTTTTTATTGTTCTCTCTGCAAACATGTTTGTTTTCTCCCCCTAACAGGGGGAGCTGTCTGAGTTCTCCTCCTTTAATTACTGGAGAGCTCCCATCGCTGATGTGGATGCTTTGCTGGCCGACCTCAACCTGCTGCTCTGAAACTCCCACAACCTGAAACCCAGACCAAGATCACTTCACCTCTCACCCCTGATCACACCCACACTTAGATTCCTCTAGATCTCCGACTCCAGATCAAGTTTGAATGCTCTGGTTATCATAGTTTGGATAAAATGGGAAACGAAGTGAATCTTGTCCAGTTTGCTTAAGTTTATTAATCCAATGCTGCTTTTAAACAAGATTTTGCACTGTGTTTACACTGGAAATAACCCAATTCTGATCAGAGTAGATTTTTAAAAAAACACTGCTTTGCTTTGAGGCCATTGATGATCAAACTTTGTTTCCATCTACTGCTCCACTAAGAAAATGTCTGTGTGCCATATCAATTTAAAAATAGGCTTTAATCACATGATTGTGACAGGAGGGGGAGTTATGGTGTTGCTACCACTGATTTTATGTGACATATCTCGTAAATTTACCGATAGGATAAAGGGAAATGTCGGTTTGTGTCTCAGCATTTTGTTGAACATTACCCATATGTGAGGAACTAAGACCTTTTTTTCCTTTATTGAATGTTTTTCTGATAAGTTTAAATGTCTAAAACATAAGTTGTCTTTTATTTTTGTTACTTGTTCCTTTTTTAATGATTCAGTCACTTTATCAACACTAAGTTCCCATTCGTGCTTTTCTATTTAAGCTGCTTTTCAATCATTTTGTCCTGTCAGAAAAGACAGTAAACCTATGACAATTAATTAAACATTTCCTTTGCTGACTGGAATCACGGGTCATTTTTTGTTTGAAAAAGGCTCATGTTGGAAAAAATATTTTTATCTAAAAGCTTTGAATTGTAAAAATATAAGCCCAATATAGAGTATCCAGGACTAAACATAAAAAAGCCCCCATATCTTATCATTTTCAATGTAATAGTAAAAATAAGGAAACAAGTTTTAATAGTTGGGCTTTTTTCTAGACTAATCAAACAGACTTTAAAAAAAGATTCCCACCACACATTGAGAGACTGTTGTGTTTTATTGAAAAATATAGTGTAGCTCATAAACTGTGATATACATAATACTGGGAACAAAAAAGAAACATGCAACTGTTGTTTCATTTTAAACATATGCGTTATCTTGCCAGTTTACTGTTCAAGAACAATAGAAACGTTTTTTTTTTGTTTTTTTTTACTTCTAAAACAGAACCGATACAGGGGTAAATATTTCTAATTCAACTCTGACTTTCAAATTCAGTTAGTGTGTCATTTTGTAATGAAAAACACGCAGTTCTAATGGCAGGAATGCACGGTTTCTTGGGGCTGGTCTTAGATCAGCATATATCCATAATAAACACACGGTCCACATTAACACCGCATTAGAAACTGTCTTCAGGTCTGTTTAAACGGGAGACGAAAAAAGCCCGCCCCTTAGGAGGTTAACGCACACCCTGGCTTCCACCTCCGGTGTCGCGAAGCCGCCATATTTGTACCAGAAAAAACATAAATAAAGAGTTTTTCAAAGCCTTCTCTACAGCTGAACTCCTGACAGAAAGAGACCCACGTCTGGAGGCCAACAGTTACGAGACTGGCCAAGAAAAAAGGTAAAACCTGCGTTTATCTAACGTGCTAACCATCTGCATGTGTAGAAGCTAACGGCTAACACGGCCAGCTGGTTAACAGCGGAATAAAAAAGGTCCTCACTTCCTGTCAAGTGTTTCAACATAAAATATAGCCAGTAGTTTCCGAAAAAATCTAAGCACACAAGTACAATAAACAATTCGCGGAAATGTCGCATGATTTCGTTTTATATTTCCTATAATTAGCATTTTTGTCATGATTTAGCAATGCAAATTTAACACTTTAACACAATTCCCTCCAACTTGCAGTCAAATGCTGATCTCTTTCCATAGAACAAGAAGGGATGTTTTCTTAGCATTTGGAGACGTTAAAACTCCTTGAATATACCTAGTGGGGAATTCATATGGAAGGTTACTCCTTTCTATTTCCCGTTATTATGATATTTTAAATAGCTTGTAAGAATGCGAAAGTTTATTAGCGTAATTTGTCAAACTCGTATTGTGAAGGTTAAAATAACAACATCCGGCTGGGTAACGGCCGCCTCTCGCTAACTTTGTGCAGTAAACAAGCCTAGAGGAGCCCGACAGGCTGCAGTGGCGCCTAATGTCCACGTTTTCCGTATTTTGAAATAAAGTTTGCACATCATCAGTTCTTTCTACGTATCGCGGAACTTTAAAAGCCCACAACTGCTCCTCAAACTGGGGAGCTTCTTCTATCTAGCCGGCTAGCGTGCTAACATTAGCAGAGAGGTACAGCCCGGCTGGCCCCTAACAAACCTGGACACGGTAAGTAGCCGCTCCGCCGTCCTACGCCAAGAGAAGATGCATATTTTATTAGCCATTGCATTTTAAAAGACCATATATTAATTGGGGGAGTTGTTGAGGATGTCCAGTAGAGTCTCCGGTAAGCTGTTTGACGATGCACGCTTTCAGAATGCAACTTAACCGGATGTGGAAGTAGTTTTTTTCTCCGTGTGTAAAATAGGAAATTTCTGTGTGACTTCCCCCGGAAAACCAACAACTTAATATCAAACAGTTTCCTGTCTGTGCTACTGTAAAAATATCAGTAGTATTAATGGACAGATTTAGTCGTCAAATGCAGTAGAATGTAGCTTAGAGAGAGGACAAGGGGGTACGTGGCACATGGCGGACTCTTTTTCTGGCCATGAAGGCGCGTAAAATGGCTCCTCGGCCGCGGAGAGAAAAGCCTCGTCCCTCCACTGTTTCGAAATACGAAATGCTATTTGCCTATGTGGGTTCCATTATCGGACAGGGCTTTGGGCAATTTTCTTACAAAATTATACTTGAATCACCTATTTAAACTTTAACAGATCACACATTTAGTGGTAAACATTACTTCGTGTCCGTTTATAAGCTTTCGTATATTTTTCATGCAACAGATTTTAGGGGGGATATTAGCGCTAAGGACACTGGCGAAGCAAGAATCTAATATCGGGCGCTGTTGTGTTGAGTTTGCACATTTTAATATGTAACCTTCATCATTAGTGTGATTCGTGTATTATCCACCAATATTTGCAAAACGTGTTTGGCCAAAACCCAATAAAATACATAAAATGAACATCTCGTAGAACTCTCTTGATGTACTTTTATACAAAAAGGCGGGGACTCTGTCCGATAATGGATTCCTAACTGTTAGCTTAGGTTAAAGTAAATGGATGGGGAGGGGGAAGCACACGAACCCTCTTTCTCATGGAAATAATGACTTTATATGGAAACCTTTAGTCTAGTATACACACAGAGAGACACTGTGTGGTAGATTGAGTTATTTTAAATGAAAATGTATAATTTTTATTTTACGGTGTTATTTTTTCACCTGTTGAGTTTGATTTTAAGTCCTATTAAATCCTCTCAAATCATAAAGATTATTTTCAGTACATATTGTTTTTCTTGTTTCTGTTTTTATTAATTGGTTTATTTTATTCCATAGAATGTAAGAAGTCAGAGTAAAATGCACATTTTATATTCTGCAGTCTGAATGTGTTTATTTTTTCATAATCATAATAAAACCAAAAGAAAAACAGATCTGTATTTAGGAATCTACTTGCAGGTTAATTATTAAACATGAATTGTTCTATATGTGTAATATTTTCTTGATCACTACCAAGGTTTAAGGTCTTTGGTTGAGCTGGCAAATTAAAAAAACCTTACTGTTTCCTCTGGAACTGCACATACAGTAACGCAGTAGTTTTAGGGTTCGCCAAAAACAATACTTTAGAAAAGACAAGCATGGAGTACTCATATTAATTAGGCTCCAATGGTTAATTGTTTCTCAGAATGAATTGCTGGTTAACTAATGAGTTATTTACATTCACTCATGTAGCAGATAATTTAATTCAAGTTTACTTAACCAGTCAGAGACGGCACTATAGTAAATAAGTGCTATTATAAACCTTAAGGACTAAATTCAGTTAAAGGAAAATAAACATAATTTTTAGTTTGAAAAGCTGATTTTGGAGTTAACAACCATTTAAGAGATTATTCAAATGTATCGCTGCTCCGTTAACATTTGATGGCCTGTTCCACCATCATGCAACCAACATAAATGGGCAGATCTCAGCACTTTACTGAGTTTCAAAGGACAACAAACCTGTTGATATTATTGTGTTTAATGATGAAAAAGTTTCATTTTCCTCATTTGCTGCGTTGTCTTTACTTCTGAAATATATGTAGATGTTTTTGCTCAATTTGGATAATTTAGAGCACAAGTGATGTGTCATGAGTTTGACCCTCTGTTTTGACCTCTGTTAGATGTCGCTAGTGGACCTGGGGAAGAGGCTGCTGGAAGCAGCTCGGAAAGGTCAGGATGATGAGGTCCGAAACCTGATGGCCAATGGGGCTCCATTCACCACCGACTGGGTGAGAGGACGGCCTCACACATCCACTGATGCCAGAATTATATCTGTTTATTACTTCCTGTTTAATGTGTTCATCTTAAATGTTGAAAACAGATGATTCGTGTTGTGGCTAATACAAAGCATCTAAGTTAAGTCTTCATCTGGTACAGCCTAGGAAGTGTGTCTTACCCTAAGCGTTTTAAAGCTACAGCCCTTTATTTTAAACCCGTTTTGGGTTTGTCTGCTGCAGTGATGTCACATGTTTGTCACCTGTGTCCCACAGTTGGGGACGTCCCCTCTCCATCTGGCTGCTCAGCACGGTCATTACTCCACTGCAGATGTCCTGCTGAGAGCTGGCGTCAGCAGGGATGCCCGCACCAAAGTCGACAGGACCCCTCTTCATATGGCTGCTGCCGAGGGTCACACAGTCATCGTAGAGCTGCTGGTCAGGGTAGGGCCTCTTTTGCTCCTGACTTTCCTTCCACTGAAATGAGTTCCTCACACGATGACATATAAGACCACATTGTGATTTTAAAGATATTTTTCATAAACAAGCTGGCTGAATTGAGTAAGAATGGCACCCAGTCCTCATGTCCCTGTACCTGTGAAACCGGGGGCAGCTAGTTGAACCAGACAGACAGTTTTTAGACCAGCCAGTGCACATTTTACAGTGTGTGCTAGCGATGCGTCTCCTTTCCGCCGTGCATCAACGGTCTCCTTCAGGTTGTGCTGTGCCAACAGATATTTTGCATTACAGTATATCTAATTATGTTATTTATAGCAAATAATCAGTTCACGATCGATCAGTAACTGCTTTGCTGCTGCTACTTCACAGCCGTGGGTTTGTCTTACGATACAATCAGGTCTCCATTTTCAGGGTGAGCTCAGGTGTCAGTGGTGTTTTCCACCAAAGTTGTTCTGGTTCAGAGCCTGAATCCACCTCTAAGATTTTTAAAAACGTTTTGACATACTGCCAAATAATTGCTCCACCCCTGAAATTAGTGTAACATCGCTGCACCAACTCTTTGCGAATGGTGGTGGTTGGACTGGAGGCAGAATTATAAAAGACAGCTAAAATGCTGTGAACATAATCTTGAAAAGTACTGAGCCAGTATCGTGTCTAGTGTCCTTGGTTCAAGACATTTTGAAAAATTAACTGTTATTTGTGAGCACCTACCAGTGCCCTGCTGAGTGCAGCATTTAAGAAAATTTTGCTAACATTTTCTGGTATTTTAATGTTATGAGCTGCAGATTAAATCTTACATGATACAGTAATCATAAATAGAGTTCATGAGTACCAGTAAGTACGCTGGTTTATAAAAAATATTCACAGTTTCAGAACTCTTTAGAAAGTACTTTAGAAACCAAACTGATAATATTAAGACACTTTATACAGAGAAGGAGAAGATAATCAGAGTCCTGGCTCTGCAGTGCTTTACAAAAACATGGGAGAGAAGCTGAGAAGTCTTGGAAGTGACATGTAGAGATGGTCTGCATTTGTTTTTTTGTCGTTGGAAAATTAAAACCAGTTATTTTATGGTTGTTAAAAGAACAAACTCAAACTGGTCCTTACACACGAGGCAGTTTTGGAACTGCTTTGGTTAAGATGAATCTTCGTCTCTCCCAGGCCTCTCTGCACTGTGTCTGAAGGCCTGAAAGTCATCATAGGTTTTGCAACCCTCTCATCTGCTTTCAGAGCGGAGCCGACATTAACGCCAAAGACATGCTGAAGATGACGGCTCTTCACTGGGCCGCCCAGCACGGGCACCACGGCGTGGCTGAAACTCTCATTAAGCACGGCGCCGACGTCCACGCGCTCAGCAAGTTCGACAAGACGCCGTTCGACATCGCAGTCGACATCCAGAACACGGAACTGATGCTGCTGCTGCAGGTGAAGCGCTTAAAAGCCCCTCAGCATCCGGTTGGCTGTGTAGAAATGCGCTCATGTATCCATCCAACTAATGTTGAGAGAAAAGGAGTGCTGAGTTCACTGAGACAAAATTGTTTAAATATTTGTTTAGAAGAGCTGCGGGAAGCCAACATGATCAATTACAGTTAGCTGAAATAAAGCTGACCGACTTTTAACCTTTGAACCTTTCTGGTGACTGTAAAAGTACGTTTTTATCCTGTGTGTTCAGGAGGGAATGCAGAACCAAGTTAACATGAACCAGGTTAACATGAACCAAGTGAGTATGAACGTGGAGACCAGCAGCGCCAACAGCCAGCCACAGTTCATCATCCAGGGGATCCCTGCCATCCAAGGGGGCGTGGTCAACCTGGCCGAGCTCCTAAACAAGGCCAACGCTGGTATGAACAGACATACCGACAACCGTGTACTGTGTTTTCCAATGTGGTTGTTATTAGGCTTCTTTTTTGCGTAATTATGAATCAGAATTGAATAAACTCAGCAGAGTTTTGTGTAGCTCAGGTTAACGCTGGCTGGTGTTCTAAACATAAGAAACGCTAGTGGTTTGGGAAAGTTCACTTTATTTAAAGGCTTTATTATTAATTAACTTTGATCAATCGCATTTTTATCAAATATAATTGTTTTCTATTTTTTAAGTTTAGTTGGTCAATGCAAATACATTGGTGACAGAATAATGATTAGACATGAAAGTAGTATGAGGGCCTCCGGGGCTCTTCTTTTCTGTTTTGATAAAAGGATCATACAAAGGATCTTTTAAGGAACAACCTTTACCTGTTTGTTTATATCTTATGGACATGTTCATTTTTAAGAATTAAAAGACAACAGAAAGGGCAACAATAGGAAACGTTTGTATGTTTTTGCCCCGTAGGAGATTCAGAGGAGGCAATGGCTGCCAGCGCTCTGGACTCAAACATCCAGCATGCTGCTGTCGTCAACGAGGGTGGTCAGCGAGTCATCACCATAGTAACGGACCAGCACGGCAACCTGCAGACTACCGGAGGGATGGCGCAGCCGTTCTTTGTCACAATGCAGCACGGACAGCAGAGTACGGCGCTCCGGCAGCCTTTCCGTCAGAGTGACCCGGAATTAGTTCTGTGGCTGAGCCTTTGTTTTCATTTCAGTGCTGGCAGTGCCCGCCAACACCGTTACAGAGGAGGTGGTGACAGAGGAGCCCCAGCCTCCGCCCGCTAGGAAGAGGAAGCTGGAGGTAACCAACAACCACAATGACACGGGCGAGACGGTGAGTGGAAGAGACTGAAAAGATAAATATCCTTACCTGTAATCTTCAGTTCATGATCTGGTAGAGAAGGAAAACCTTCAGAACTTATTGCCATTGTGATCATACCTGTCATGGATGGAATAAAAGGCTTTTTATAAGCTAAGACTATCAGGTTTTAAGTAAAGTTAAAGGTGATTATATATCTTTGTGACAGAAACGTAAACATTCCAACTCTAATAGAAAACAAATCCTCCTCACACACTCCTCAGGAGCTGCTGCAAAGGCAACTACTGGAGGCCAACAGAAAGGCTCAGGAGTACCGACAACAGCTGCTGCGCAAGGAGCAGGAAGCCGAGGAGTACCGCATCAAGCTGGAGGCCATGTCCCAAAGTCAGGCAAACAGCACCAACGCCAGCACAGCCGGCAGCGCCGCCGCCAACGCCGCCAGTCCCGATGAGGTGGTTGGAGGGGAAGATGAAGAGGAGGGAGGTGCCAGTGTGGTGGAAGAAGAGGGTGAGATGGTGGTGCTGCAGGAGGGCGGCATCATCATGGAAGGAGAGGAGGGGCAGGTGACTCTGGTGGAGACGGGGGGAGAGACAACACAGGTCAGCTCATAACAGAGGCGGCGCGGGAGGAGAGAAAAGGGGGAGGAGGGGAGGTACACCAATGAAAAGACTCGACATAACAGGAGATGGTTGATTAGACTGAGAGCAAGGGGACGGAGCTGACTCCTGGTGGGAAGCGCACAGCATTTTGAATCCCCTCACAGATCAGTACCAACTGGTGTGATGAGAGGGATGAAAGGGGTTTTCTAAACGGAGCAGAAATGCGAGCTATGGAAGTTGGCTTTGTTGATGCGTGCACCATCATGAATCCCCTGAACCATTTGCTACAAATAGAAATGCGGACGGACAAGATGGAGGACTTCGATCATTCACAGTGTTGAGTTCCTGCTTGTTTGTTTTTTTCCTTGAATGCCTCCTCAAAAGATTGAACCCCGGAGGAAGTGAGCTCTCACTCATGTTTGCTGGAGCGCTCCGTTTTTCCTGCAAACAGGGGCGTGAAATCAAGCAGCAGTCATTTTTGTTCCCTGAACATCACATCCAGGCAGCATTTTCCTTCCTCGGCTGAATCACAGTGAGTGGTTATGAGGACATGATCCCTAAAACAGGTGGTTCACATAGAAAAAGTGAGCTTCGGTTTGTGTTTAATAATGTTTCCCCCTTTTTGATTTTTGTTAATATCTTCGCGTTTTCACGTCTTAACTATATACTTCCTTTTGATAACATTATACTCAGTATTCCTTTGCGCTCTCTCATTTAGTAAATGAATGAACAATCTGTCTAACTGCTTTTAACACATGCTGATGAAAAACAGGATTCTTTTGCCATGTCTGATGCCACTTAGCTTCTCTCTGATAGTGAAACAGAAGGTCAGTAACAACGCCACAGGTATGAGCTGTGATAACAAGGAAAGGTTCATTTTTTTCAGGGTTCTTTTGGACACTACAGTACAGGCATTTCTCTCCAAGAAGCAGATGTTTTGTCTTTCTATTAACCGTACCAAGCTGTTTTTTTCACTTGTGATCATGTTTGAACAAAGTGTTTCTTATTCACCTCTTCACACACATAGCCCGACATTTCCTATTTTAGATCTGAAACAAATTGGACATCTGAGTTTCACTGATTCCGGAATCCCATCAAGACCTGAACCAGAACCTTCGTGGAAACCAACTTTCCCAAATTATTCTGACCATTATTACTTCAAACCTTTCGGTTGGCAAGAAAGCCACTGTCGCTCTCACAGGGGCAAAGATAACAAACAGCTTGATCAGTTTCCCTGTTATTTTCTGTTTTTAAGGATAGAAATTAACCCACTTTCCCAGTTAACCCAAAGATAATTTTATAAAGCATCTATAAGAGAGAGTAAAGAAATCCCAAATTTATTGTACCTTTGCTTTTTAATACTCCAGTCATTATCGGGGCTTCTGTTTTGTCTTAACATCTTTTCTAAAAGTGTGTTTTTGTGTCTCTTAATACTGAAAGCTCACACCGCACTTTCTACTAGGAGGTTTACGTTACATTTCAGTACATCACTTGTCCAAATAACTTCTCAGTTTCTTTGTTTTTCTAAAATATTCAGCTCCTTTTATCTGTTAACAACTTCCAAAAATCCAAAGACTGAAAAAACTCATCAAGGAAGGCCAATTTGTTTTTGGTTATTGAATGATTTTGGTGCTAAAGTAATTTTATGAGAAACTGAGACACATTGCTGGAGTCCATACACAGTTTGTCTGCTTTGGAAAAACTGTTTGAGTTACGGCGATGCTGCGCTTCGGTTGGCTGCTCGTGCACAAAATGACTCACAACACTGACTACACAACATTTGAATTCTTTGGGCTTCAAATCAAGTGAATGATCAAGGGAACATTGAATTGGTTCGAAAACATTTAGTCATCTTCTGATTCATGAATCAGCCTGACAGATTTACAATGTTCCTTATGGTTAGCTAACGAATGCTGCATGTGGGACACTTCCCATTGTCCTGACCTTCCTAAATTTTCTCACCTCTTCTTACTCATCTGACCTCCACAGTGATCAGTCAGAATTTGTGTTGATAATCAGCGGGTTTGAGAAAGCCATAACTCTAACCTGAATCTCTTAAATGCAGGAATTTTAATGTCCCTCAATCTAAACTGATATCAGGAACTTACTCGCCGTAACCTGGTTTCCACAGCAGCCACATTTGTTCCCTCTGAATGTTGATCAAAGTCCAGTAAAACCTTTAGCTCAATTGTATCAAACTGGTTTTCCCCTCAAACTGCGTGTGTGTAGTCTGGCTGTTTGGTTGGAGGAGAAGCCCCTCATACCTCAGACAGGCTCCTATGAGAGGCTTCATGTTGGTCAAGTGCAGAAAGCATTTACTGACACTATCTGTGAGCTTATGTCCTTTAGTAGCTTTTTAAACCCACCCGTATCCTCTCTGCCACCTGTCGTGCCCCCCAGCCCCTTCTTTCTTTAACCTGTGATCCTGCATCATTTGAGTTATAGTTATTTTTATAACCTCAGAAAAGCCAACCCTTTTGTATGTACATATAAAGTTGTATTTTTTTAACTGTACCTGATTGCTTCATGATGATGATGATGGTGATGATGGCCTCCTGCATTGGTAATCTGAAATATAAACTTGTTTTTTGGAATAAGAACTTCTTTGTTGTGTTTTTAGCCCTTAGAGAGCATCAGCCACAGTCTGCTGGACAAACCGTATATCATTTATTTATGAGCTTTCTGTAGTATTAGGATCACAGTGGAGGATCACTGTGACGGGGGGCATTCAATCAATCAACATTTTGAAAAATGTTGTTTAGTAGTAAAGGTTAACCTATGACTGCTTTGTAACAGTTAATCTTTGACATTGAAAGAAGCATTATACATGCCCAGTCATGTATTGTTAGTTTCAACATATTTTGTGGATTTGATGACGTAATGTTTATTACAATTAACAGTTGAAGTTTAAATCGCACCTTTTTTCTTTTTTTAAAAATAAACCAGATAAGCTCTGCCAAATGGACTCTGGATATCTACTTTGCGCCCCCACCCCCTCTCCCCCAACATCGGGAGTATCTCCATAAGAGCATTGCCTTTTATTGGTATTGACTTAACATTATTTACACATTTAAATATATCCAATGAAGTGTTTTTTGTTGTCTATTTAATTATTTATTCAGAAATGTATTTGAATAGTTTCCAATCAAATACAAAAATAATTTAAATGTAGGGCATTTTTCTTAAACTGGTGTTTCAGGGTTAATATTTTATGCAATATGTATGTTTTGTAAAAAGCAGCAAAATGTTAGTAACTGTGACGGCAACAAACACTACAACTCCCGTGCGTGTGCGCGGGCCTGTGTAGCATTTGGGACGCAGCCATCCAGTTAGTGGATTAATACCGATCAGTTATGATTGGCATTTCCACTGTCAAATCAGGTGCCGAGGAAACACAAACGGCCAACCCTGTTCATCTGGGGGCGGGGCTGTAGTGGAGAGGGCAGGGCGCGAGGTATCATGGAGGATCAGTAGGCAAACTGCGGCCAGCAGAGTAGGGCAGCCACGGCTCTGATACCCGGGAGTTTCTCAACTGTACATTGCTCGCTCCTGAACAAAAACACCACATATTTCAACATGGACATGAAGAAAAGGATCACTTTAGAGGTGCGGAACCGGCGTCCAGCGGAGGTAAGTTACTTAGACTTTAATAACATGTTTAATTGTTGCCTGAAATAGTCCGTGAGGTGATGTGCGTCTGGAGCCTGATCTAGCCGTTGCCCCCTCCGTACCTCTCGCGAACCCCACTTCTCAAATAAACGTGATCGGATATTCGCCTACTAAACCACAATTATCGATTAATTCTCGGTTTGATCCGCTGCCCCAGTTATCCTCGGCAATTTCAGCTGGATGTGGAGCATCTCACGGCTTGCACCGTCCGTCCGCCCGCCCCCTCCTGCTTTTCGGTGAAATCTCGTCTGCCACGGAGGTTGAACTTATCCCGTAAAATGCACCAGCTTGCACCCCATTCATGTTGCTTATTCCACCGAGCGGTTCGGCTCTCATTGACCGATAGCCAAAACGCCGTTAATAACGATGCGAAGTTTTAACTTTCAACCGTCCCCCGATAGCTCAAAGCTGTGATAGAGGACGTCGTGATAATGCAAAAATAAATATGACTAAACTGTGTGTGTTTGGAAGGAGCTGGAGCGAGTGTTTGAAGGCGAGCACCGCTCTGTTTCGTGCTCATCGTCACGGGAAAACAAAGCGCGCCAACCAGAACAACAACTCGGCTGTCGGTTACAGAATCGTCTTCCTTCCTTCTTCACGAGCGGACATTTTAAGTCTCAGGCGGTTTAAACTTCGACAGAAATGTCTGATACCCCACTTCCTCTCGCCGTGTTTCGTCGCGTCACATTGCGCCCAGACGAATTTGAAATAAAATTGGTCGTGTTTATTGTTTTTTTACGTGGGGGTTTTGCGGAGGAACGACCCAGTTCGGTGGCGCACTGAGGTCGGTCAAACACATGGGAGCAGTAACGCGTTACCGACTTAACCGTTACAGAAAGCGGATTAGCTGTCTGCTATGTTGGCCGATAACGACCAAAAAAATCGACTCCACGACCGTAAGGCACATTAATAATGCAGCTTTTTGCTACCATCTGTTACCGTGGCGTGTGCTACACGGTAACGACGGCTCGGCGTTGGTAGAACTCCGTCTTCGTAACGGGGGAAAAACGTCGTTACTCCGGGACTTTGAAAGTACCACAGATTAGATGGTGATTACTGTTTGTGCTGATCGACCAGATCCGCATAACTTTGCCCATTTACCGGCTTCTCGTTTCTCCGGTCATTCCCTTTAAAGCGAGGTCACGTAGGAAGTCTAATTAATTTAATTGTCAGGTTGTGTCGTCCATTTCTACACAGCGGGACTCCATGCTGTGTGTCTGTGTGTATTATATAACCGGCAGCTCCGGTCAAATAATGCTCCAACCTATTTCACCTCAACAGACGAAACGCCGCTGCCATGTTTTATGAATTGGCCGGCAGATGGTGAACGTATAGGCAGCTCCTCCCGGAGCCGCAGCTCCTCCACGCTGCATGCAGATTACAGCGGGTTAAAGCCTGCGCAGTCACACTGGAGATGGTGGAGCTGCAGGCTTACGCTCCAACCGAGCTCTTATGGTTATATAAGCAGGAAGAGCAGAGGAACTCTGGGAAATGAAAGCACCCACCAGTCTGGATTGGGAACCACAGCCCAGTCTCTTTATTCTCCGTCAGTCGAGTAATTTCCTCATTATGTTGGTATGGAATATGTCGACAAACTAAATGTTAAAAGTTATATTTTCACATCTCATTTAATATGTTAAAAAGCAGTTATATTTTGACGCTTTTAAGTTAATTATAACAATACGTGTGAGTTATAGAGTATGATCAGAGATATGTTAATAAAGATATTATAAAGACAATGGACTTAATCAAAAAATTTTAAAGGCTAAATCTATTAAAAGATGACCAAAATAGACTTTTTGACATCTGGTATCTGCGTTAGGACTCACATTGTGAAGAAGTTTGACGCGACTAGTCTCAGAAACACTGAGCAACAGATTCATGGAGGTGTGAGAGAGTCCATGTCTGCAGAGGGGAAACAGCCAGAAGGCGAATATGTGGCAGTATTTTCTTCAGAAGTATGCCACCGACAGGAAACTTTGCAAAAGCAAAGCAACAATTTGAACCATATCCTAGACCAAAACAATTATTTATTGCCTGTTTTTAAAAAACTTTTTTGTGAAAGTCTTTTTTTTTTAAAGTCAAGCCAAACTTGAAATAAAACTAAATTGAAGTGGAATTTATTCGATTCAGCTATACAGTATGCAAAACTGAAAGTAACATGATTACAAGTAAAGTTAACTCAAGACTTAAAAAGACGAACCATTTCATTGATGAAATACATAATTTGATATTACTGTTGTGTTGCTTTTATTCACAGATGCCTTTTTTGTCACTTTGATTTCCCCCTTTGATTTCTTACCCAGCTCTATTTCCCCAGAAAAATACCTATACCTATATCTTCTTTTTACAAGTCTCTGTTTTTACATTCATAATGCACTGCAGCCTCATTTTGGAAAAGAGTTACAGTAGTTAGTTCTGAAATGGAGGCACCTGTCTGGCTTCCCTGGAAAGGACGTCCAAATAGTCAGAACACGCAATGATCAGATAAGCAGCACCAAACCTAAGGGCTACGTCTGAGAGTCTACATGCCTCAGCTAGCTTGTCGAAGGTTTAAGGTCATGACAGAACGACAGGAATAAAGAACAAGTATGGCTTGTTTTCAAGAGTTGACGAAGAAAGCCTTTTCCTTCTAAAGAGAACATGGCAGCTCACTTTAGGTTCATAAAGTTGACAGACCAAAGTGGAGTGTTAGGTCAGTTCGCCGCACTAGACTCATCATAAAAAAAAAAGTCCTCTTGTACCCATTGAGACGACCATGAAGTTTTGATGAAAGTTGGGAGTAAAACAGGACAATGATCCCAAACACGGCAGCAAGTCCCCATTAGAAAATCTGAAAAAAGAAGAGACGCTAGGTGTTGCACCGACCCAGTGCAGTCAGTGTGGGCCAGCTGTCCGTTGGGGCTGCTGGACGTTGGACGGACAGCCTGAAAACGGGCGGCTGCCCTGTTCTGCTACCTTCCAGATTGTGGAGCTGGTGGTGGACAACAGTCGCTCGGCTGACGGGGAGGTCGAGGGCCTGACGGACGACTTCACGGAGCTGGAGTTCCTCAGCATGGTCAACGTGGGGCTGAACTCGCTGTCGAAGCTGCCCTCTCTGCCCAAACTGCACAAGGTAAGCACTGCTCACCTGCCGGGTGGCAATTCAAAGGAGGCCCCCGCTCGGGATCCCGATCCATTTATGTTTTGGATCTGAAATTCTTCACTTTTTAGCTAAAGTCTCTCCTTTAGCCTTAGAAGGCTGGACTTAATTGTTCAGTGTTTTGGAATTATGAAGTAGTGTGGTTGATCATTTCGGGCCTGTTTTGATGGTTTTGGTCCTCCCAACCACTGATACTCAGATGGCCCTTTGCTAACTGTTTATGTTGAACCCAGACGTCCTCTGCCATGTGAATTAAAGAGCATATTTTGTCAAACTGATATATTATTTATGAGGTCCACTCAAAAGGCGTGGGATACCTGCTTTGATCTAGCTGCTGAATGGCTGAAGTACACCGGTTAGTCCAGCAGGTGTCACTGCCGTGCTTTTGATTTGAAACTGAAAGCTTGGCAACCTCTCCAGTGGTTGGAGGACAGGCTTCCTCCAAAGTGGATTTCAGGCAATGTTAAGGCCTGTTTTTGTTACCATAGAGAATCCCACGAAGAAACTTTTAATTATTATTGAATCAATAAAAAATGACAGAATGTTTCCTCTGTAGTTGAGCTTTTCATCAAACTGATATCGACTGAAAGGTGGACAGACGTCACGACGTTGTGACTCTTTCTGCGTCCTCTGACCGTCCTCCAGGATGTTCCCCCAGCTGTTCTCACATCTGCCTCTCTTTCCTCAGCTGGAGCTGAGCGACAACAACCTGTCAGGGTCTCTGGCAATTCTGGCGGAGAAATGTCCCAACTTGACCTACCTCAACCTGAGCGGGAACAAGATCAAAGAGCTGAGCACCGTGGAGGCACTGGTCAGTTCCTGGCTCCCGTCCGCCGCCTTTTAGCGCGACTGTCCAGGGTTCGAATTTGGTATTACCAAAAGTAGCGAGCTGGATTGGTACTATTCTGTGGGCTCAAGCATACTAAATACGAATATTTCTTCGTAGCCTTTGTAAGGAGATCGCTTGGAAGGCTGTCGTGGGTCTGCTAAAATAAAATATTATTACGTTTTCAGTTCCTCTCGCTTGGCGGCGCAACCACGTCATGCCTCGAACGATTTCATAAAGATTATGATAAACTGCAAGATAACATGGCGGGACGATGTATTTCAAACGAAAACTTAAAAAAAAAATTTTTTTGAATCCCTGTTTATTTTGCATGTATTTGATATAAAAACTTCATTTGCCGACCCGTCCTAACCCACGACAGCACGACAGGCTAACAACTTTTGATTTTCTCACGCCCGGACAATAAAGCGAACCCTGGACTGTCCACGTTTGGGTGTGCTAACGTGCTTGCGTTTCATTTCCCTGCCGCAGCAAAACCTGAAGAGCCTGCAGAGTCTGGACCTGTTCAACTGTGAGATCACGTCTTTGGAGGACTACAGGGAGAGCGTGTTCGAGCTGCTTCCACAGGTCACCTACCTGGACGGGTTCGACCAGGAGGACAACGAGGCCCCCGACTCGGAGGCTGATGATGAAGGTGGGACGTTCACCTCCGTGAACAAAGTCGAACAATCCCGGGAGGGTCTCTTGTCTGATGGCGGTGTGTGCTCACAGATGAGAACGGCGAGGAAGGGGCAGGGCCCACTGGCGATTACGACGATGATGACGATGAAGAGGAGGATGAAGACGGCTCTGAGGGAGGAGAGGTGGGGTTGAGCTTTCAGGTGAACCAGGGCAATCAGGTGGGCATCTCAGGCTTTCGCCTGCAGGTAGAGCCACAGCAGCCCCCCCCCCTTCCCATCCCATCCCATCATGCACCTGTGCTCAGCCAAGCAGAGAACAGAGGTTTAGATCCAGATTCCAATAGGACTTCTTTAAAAGATCCAGCCATTACACTTTTTGATTTGAGACTTTTCCTGTTGCTCAGAGGTTTCTGTAGTAACACCATCACGTGTGGGCAGATCAGATCCTGCCAGCTGACAGGCTGCAGGACTCAAAAGTTTTAGTCTGCCGTTTGATGGGGATGTTAGACTTTCCCATCTATTTAGATCAGTTCTCTGGCTGGTCTGATTGATTCACCCCAGGTTTGAACGTGTTCTCGACCAGGTTTGGCTCCAAAATGGCCGCCTCTGACACATGGCGCAGGGGACATGTGTCCAAAATAAAACATGATTTTCTCTCTAATCATGAAATGAAAACAAAGAACAATACACAAGCATTTGGCCCGTACTTCTACTTTCCTGCTAATTTCCAGAAATTCTCTTCACACTTTTCTCAAAATCATCCGAAAATGGCAGCATTTACTGTTTCGTTTTAGTTTTTTTTTAATTCAACTACATTTACATCAGGGATTTGAAGGGAGAAAATAAGCTTTTTATTTTTGTGACAAAGAGAGAAATCAATCAGATTGTTTTGCCAGCCGAAAAGCTAGAATGCAATCCTAATTAACTCTGTGCTGTAGGCAGAACGGTGAGGAGAAAATTCACCTTCTATAATAAAATTAAAACATTTAATATCCCTTTTGTTGACATTGAGAAATTTTTTTTTTTCAATCTTTATTTTCCTTTAATTTCATTTTAATCTTACTCTTGGATACTAAAAACAAAGTGGGAGAGGTGCTCAGGAAGCTTTCACTTCTCAAATGTTTGATTAGATACTATATTTTTACTCAGATATACGTGACATTAAGAAGTTATTAATACGGTTTACAGTAAAGACCCACTAATGGGGAACTATTTATTAGTATTCCTGTGGCTGCTCCAACGAGCGACACTTCACCTCTGATGTCACCTTGTTGTGTTCAGGTCTCTGTTTGGGGATTTTTGCATAATGCTGCGGTCAAACTGGCAAGCAGGCTCCAAGAAATTGCCTTAATAGGGACAAATATAGAGCTTTAATAGGGAATCTGACCTGTTAAATCCAACATTTCAGATAGGAAAGACAATCCGTCGGTTAAAAAAAGAAAAAAGATTCCAATTATGTCTAACTGTGTCAACTGCGCAGAACATTAATTGAAATTCGCAGGAAAGTATTTTTAAACATGAAACGGTAAAAGTGGCGTTCAGTGACGCCCCGTCAGAGTCGGTTTGCCGGAGCCGTCTGGTCGTCCTCTGTGAGTAGCCGTAGCGACCCATTAGCGCCTTCAAATCTGAAAAGGCCTCGCGTGTTTTGACCCTGAAGCTTCATCCATGTCCGTCTTCCATCACAGGATGAATATAACGACGAGGAGGACGACTTTCCAGATGACGAAGGTAAGCGCGTCATTTCCAGGTTTCCAAGTCACAGTTTAAAGGTGAAGGCAGCGCGGGGCGGCCGGTGACTGGTTCTGTTTGTCTCTGCAGAGGAGCAGGCCGGCGTTCAGGGAGAAAAGAGGAAGAGAGACGTAGATGACGAAGGAGAGGAAGACGATGACGACGAAGACGACTAGGCGTCCAGCCGGCTGCCGTCCGTCCGTCCGTGTGTCATCCTGTCCCGTCTCTGTCCGTCTCAGTCCTCCTCCGGGCCCGACCTCCACCAGACAGCAGCCGCGGCGCTGCGACCTCAGATAGTTGGTTTCAGTTTGTAATAGAATCACTTGTTTATTTTTAGACGATATATGAGATTTACAGAGGAAGATTTTATCTGAACTTTACCTGTCGGTTCCAGCTGAAGACTCCACATGTTTCCCTTTAAAAACCTGGTTCAGGATCAAACTTTCTGTCTGTCCAGTAAGCCTCCCTCCACTCCCTGGACTCCGGTCCTCATCTAAAACGCCCTCCTCGCTCCGATTCGCGCATCATGTTCCTCAAGCACAGAAACCATCATGAAAAGGGTTGATTTTCTTTAGGACCTTCAGGGATACGTTTTCACTGACTGGTAAAAAAGAGGGCCTTCAGAGGGAGAAGACGCCAGGACCGCTTGTCCCACATTGGCACCTTCTAACTGGAGACACGTAGCGGCAGTACCATCACAACAAGCTCTCCTCTCGTGGTTTTCTGGGACCAGGAACGCACCACCAGACTCCTCTCCTCCACCCTGTCCCGCTCAGTGGCTCTCGCATCGCATTTGAGGTTTGAACGTAGCCCGAACTCCCACCTACAGCTCCCGGGCGCAGAAAATTCCTCTTTTCCTATTCCAGCGGGACTGAACCGGTCTCTGTCATCTCCACCGGTTTGCGGAGCCGGAGCTCCGGTCAGGTCTTCACATCACACAAGTCAACGCAGCTATGTTTTTATGATGGTTTTAGTCCGTTATTTTCAATTTTTTCTTCTTGGATCAGCTTTGAAGAAAGAAAAAAAAAAAAGATTTTCAACCTGCCATCTTAGATGTGTGTCCCACTTGGCTACCAGGAGCCCCTCAGATGCGTTGATCCAGTAACCACGGAGGCCTGCAGCTCCCAGTTTTCTTCTTCTGAACTCCCGAGCTTAAAACCAGACAGAGCATCGGCTTTTCACCCAATGAACCCCCCCTTCATTTTAACCGAGAACACGACACCGGCGCACCGCAGCCATATCACCTCTGGACTCTGGACAGATGAGGGCGCCCCCTTCAGGAGCTCATATCCAGTCAGGGAAGTCACATGCTTCAGTGGGGGATCACATGGACTCTGCCGTCTCCACCCCTTCATAGTTAGAAATATGCAGACCTGCTGTAGCTCAGGTCCACTGCGGAGATCCTAGTCATGACGTTGTTCCAGTGTGTGTTTGATTTATCGTAGGGATTTTGTCGGGGAGATAGTGGGCGGGTGAGAGGGACTATTAGCTCTTTTTTCTTTTGTTGTTTTGTTTTTTTCTTTGTCAATGTGTTGATTTTCTTCTTTGGTTTATGTGTTTCTTGATCAGCGGCAGTTGATGTTTTTAGATAAAAAAACAACAACAACGAGTGGCTCATTTCTGGTTCCCTGGAAACATTCTGACCAGCGCTGCATCACAACCCAACCCTTAGTGTACCCCGAAAGCCCGTGGTGCGTTCAGGGGATCTCTGTGTTGTCTGTGAGTTTTTCTTTTAGTTAAAAATGTGAAAACTATTTAAAGGGAGAAAAATTTAAATATTCAGTTTTCCAGTTCTCAACAGAGCAGCATTGGGGTTCGGCTTACACTGGTTGATTCGAGTTTTAAAGATAATCTTTCTTTTTTTGTCTATGCAGAACCAGTCATACACATAAAAGTGACTAACTAATGTAGGACAGCAAATAAAACCCTGGAATCACAACCCCGATCCGCTCAATGAATAATAACTTAATTTAGGGGGGAAAAAGGAAAACTTTAATTACACATTTCTAAACTTCTAAACTAAATGTAAACCATGTGCACATGTAACCGAGTGTAAAAACCTGAGGTGAGTTCAGGAGTTGCTTGAACTCACCACTCCAGCTGGCAGATATGCGGTGCTTTTAGGACACTGAGGACAGCAGCTCACCTCCTTGACTCCTTCCCTTACCTCCTTACCTCCCTTTCAGTCTCTCCTACTGGAAATACAAATTGAGGAGCATTTTAAAAACATTGGGCATCTTTTGTTGTTTGGCACGGCTGCAAAACCCGCTCATTGTTTTAGTTCAAACCATTTTTATGCATTACAAAATGGACATTTATCCATTTTTAATTCGGTTTACACTTTAAAAAAGCGGCGTCTCTCCTCTCTAGTATTTTAGATAATCAAATCGTCTTTAAGGTTATTTTGTTTTTCCAAGTAGAGGCCAGGACGACGATGCCCAAAGAAGAGTAATGACAAAAGAGGCGTTGTTTCCTTCATCTTTGCTGTTACAGGAGGCGGAGCCTGAAACTGCACATCTGTCATTTGATCAGTTTTTCGGGTGGAGCTGCCGCGCATTGTTTTTTCAGCAGCCTTCTTCTTCTCGCTCTGTCAAAGAGGACCGAACCCAACCAGGAAAAAAAAAGTTATCTATTGTATTCAGCCTAATTTTTTTTAAGTGTGCAAAATGCTGATAAACCGGAAGGGTGGTTTTATTTGTCCAGGTTTGTTTCTCTTCTGGTGTGTCCTGTCTGGTCCTGATGATGAAGCAGCAAATCTCTGCCCAGCTGCCATCAGTGGAATTGCTGTAAACCTTTAGCTTTTCTACTCTTGGAAGCCACACGTCATCCTAAGGACACCTTATTGTTTAGCTGTGACTCCAGACGGGACCTTTTTGTGTTCCGACTTTAACATCTTCTGAGATATAGTCAAGATGTTTTGGTTTGTGTTTTTTCCACATTAGTCTAGCGTTTGAAAAAAATTCAACCGTTAAAAATCAGATTTTGAACTTTTTTGATAGGAAACTTGATATTTTTGTGTTTTTTCTTTCTTTTTTTCCTTTTTTTTTAAAGTTCCAATTCTAGGCAGCAATTTACAAATGACAATAAGTTCTCACCCTGGTTCATTCTGGCTTTAAAGTCAGTGATGAGTCTAGAAAAGAAGCCAGGCGCAGGGCTGTTGTAAACAGGTGTGTTACTATTCAGAGTGTGAAGGCCACATCCGTCTGGCTCTCTGAGGTCAGGCTTTCTTAGGCAGTGTTGTGATCGGTCCTGCTTCAGTTTCAGGTTGGCTTTTTATTCCACAAAAGCTTTGAAGACTCCCTCTTTCTGTTTGTTTTTTCTGCACAGAGGTTGTAGTAGAATCCCCCTTTGACCCTTCATCTCGGCTCCTCCGTCAGCCCTTCCTCATCCCCTCTGTTGGGGAAAACTGTGTTTGACTTTTTGTGGTGTAACTAAAACATGTTCAGGGGTTTTGAATAAAAAATACAAAAAGAGAATGACTGATGTTTTTTCCCTGAAGACAGTTTTCCAAACTGCTCTCAAACAGGCTTTTTCCAACCAGTCCATGGTCTCGTTGGTGATCGCTTGTTTTTGATTGGATGAATATACAGTAGCTCTTCATCAATCAATTAGTCCATTCATTTTCTAAGCAAATTTAACCTTGTCTGAGGTCCCAGTGAAGCAGCACCCCCCCACAACATGATGATTTTATTTGTCCACTAGAGGGCGATGTTGCCTTCTCCCTAATTTATATCAAAAGATGTTACCTTTGCCTTTTTTTTTTCTTTTGCAAACACAACCATCTGAGAAGCTTCTGAGTTTGTCTGACCTGAATTGGAGAACAATTTCAGTGTTTAGTGTTTGCTGGTTTTGCGCTCTTCTTAATGATAGTTCCCTTTTCCTTCCTTCTCTAAACCATTTTCTGGCATTTATAAGATTAGTCAGATCTGTTTGGTCCTCTCCAGAAAAGCAGGGGGCAACTTTTCTGATGTACAGCCACGGAAAGGTGGACAGGAACGCTCTGTCTGCAAAGAACCGCGGCACCATATCAACAGCTTGTTAGTCGTTTTTTTTTTTCAAAGGGCCTAAAGGAGACAAGGAAGGATGGAAGGAAACAAGAAGGTGAAATAAGAATGTGTCCCTGTGTCTCCTGAAACCTCCCCCTTGCTTCGTCTTCTCTTGATCGACTTTGTGGAATTTAAACAGATCAAACGGATAAATTGTCCTTTAATGGAGGCAACAGCTGCGACCACACACACATTAACACGCATACACCCCCCCCTCCTTCCCGCCTCCTACTGCCTCCCCTGGGAGCTTCCTGCCCAACTGCTTCCCAGGAGAGAACGTTCAAACTGCTCATTATTCAGCTGTCGGTCACAGGCCGCAGCTGCTCTGGTTGGTCACAAAAGGTCAGGTGATTACAGACGACCTGTCATGGAGCGGGATACGGTGACACTCTGGATACGCTGCGAGAAAGTCTCAGATTAGTGCGTCTGCTCTGGCTTGTAACGTGCAAATATCCAGCAGAGGTGCAGGGCATGTAAACTGTGGAGCCCGGGAAGGAATTGGAAGGGTCAGTCACTTGGCCGAGGCTGACGGATTCACTAATTCAATCGCACACGGTCACAATGGGAGGAGAGACGGAGGTGGTGGCATTGTGTTGTGGAGGGGCCCCTTTGTCGGGGTGTCATTTTAGGTCATTTAACGCTTTTTATTTTGTCCCGGTGTCTGGCAGATTGGTCCCATTTATCCGACAGACAATCCGTTTAGTCTCGGCGGGTCGGCATGGAGGACTCCTGCTGAGGTGGTAGGACGTGTAAAAACATGTGCTCCTCTCCCTCTCCTTCAGTCCTGTCCAGCTGCTGGACAGATTCTCAGGTCAGAGGTAATCATTTTTTTACTCCAGCAGCTTCGACCGCTTTGCGACCAAGTGTCAGAGATCAAACCCACCGCCAGCGATCCCATTCTGCATCAGGTGTTTCGTGTAGATTTGTCAAATTTAAAGACAAAAAATCATCCTATTACCTCCGAGGTTTGGCTAACAAAGAGAATATCAGCCACCACACTATTAGGGAAACTATTACTCCATAATCCCTGATCATATCCACAACCCACACCCGCTGAAGGGTCAGTCTGACCACTCAAATGGTGAAACAAAAAAGGTTTTCTTAGCGCCGGGCAGGTGGTCACAATGTTGCGGCCGACTGGTTTAACTACCTATCTGTTTGCACTGAGCAAGCTAAGGCATTTGGTTTCACAAATCCATTTTTAGGGCAGTTGTTGGCTGTGATTTATGTTTCTGTGGCGATTCAGAGCAGGCCGACAGATTCAGTGGCAGCAGGGTTTCCGTTCAGAGGGTGGAAGATCAACAAGAGCCCAGAAACGCCTTCAAAAGCTCCAGCATCTTATGTTATCGGTTGGGAAAACTCAAATCAGTTCCACTATAGCACTTTTAAAATGCGAGTATCAGAGTGCCTTCTTCCTGTTTATAGATTCTTTGAAATATTCAGACCCCCTAAAAGCGTTGTGGTCCTGGCTTTTTTTTTTTATAAGACATTGATTCTGCATCGTGACCACACAATAACAGACACATGTACAGTCGCCAGCAAAATTATTCCACCCCCCAGCGCCCGAGAGATCCAAATCAATGGGAGCCTGAATTACAGCTGCAGCTGGTTTCATGTCGCATTCGCTGGCTTTATTTGCATCGACTGGCTGGCTTGTGGGTCTCTAAATCTGCTCCAAAAGTCACAATTTGTGGATTGATAACAATTATAAAGACGTAAAAGATAAGACGTGTCTTGCGGTCAAAGTTGATGCCTTATTAATGCATGTAGAGTAAGACAAAGTCGGGCCTCCCCATGTATTTTTAGTTCTGTTGCTACGAGAGCTGCAGGACGACTAACGATCAGCCGGATCTGCTCCTCTCCCTCCCGACGGGGCCAGCCTGGCAGTCACAGCGCAGGGCCCGCCGGCTCCTCGGGATCATTTGTGATGCAGCAGATCAGGATCAAGTGAGCTGCCTGATCCTGACCCCCTGGGGAGACTCTCAGACGACCGGTGAGCTGATGAGAGCCTCCACAGGGTGAAACTGGCCATTCTTCTCTGCTGACGGTTGGCCGTCTCTGTCTAGATTAGGGTGCAGTTGAGTTCCAGTCCAGTCCTATAAAATCCTAAAAGAAAAGTCGGGGTCTTGACGCTGAGGCAGAGGTGGTGGTGTTTTTTTTGGGGGGGTTGCAATCAGACATCAGGGAAATCATGGAGACGCTCCACCTGAGACAGAAGGTGAGTCTCACAGATTGTAAACAAAGGTGGAGAAAAAAAAGGGACTCCCCAGGGATTATACCTGAATCTGCCAGGTCAGAGAGAATCGTCAGGTAAGAGCCGAGCACCTTGTGGAAAATGAGGACAAATGAATGGAAATGTTTCCACAGGAATGGGGAGGAGGCAGAGGATGGGAGTTGGAACAAAGGGGAAAGGGGAGTGAAATAAGGAAAGGAGATGAGGAAGGAGGTAAGGTTGAGGGGAATAAACGAGGTCGAGGCTTTGAACAGACGCTGCAGGGCTCTGACTCACGCACTTACCATCCCCCACCTCCCTCTGTAATCCTTCCTGCATTAACTGAGAACAAACTGTAACACTGACCTGGTACACCGAGACTCTGCGTGAGCGTTAATGTGCGCGCGTTTTAATAAATCATGGAATAACACTCCCTCCCCACTCCCAGCGGAGAGGGTAACTAAACCAGAGGCTTCAGACAGTAAGAGAGTGAGCGTGATGATGCAGGGAGAGAATCAGTGTAAATAATTTACTCGATTCTGATGTGAACGTGATTCAGCCTCGACCGTCTTTCGGTAAATTATTCTGGGAGAGAAATTGCACCAAAACCAAAATGGCCCAATCGAAATCCGGAGTTTTCTCAGAGCCCACAACTATCGGTGGGTACTATCTTATATAGGACTAATTCTTACACCCAAACCTTCTAAAAATGCCTGTAATACTTTGTATTTTCATGGTTTTCTGTGAAATAAATATTGATCAAGTGTCTGAAATTTTAAATGCTGAAAGTTGAATAAAGAAATCCAATGTTGCTGATCAGGGAACAGGCAGAAAGCAACAACATGCATTACTGCTCTTTCCTTTTTCAGAACAAACAGTTTAATTGTGTTCGGGGTTGCAGGAAGGCTGAGCATTCTGCACAGGTTTATCTCCTTTAAGGAGACAAGCACATGAATCACAATGCGAGCCCGTACTCGCTCCAAGGGTTTTATGTGCTACTTGGAGAAATTTGGAACAAACATATAAGCTATCCACTGAAAGTAATGGTCAATATTTCAACCAAAATCCTTCTCGGTTGCAAAAAAGTCTCCACACATGACCCCAGATGCTCTTCAGGTTATAGGTTAATCCTTCTCTGCCTCAAGCCGTCCTGCTCCAAGGTCCTGTTCTGACATAAAAAAGACCACAAAAAAAGAGCAAATAGCCATTTCTGACTCCAGAAAATCAGACCCAATCCCCTCCTGGTTGATGAACAACAATCATTTAGCTAAATGAGATTGAAAATTACATTAACACCAACTAAAATATTGAATCTAAAGTGCAGTATCTTTCATTTTCTCCCAGTATCAGACTCATAAGATACCAAGTTCTGGTTGAACATCTAGCCCAAGTACTGTTTCACACAAACAAGGGTCTATGAAAAAAAATTGGAGGCAAGAGTTATGAAATATTTACATCCTCCCAGCAGCAGAGCTGCAGAGCGTGCGGATCCTAAGTTACTCAATACAGAAAACTTGAGGCTGAATCATTCTGTTCTGATGAATTATCAGCATCTTGTGCATCTATAAAAGTTGCTATTGTTATGGGTAACTATAAACACATGTACATATGTATTAATCAAGCATATCATGCCAAAACTGAACATCCTAAATCAATACAAAAAGGGGAAAAACAGTGTATTATTTGGGCATGAAGAACAAAATCATTTCTATTTTTATCCTGCAGAGATGGGAGGATAAAAATGATGACATGCTGCACTTGCTGCTTTAGAACAAGGTTAAATATAAACCCACGGGGGCTACAGAGCTCTGTTGCCGACCAGAAAGCACAGTAAGCACTTTATGTCTGGTTCATTGATCCTGAGAGTTCGTCACACAGAGATGAAACAGTGGAGCAGACAGAGAAGACGCTTTATTACCGCCGGCAGACTGTTCCTTTGCTTTTTTTTCCCGGGAATCCTGTGGTGACATTAAAATAGAAAAACCCTTAATGGCAGTGGATTAATCATCAAGGAATGCTCACGCATGCATACGCGATGGCACACATGGGCTGATGCATCGGGGCGGGTGTTGGTGAGCTGTGGAGGTGGAGCTGTGTAATGGAGCGACGCCGTTTGTCCTGCCCTACATCTGCTCATCTCCTCACCACCTCTCATTGACCCACTCTCCATGAGTCGGTGCTGTGTTCATGTGGAGATAAGCCTGATAAGGGGGCCCGCCTTCCTCACAGGCACGAAATCAAATCGCTGGAAAAGATGTTTTTACTGGGTCATATAGAATTATCCTTCAGCGCAAAATATCATCCTTGGCTTCACGTGCCAAGTGTGCTCACCCTCACATGATGAATCCATGAACATCATGAATATCCAGAACTGCCTGCTGGTGTATGTGTGTGAGGATGCCACAGGGGAGCCAAAAAGATAATCAGTTAAAACAGAAACCAAAGCCCAGCCAAAAGGCTATTTGAACGGCTGAAAAAACTGCAAAGATCTGACTAAGACCAACCAATGAGAAGATACAGCCTATGCAAAAGGAAACAAATGAGGAGGTGATTACAGCTGTGACTGAGTGCAGACAGATGTGTAGAGGAGCTTAGGGTTAAGACAGGGGAAGTGAAGATGACTAGAAGTAAAGACCAGGACTAGAAGCTAAACCCCAAACAATCAATAAAACATGAAAAGATCACAAACCAAATGCAAAGTGACAAAAAAAGAACATATCCAAACTGAAAAAAACGGAGTTCGGGTGTCTTGAAAACATTTCTGTCCAGGCTCAGACTCCCGGGACCACACATGTCTCACATTTCATGGCATTGGAGAGCTTTTGCCAAAGGATCCAAAAAAGGCAGGCATGGCTGGTTAGTCTCTGCTGATTTTCAGTTATCTGCAAACCTGCTCTTTTGTTTAATCCCCTCAGACTCTCATTAACATAAAGATGACTGTACAGTGTAACATTACTAAAACTGTTTTGGTTTGCTATGTTTTTGCCCCCCCCTTGCATTTGCATTAATTTATTCTTCATTAATAAACATGCGTTGTGTCTGGAGCTGTGGTGTGAACTGAGCCCGCTTCATCACAATGTCAGAGACGGAGATGTTTCACGGTCCAGGGTTAAAAATAGCGAGATGACGTTTCTGTAGGAAGTCGATTTGTGTAGAGGCTGTTTTCCAACCCACAGTGTGCACACATGTTAGTTCACGCAAGCAGACATCATTGAATCGCATTCATGTTCTCGAGGGAGAGGCGATTGTGAGGGGTAAAATGGCATCACAATGTAAAGGAAATGTTTTTACCCCCAATAAATCTTGCTTCCCAATGCTAAACAAGGGGTGGTACCTTCTTGAGCCGACCAGAAAGCGATGTGTTGTGGCCGTGTGACTAAGATAATACCCAGGATTGTGGAAGTTACCTTGTAAAAAGAATGTATTTTAGGCTCACACGTGAACCTGTTTCAATGCCAAGTAGTGTTTGTGCCTAAACAAAACCAGGAAGTGACCACATAGTTTTACTACAGTGCTGTCATGACGACAATGTGGCAACAAGACAGGTGCAATTTAGGAGATCAAATAGTGTAGTTTGATAATGTGCGATGTTGTAACCTTAATCATTTATGCTCTGACATTAATCCTAATTATAGGGTTTAAAGTCTTTACAATTTAACCCTAATAATTTGCAGGAGGGAAAACGTTATGAAGAAGAAAAGTAAAAGAACTTTCGAAATCAGAAGAGGACAAGTCATGTTAGACTCCATCCACCTAAAACCCCCAAAAAGCATCCATGTTTTATTCAGTGGTGTTGCCATCATTACATCATCTCAAGCATCAGTGCAACTCTTTCAGAGCAGAGCGTGAAGGGAGGGGAATGTCGCACCTGCACAGGTTTGAAGCTTTTTTGTGAGACTGCAGCACATACACACACGTACACACACACACATAAACTAGACTTGTATTTATCCTTCAAGACAGTTTTATTAAAGCGAGAACTACATTAGCCGTTGAGTTGAGGTGCGTCCACCTGAGTGGGGTCAGCATGTTGAAACCATCGTAAACCTTTGTGTTCATTACAGGGAAGGTGAAAAACACCCCCCCACCCCCTTCACTACCTGAGGTGAGTCACTGCCTGAAGAGAGATGCTTTATAGCAGGGTAGTCCAAAGTCAGTCCTTCAGGACCTACTGCTGACTGAAATAAAATATTTGAGATGAACAGTGATTGTGACCATTGTTTGCATAGCAACATCTGTACAGCCTGCAGATGTGCGGGCTTATTTTGTTAAGGTCTGTAAGGTCTGCAAACCCACAGTTACACAACTTAACCAGCTTTTTAAACTCAAAATCAATAAGTTAATCAATAAGTTTCAAATGAAACAAGTTATGGCCAGTTTTAGAAGCAATCGGTCAGCATATCAGCTGGGAAGCATTTCGTTTTTTTTTTAATGTCCATTCAGGGTCAAAAACAAGGTGAATGTCCTGATGATAGCACGCTATCCAAGCAACTCACTTCAGGAAGTGACGGATCCAAAGCAGTTCAGCTTAGCTTGATTTGCATGTTACAATGAGCTCTGGACGCTCACACAGTCGATCAACAGCGTTTTTCTCGGCGCCATTTATCCACAATGCATTGCTGTAGAAAGTAATTTCAAACATCACTGAGAAACAGCAACACGTACATCTAAAGTCAAGTAAAATCAGCGACAAAGACCGTAAAATAAGTTGTTTTTTTTATATCAACAGTGAATACAGCATTGGATTCTCTTCTTGCAAAGGTTGTTTCGAATGTGCAGCAACATCGAAACAAAAATAAATACATTTGTTCATCATCCTTTCATCAAAATGTCTCTCACAGTACACAGAAATCACTGTGTGATTTAGCTCTTTCAGTGTCAGTGCATTCTTATGCATGCTTTAAGAAGTCATGAAAAAATGTGCAAAAACACCCAGACAGGAAAAAAAGTTTTAAAAAAGGGAAGCTTTGTGAAGCCAGTGAAACACAGAACCTCAGATAAATAAATGTGGATTTAGTCTGTTTACTGGTCAAACATCAGTTTCATCAGCTGATATCTTACCCTAACTAAACATTAGCAGCAGAAAAACTTGATTCAAGAGGGACAAATATAAGGGTCTGCAGCTGAAATTCATTTCATTACATATTAAACTTCATAGTGTCTCTGTAAAACACATGTGCATCTGAACTCATAGCCTGCTTACTGAGTTTCTGCTTTTTAAAATCCACAATGATAGCACTATGTTTAGTATAGATCAAAGCTATTCTTGGAGTATTTGTATTTTCCGTGGAAGTTCGTGGTTGGAAAAAACATATTAACGGCAAATGCAAATTTAAACTAATTCAAATTTAAACAATGCAGACATACATAGAAAAAGTCTGTCTGCACTTTGTAAAGATGGAAATTTGGTTGTCATGTCAGGTGATATTGATGAAATAGAGAAATGTGCATGAGCTTATTTGTATTTTATGCTGAGTTTTATTTGAATTTGATAACCAGAGAGAATTGCCCGAACACACTGTTCCATATTTGAACTTTTAAGGTTATCGATTGGCAGTAATGCTTTACATAACTCATATTGAGTTATGTACATGTTATGTTTTTCTACAGTGGCCCAGGGGGGACAAATCCAACACTGTAGAACAGACTTTCTACCCTTTTAAATCTCTGGATACAACATTGAGGCCAACCTGCATATAATTTATCATAGAATTGTATCTTAAATACCTAGATTCTATTGTTTGTGTTATTTTTCATGTTATCCGACAGAAATGTCCTCACATGTGCTAAATTTATCAGCGACCCATCTGCAGTATGTAAATTCTGTGTTTCATATGTGTCCACACTGAAATGTGTCCAATGTGCACAGATTTCAGCACCTGCTTCATGTCTGCATCCCCTGTTAGTAGCTAGATATTTGTATTATTTATGCACAGGCTTGGAGCATGCGTAGAATAATTTATGACGGTGATCGTTTTGACATGACTGTAGAAAAGTAGTTTTTATGTAGCTCTTGAGTGGATGTGAGAGTTTTCTCATGGATGTTTGCATTGACATTAGTCTGTGGTGTGTTTATCTATTATTCAATAATATTCTATTTATTTTTGTGCGTTTCTGCAAGATCTGTTAAGTCTGTTTGGACTGTTTTTGATTAATAAATGTGGAATACTCTAAATACAAATCACTGGATTGGACTCTTACTAAATTAAAATTTTTATGAGGATTTAATAATGTTTGATGTTTTAAATAAAGTGTCAGACTCATGCCTCAGGTTAATTAGGTGCAAGTAAAACATCTTCAGTCAAGATATAAAACGCTCGAGAAATTCTTCTTACACAGTAAAAATGGGGGTGAAGTGAATTTAGTTCATAGTGCACATAGTTTTTGAATGTGTCGGCGGTCTGTTTCATCCACACGTTATACTCAGGTCAAGTTTTTTTTTTTGTGCTCATTATTGCTTTTTTTCTAATAATTGTGTAAAACATTAAAACTCCCTGATTTTTGCTGTAGTCTAAATAAACTCCCTGTTATTGTAAACATACAAACAGTGAGCTGGAAGGACATTTTAGGACATGAGTAAAAAAGGGCAACAACTAACTGACCAATGAATCATTTTGAACAGATACACCACACAAAATGACTCAAATCAACATCAGCTAAGAAATTCTCAACAAATGTTGGAACTGGAAGTCCATTTTCAGTGTCTTTTTGCTTTAAAAGGAAGAAATTTACAGTAAAACCCCACTTTGTGCTCTTAGGAAACATGGTGCTCATCAGCGTCTTCATCATTTTCATCTTTTGTAAAAAGTTTTTCACTGTATAAATTTGACATCTTTGCTTGAAAAAAATGGGACTTTCTTTTAAAGCCCAAAGCTATTTTATTGGGTTTTTTTTTAACCAAAAACGTTTTTTGTAATCCACAAAAAGGCTCTTCGCTTCAACCTTCTGCAAAAAGAGACAAAGAACAGCAACATGCAGCATCATTAGCGAAGGTGGTTGGAGGCCCTCTCCATTGAAACCGTGTTTACCCAAATTAAATGTGACACTTCCGCCACAGAGAAAGGTTTCCTGGAACAAAAGGGGCAGCTCAAGTGAGGGGGCCTCTGCCTGGTGTCAGTGTAGTGCAATTTGAAGGACTAAAGCCATTAATCCTCCTTGGGAAGAACTGCTTTTTTGAAAAAAAAAATCCACATTTGCTGAGGTGGCCATGTGTATCTCACCGTTTAAAAGATACAAAATCATGTCGGAGATAGAACTGAAGACCTCAAAATTAGGCAATTCCGTCTCTTCTTTGTGCATAAAACATGCCGAAAAACGCTGCAACCTCCGCTGAGAAAAAGCAAGAATCAAACAGGTCATGTACCAAAGGGAATCTCCGTCAGGGTGTCTCCGACTCTTCGTTGTCCTCGGGGGACGTGGGTGAGGTGGGCGTGTCGTCCCCCTCCGCCGCCGCTGAGGTGGTCATCTTCTCGTAGGTCCTCCGGCGCTGCCGCCTCAGCGTCTGGCTCTGCAGCTCCTTCACCTCCTGCAGGACCTCCTGCGCCTCCTTCCACGACGACACGGCCTCCTCCAGGAGGCGCTCCGCCTCGGCCCGCTTCCTGCCCACGTCCGAGTCCTCCTCGGGCAGCGGCGAGGCGGGCGGCGGGGGCGACAGGCGCTGCTTGTCGGGGGTTTTGGGCTGCGGGGAGACGGGGGATCCCTGCGCGACGGGGAGGCTCTGGCCCTGACCGGACGCCTCCTTGGCGTTGGCCAGACGGGGGGAGTCGCCGTCGCTGCCTGCCGGCGGGGAGTCGGATCCTTTGGATTCTGACCCCTTCAGGCTGGAACACAATTCCGGAGTCTTCTGTGCAGGTGAGCTGTCTTGCTTGTTGGAAGAGGAACCGGACGAGCCGTTGAGGTTCGGTGAGTCGGAGCTCTTCAGGCGCGGAGAGTCGAACGCCTGGGGGGAGTCCTTCAGTCGGGGAGACTCTGCGGCTTTGGCTGAGGGCGAGTGGGACCCCCTGGAGCGAGGCGAGTCGGCCGCCTTGGAGCGATTCCTCTTTGCCTTGGATCGAGGAGACTCTCTTCCTCTCAAGCGAGGAGAGTCTCTGCCCCGGAGGCGAGGAGAGTCGCTGCTCCTGCTCCTCGAAGACCCCGAAGACCTGCTGAAGAGGACAGAAACCAGTCAAACTTCCATCCATAGGTGACTTCGGACAAACAGGTCTGCTCGAAACCTACCTGGAATGAGGGGAGTCGGAGCCCCTGAGGTGATGGAGTCGAGGGGACTCGATGCCCTTCAGGTAGGTGGAGCTGCCTCCACGCTCCCTCTCCGCTTTGGCCTTCTGCAGCTCCTGCCAATCACAACATTTTCTTGAGCCTTTTCTCTCGGTTTCACGGGTAACTGTTCAAAGGCGGCGCACGTAAGAGGCAGCCAGACCTGCAGTCTCATCTCCTCCAGCAGCTCCTGAGCCCTCTGCATCCTCTGAGCGATGAGGCTCTGCAGCTGACCCACGGGCTGGGCCGAAGCCCCGCCCCCCGCCTCCTCCTCCGTCGGACAGCGCCGGAGAGCGGAGCGAAACTCTGAGCGGATCATTGCTGGTCTGGAAAAAGTGTGGGAAGGAGGGGGGGGGTGTTAAAAACTAGATTGATCATACTTGATCATATTCAAAGGCTTTAAATGTAAGACTTTCTTTATCAATTCACGTTGTCATTCAAACTTAATTTGATCAGGATTGCAGTGTTTGAGTACCTGGATGAGTGGACTTCATCCATGGAGGCACAACGGCTTCGACCCTGCATGCTGAACCTTTTTCCGGGCTGCGGCGTCTGAGACTGAGTCTAAAGGGCCGGAAAAGAAACAAGTGTGTTGTTTTTTTATCTGCAGCTCACTGGTGGAGTGTCCTGGTTTAGACTGAGCAGGTGCAGACTGACGTCTTCTACCAGATGGTTACACAAACAGCAGAAACAGCACTACCTCTAATCTCTGCTCCCAAAAGAGAAAAGATTTTTGTGGGGGGAAAAAAGATTGTTCAAGTGAAAACACACTACAACTGATCCAGTACTAGCTAGGGTTGGTCCTGCGGAATCTTCAGGTTCAAGAATTTCGCAGACCCTTTTGTGTGTAGCATTTATTACAGTGTAATAATGGCCCACCTGGACTTGCTGGTTTTTGTGGAGCTTGGAGGTGTCAAGGAGGGATTGCTTTCCGCAGGAAAGCTCGTTCCCCCTGGGCAAACTGCCGGTTTTCACTTTGGGCTCTTTGGAAGTCACCCGCAGCTTTGAGACATCCGTGCCGGCCCGCTGACGGCCGCCGCGCCCGCCGCCAGAGCCGCCGCCCTGCAGGTCCACCCGGAAGCTGTTCTCCCAGGATCCATCCAGGTCATCGTCATAATCGGGGCAGAAGCCGTCCTCCTCCGCTACCAGGTCAAGGGTCAGCATCCCATGGGAGGAGGTGGACGCCTGCGGTCAGAGATGAACATTAGGACACCATCATACGAATATTCCACTCATATTTCACAGCAACAGAGAGATAAGGTAAGGCGTCCTTGTACCACAGCCATGAGGTGTCCTTTGGTCGGCAGGCGGCGGCCATGAGGGATCTTCGCTCGGTCTCTGGTGGGATGAGCCAAAGCACTTTCCTCCTCGATGGTCACCTACACAGACACACAACTCCATGAAACGTCCGACAAACTTAAAGATAACCATAACACTATGACATGTTATGATGACTTCAACGATGGCAAAGCTCACCTGTCTGCAGAATGGAATTAGGAATGAAACACTTAACTCATCTGTTGTCACTAAGCTTTCAAACAAATGAACCGATTCATACCTCATCTAAAACTCTGTTCTTGGCCTTGATGATGGCCACATTGAGCGCATTGATCCATGACTCCTTTTCCTCAGGACTGACTGCCAGAAACACCAGATTAGGAACCTGCAGGAAGATAAACCACATCAGATATAGTGTTAAAGACAACTCCTCAAAAGCTGTGCAAACCGACTTTTTAAAGGTTTCTCAGTGGTACGAAAGTTAACAATTTAACCACTGCTTGAAGTGTTTTCGACATGAATAGAAACAGTAAATATTTCTGTCTCATTATGTCCTACATTTAGGTTTATGAAGGTAATTGCTTTATATGAAAAGTGTTTATTTTGCTCCTGGAAAGCAGTTGATAAATGGTTTGGGGGTTTTTCTTAAAATGACCGGTCCTCCCTTCTACAGCTATTTTAGTTGGAGTATTTACCCACAGCTATTGACCAAAGCCTTTAACCTTCAAAGAAGTCCATCTTCCTCATACATCCCACAGCTATGAAGTCAAGTTTTTATCAGCAAGTTTATTCTGTTTTAGCTGAGGTCAAAATTGCAAAACCTTATTGTTCAAACATGGTTTCAGAAAATTATCTAGAAGATTGATTGATTAAATTATCCTCTTGTGAGACTATAAGCAGGTGGATTTCCAGCCTAAAATGTTCCAGTGAGGTCGTCTTTTGTAATCACCACTTTTCCCGGTTGCCATCAGAGTTAAAGAACTAGAGAGAAGCATATTTCTCATTTCCAACCCATGTGACTTCTGTATTGAGCAGTTGTGTTCCATGCAGCACGTAACACTGTCAGAGGCTAAAAAACCCCCACAATGGATTGCTCTGAAAGCAATGGGCTTTAGGCTAAATGTAATTTTCCAAACTGAGAGGGCTCTGTCTGCTGTCTACTGAGGCAGGTAAAAAACACTGACTGCCAGTAAGTGCCTCACACGGCAAAACCGAAGAGCTCCTCTACCTGCCGAATGGCAGAGTGTGGCTGTTATTTCTTTGGCGTGCCGTTTTGAAGCGGGTTAAAGGGGACAAACGGCTGCTGCCTTGAGCCGTGCTCTGCAGCCACAAGCACACATCAGTGACACGCAGCGGGGAAACAGAGCGCCTCCCGTTTTTTCCGCTTCATTTCAGGGCAGCGTGACGGCAGCTGAGCTGAGGGAGGACGAGGGGCAGACTGACATGTGAGAGTGTGCCGGGGATTATTCTGCTGTAACTCATGGGCTAATGGGATTCTGCAGATTAAACTTTTTTTCCAGAGGGGGAGGTTGGAAAACAGGCACGGCTCGGCCAATCGGAGCAGCGGCACCGAAGTGGGAAGGCCTCATTAAATACGATCCACCAATCCCTGAGGCAGATGCAGGAGGAGATCCACCAACGGGGTTGGCGGCGTGAGTCAGGCAGGACGCCGTAATCTCTGAGCGCAGAGGACGGACGGAGGCGAAGAGACACACAGAAGGAGGGGGGGGGGGGAGCTGTCACATCTGGACAGACTGCCTAAAAAGAATGAAGCCTGCGGCCTGTGCTGTGAAACGGGATCGATTCCTTTTAACCACGGCTTTGAACGCATGGCGTTTAGTGGTGTACACCTGAGCCTGTGATCATCGCCACACAACACACATAACACATCACAACATGACCTCCTCAATGCCGGCTTACGCTTGACCTCTCCATGAACAGAAGAACTGACCTGTGAGCGGGCAGCTGGATAAGATCATCTGAAAGATTAAACATTGATACCAGCCACGAAAATCTTTAGTTGGAAACTCTGAATTTCCATTTGACACTTGAATGAAGCACTAAACCAGGAGAATGATCCCAAACTGAAACTATCCATGTGAGCTACCCGCCCTCTGAACTAAACAGTGACCACCCTGGTTAGTGGAGATGGTTTCAGGCATCTTAAACCATCTTTAATCTTAATCTTTTGAGAATAAAACTGCGATCCACATTTTTTCCTGTCAGTTAGAGTTATTTTATTCACTTTTAAATAGGATACTGTGCTTCCAGGAGCCTGAACCTGCTGAGAGAGGAGGTATGTCCACATTTACACTGACAGGTGATCGAACTATGATAAAAAAGCAGGATGAGGGAGGCATAAAACAAATGGGTGTCAAAAGAACAACGCAGCAAAAGATGCTGGGCGAAAAAAACGGACGACACAACGAACAGGAAGCAGGAAAGTCGAGCACGTGGACTCACGGTGTTCCCGGGCTGCCTGCAGCGCTGCACGGTGAAGCGACTGTGGTTTTTCTTGCTGCGGCTCTTGGCTTTCCTCAGCTCCTCCGACCGCTCGTAATCAGCCAGGTCGAAAACTTCCTGAGCTTTACGCTCGTCTTTCACCTAAAAAAAGAACAGAAACCAGCTCACTCATCGTTGCTTATAATAAAACAAAAAAGATCACTTTTTTTTTTTATTGCCCTGATTGTTTTCATCCCAGTGTCAGATCAGACCCTCTGTGAGAGATTAGATTTTAATCCAATGTGTTATTTTGAGGATAGAGATGATTTTCACACAGCATCACAGTAATTAAATGAGATATTCAGGAAGTAACTGACATAGAAAATCAAGAAAGTTTTAATTTGGATATTTGAGGGTCTTCTACACATAGACAGCCTCATAATTAGGATGAGAAACATTGTGCAGATGTCATAATGGCATTAAAAAATATCAAATCATAATTTTGTTCGATCACCAGATGAATTGGAGGGAGAAAAGGTTTGGATTGTACTTGTCACTTAAGCCTTTAGTAAGTTTAAGGTTAAAAAAATACCTAAAATACAGTATGTATTTAAGGAACCTTTTTTCCTATAAATTGAGGTGATAAATCAAGCTGTCTTTGCACTGGTTGTAAGAATAAATCTCTCAAATGAATCTGCCCTTTCTTTAAAAGAACTAGGCTTTATCAGAGCCCAGACGAGGCTTCAAGTCTCCTGCAGGTCTCTGAGGTCTTTAGATCCTCAAACCAAAAGTAAAAACAGCATCCACAATCATTTCCAGACCGACTCCCGTTACAAGTCTCCCCGGCTGCCGTCCCTTCTATTCTCTCTCTGCACCATCGATGGTCAAATAAAAAATGAAAAGGGTAAAGAATAATAACCTGTCCGTCATCTGACATGATGCACACTCAGAGCTGAACATCTGTGACACACATTAACACACACAGAGGCGGTGACACAGAAATAACACGATAGGCAGCTGCTCCCTGACACCTGAACACATCTGAAAATAAAGATCGGTCCAGTTTTCCACAACAGACACAAAGTGTCTGCATGAGGACGGATGGACGCAGGACTTTATGTCTGTGTGAGGGTGTAAAGCCTTTTTCTTCAGTATGATAAACTGCAGCCACCATGGATGAATAGCAATTTAGTAATGGCTACTTCAGAAATAAATTCAGATAAAACACACATGTACTACTCTGTGTAATGGTAATGGTAAAGCCCTTATCTGTCACGCAGCCGTAATAGATGCAGTATGCTTTCCTCAAAAAGACATCAGATGAGAGCATTTGGCTCTAATACCATCAGAACTGAAAGCTGCTCATGGGACGGACGGCCCGTCTCCTTTTTAGTCTATAAGGATGCAGCATTAATTCCAAACATAGTGTTTTTTATCCATCTGACCATGGAACAGTTTTCCACTTTGATTCAATCCTTTTACGTGAGTTTGGCTTTACAGAAGCTGTTTCTGCCCCGAACAGGGCTTTTCCTTTGGATGACAGGGCATTTCTCTTCATCTGGGATTTGCAGAGTGTTGGGTGGTGGGGGGGCTTCACACTTTTGAGGCGTCTTCTTTACTGCACGAGTAAAAGCGCTGAGACTTTGGTGTTTTTCAATTTGAGGCGCGGCTTCCTGAGTAACAGCCTCTCCACCAGGAGCCTCTGCTCCCCATTTCAGGTTTGAGCAATTTTAATATATTTAGAGCATTTTTATCATAATTAAAAGCTTTAGTTTATTTCCCAACAATAAAGATCTAATATTAACATTTAGTTTGTCTTCACGTTTGATTTTCTCTCTTTTTTTTGTAGCTTCAGCCTTAGTTAATCTGCTTTATTTGGAATAAATGGTCTTTATTTGTCAAAGTGTGTCTCTGCCCCTGCAGGTCTAACCTGTGTGTCTCAACTAGATCAAAGGTTGAAGACTATGTCCTGAGGTCACTTCCCCAGTGGACAGCCCACTCACTACAGCCAGCAGATGCCGGAATATGAGCCGTCCATCTACTCTTTCTACATTTTAGTGTTTTGAACAAACTGTTGGGTAATTAGATTTTTTAATCAGTGCATTTCCTTTTTATTAATATTTTGCACAGAACTCCAACTTTCTTTTGAATTTGGCCTCAATGAACAACAGAAATCTTTTGTCAAGAAGTGATCAGAAGATGAATCTATTTACAAAATAAACATTCAAATATTAATGTCAACCTCAAAAATGATTTTTTTTACGCTGCAAATAAACCTAAATCATCCACAGACCAGCTGTGTGTGTTCCACCAAACATCTGGCTCATTAGCCTGAGAATTTGGGCTGATTTGATAACTAAAACTAACATTAATGCTCTCTCTGTCAAAGTGAAATGAGGTTGTTAAATTCCTCTGTGTTTTTCGAAATTCTGTTAAATCAAACAGGAAATATGCAGCCACTTAGTTTCTATCTATTTCCTCTGCATAGAAGACATCGCTGAACTTTAAATGAGACTAAGTAGAAAATCACGGTAGTAAAAGGTTCAGTTTGAGTGAGTGGAACTGCGCTCCATCTGGTTTGCATATTTCATTCATCAGACGTTTCCCCCTTCGTTCATCGTTAAAATGTTCATGAAGAGGCACAGAGACGGAAACCATCTCACTTGAGTGAAAATGTGAAGAGGGAATCCTCTGTAAGTGCTGCTAGATTTCTTTAGTGCTGGTTTTTTAATGCATTTGGCTTCACATCTAAAGGATTCTTCAGAGAGAAATTGAACACTGAGATGTGGAAAGAAAAAGAAAAACTAATTTCTGCCAACATCAAACCCTGCTGGATGTGGAAATCTGGATAAATGACAATGAAACAGCCTCCAAGGTTCCCGGGAGGTGACCCCCAAAACGTGCATGCAGGCATGTGTGCTCTGTTTTAAAAAAATATTTTTGCCAGTTGTTTGAGCATTACGAAGCGCTCACAGGCTGCCACTCAGCTGCCAGGCCTCCTCATGTCCTCATGTTGGCATGATATACTGTCCAGTGGGAACAAGTGATGAATCTCTACTCTTGTCACTGAACAGGCCGACTTTCGGACCATGCAGAGGCTCATGCAAACTGAGCAACACGATTCGTATCCGCTAACATGTCCCGATGTCTCATTAGCAAACGATATTGGCCTCTTATTTCATGGCGGAACACAGCACTTTGTTTAATGGTGGTCGACTGGTGCCAGCAACGTTTTACAGCCAGCGCTGCACTTGGCAGCCGTGCGCTTTATAGCTTCTCCACACTGATTTCAGCCCGTGGCTGCTGGGCCCGTGGGGAAGCGGGAAGTGTGCACGAGCAGCCATTACACTGAAGATTGATGATGTAACATGAATAAAGCTTGCTTGTTTTGACTCCCGAAACCTTTCCACACATCAAACTCCAGAGGTATAACATTTATGCCGTCATTTTCTCCATGACAAAACAGTTAATCAAAGCCTCATTTCCTTTGTATCGTCTCAGGTCACATGGCGTTCCTAATGGCTGCAGAGACCAGAAGTCACATGTCAAAGCTGGTGGAGCTGAACATTCGTCAATATCACAATCAGTACAATCGATGCGATGCCTGAGCTTCGGGGCAGCACAGCAAGCACATTTAAAAACCAGACGGACGAAGCTGTCTGCTCAGAGCAAAGCCATGTGAGGAAATGAACACATCTCTGATCGACAGAGAGCGGGGACGTGATCGGATCCACGCGGAGTTTTATCAAGAAAGACATCTCGACCTGAAGCCAGAGTGGGGCCCGAACCCTCAATCCGGATCAGCCCAAACAGGATCCCAGAGCGGAAATGTCCGCATAACAGCAGTTCCAAAGAGAAACTGGTCATCTCAATGACAGAACCGCACAGTTTTCACAGACGCACAGTGACGTTTCCCTCAGGCTGCTGTATTTATAAGTTCTGGGTCAACAATGCACAGAGATGGGGCGGGGAAAAAAAAACATAATTACAGGAAACGCACCAACGCAGATTTGAGGGCCTTTAGATGACGTACAGCCATTTGTTGGAGACTTTAGCAGAGCTAGTGCCTACTATCTGCCAACCTCGACTCGTCTCTCCAAATGAATTCAACTGTCGTGTGAAGACTTACTTCACGTCCTCATTAGGATAAAATCCTCCCAATCTGCATACAGATTTGGGTCCTCGCATATGAGTAATGCGCATCCACACACACAGGCCAGAAAATATGAGTCATTGTGCTGCCGCTCGGTTCACTCGGTCGACCTTATAAACAATAACAGGAACGACAGCGCCCGTTTCTGCCGCTGAAATAAAGCCGAGCGGACAAAAATAAAGCCTCCGCGCAGGAAACGGGAGCACGCGGCGTATTTCTCTGACACAGGGGCCGCATTTAGCTGAATCTCGCTCTTTTTAAAGCAGAAGACAAACGTGTTGAGTCACTTCTCTGGGGACGGCAGAGGTCTTAAGTTCATGATGTCAGAACAGGGAAAATCACCACAAGTGGGTCCCCCCGGGGGCCAAACATGGTCAGGGCCCCAAACCCCGACACTTGTGTCGGATGTTAGTGTTTCCAGCCGTTTGACCCAAACAACGAGAAACACGGCTGTTGATTTCAGGGGCAACATTTCTAACTGCAGCCTTTTTTAGCCTCTTTGTGGTTGTTTTGGGACTCTTTGTCGTCAGCCTGTCTGTATTTCTCTTCTGGCTTCATTTTGTTTCTGTGTTTATCTTAAGTATCTGTGTAAGCTTATTTAGGCTCCCTGAAGCTGAGTTACTTCCTTTTTGGTTGATTGGCACCCTGTTATGTCAGATTTGGGTTGTTTTATGACTTCCTGTGGCTTTATAGAGTTTTTGCTTGTAATCCTTTACAGTCACTTTATGGCTTTTTGTAGCCAGTTAGTGTGTCTTTGTGGTGTTTTAGGTCTTGTTGTTGTTGTTTGTTTGTCTTTTTCCCTTGTCTTTATGTTTTTTTCCCCGCATTATTGTGACAGAATTTACAGTATATCCCAGTAGACATAGGACCCAAACACGGGACAACCAGAAGAAGATGAGGACTAGTGCTTTCCTGAAAAGAACTAAACTGACTATACCAAAGGAACCATCAGAGCTAAGAAAAGCAAAGGAAGGAATATGAAACAAAGACAGAAAAAGCATCCCAGGCAACATCACTGATGTGAAAAACAGGAGAATACATAGTGAAGGAGGGATGAGGGGACTAGCATCAAGAGGGGCAATTAGCAGTGAAAACCAGGAAAACTGCAACAAAGCTGGCAGAAATGAACTAGAGACAGGATCCTCCCAAAAGAAAAACCCATGGACCATGACACTTTGCAGATCTGTTGTGTGTCTTTGTGGCTGATTCTCTTCTTTTACATCTGTCTTTTCAGCCTGTGCAGGTTCTTGTCTCAGATTTTTTTCTCCTCCTAGGCATTTTAAATACTTTCTTCTTCTTGGCGTTTGTTTCTTTAAACCTCTTTGGGAGTTTTTGTTTCCGCTTTATAGTTGTCCTTTTTCATCTCTCTGGCGCTATCAGGCGTAATGCACACATGTGAACTTGTGGTCAGAAGTGCGTCTTGTTATATTTACTGGTCTCTGCCCAGCAACCCGCTGTCACGTGATGGATCTCTGCGCGTCTGCAGAGCTACAAAACCTGCTATCTGAGCACTGGGAAGCAGAAAGTGTTCGTGAGAAATCGGGACTCAGCACCCCGCAGCCCTCTGTGTGCAGTTTTCAAACACTCTGTTACATAATGTGCAGCAGAGGCAGCGCGAACACTCAGCACTTTAGGATCCAAACGGCCCGGCTGCAGACACTCTCTGTAATTACCCAACACCTGTCTGCCACGGTGTGTTCAGGGACTCTGTTAAACTGTAAGACCCCGTGACTCCTGTTGGGAGACTATCAAACATGGAGGACGAACCATCTGCTCAGAGAGCAAAGACTCGAGTCATGTCAGCGCTAATGATATCCTCGGGAAACACTCACTTCTGACACTAAAACTGACCTCAAGCTGTTGGCTGGAGCCATCTTTCGGTTTTATCATCGGGATTAAAGGCCAAGTCTCGTAAAATCGCCAGCAGCCTCTGGCGAAGCAGTTACATGGTGTCATAACTAGTTCATGTGCGCAGTAACATCAAAAACAACCCAAAATGTGTGCGTCTCATCGGGTCGGGGAAGCGTTGTTTTTATGAAGCAGGACGGGTCAGTTCACATGATCTGTGAGAGCCGCCGCTGTTCAGAGATGACTCAGCATCCTCTGAGCTGGAAATAAACATAGATCAGCAGGCGCCCCGTTCCTCCTGTTGATGCCTGAATCGATCAAACACGTAGCCGCGAGTCTGGCGCTGTTTGTGCTGTCTGGTTGTGTCATTCGGGCCTCTTCTCAGACGTATCTTTAACATCGGGCCTCTTTTGATGGTCACTCTGCATATGGCAGCCTCACGTCTGGTTTTTGAGCATCTCTGAAGCTGTCAGTGTTTGGTTGTCCCTTGATAAGCATTATGTGTCACTCCACTGTTGATCTGTGCGTGTTTTAACCCATTTGAGAGCATCTGATACCTCTCTGGTTGATTCAGTTGACTATTTAACAATGTTTCTTTATCTGCGTCTGTCTGAGTTCACGGCCAGGTGGGATATGAGAACAATTACTTTCAGGAACAGAGACCTGACACTCCAAACTGTGTAAGGCATCCAGAAATCTTCCTCTATGGCCCTCTTAAAAGCTAATAGCAATCAAATCCGATGTTGCACGTGGGGAGAAGAGACTCCTGTCCAGCAACGTGAGCTGGGAGGAAACCCACACAGGGCTGACTTACTTTCACTCAAGAATATAACAAATCTGATAGTGAAATCAGTTGCTTTTTTTTAATCTCCGCTGATGCTTGCGGACACAAACTGTCCTCGTGTCATTTTTTTCCACCCTGAGCCAAAGCGACAGATCTGAAACCAAACAGCTGCTGAGGCTCTGAGCCTCTCCAAATCCGAAACACAAACCTGCCAGAAAAAGAGCACAAAGCTCCCAGTTCTGCCCAACAAGCTGAGAGCAGCACTCTCTTGCCTGAGAGGACTTCCTGGATGTGTTTCTCTCTCTGCTCACCTCCTTGTCGGAAATGTAGAGATGGTCTCCTCTCAGGATCACGAAGCGGCTCCTCCACAGCTCCCTGAAAATCCCTCGACCGCAGAACTTCCGGATCCAGCCCACCTTCTCGGGCTGCTGGACCGCCGGCGGACCACCGGAGTCCTGAACACCCTGAAACACAGCCAGGCGATTCAGAACAGGACCACAGAAAACCCACCGGGGAGAAGAACTACCCAGACACCGCCATGTTACTAACAGATTAAATTCTAGCTCTTTGAAAAAAAACGGAGAACATTAAAAGAAGTGCTGATGGGTATTCAGGCAAAACTGCTGAAAAATAAAATCGTTCAAGTAGCACAAGAGAAGAAATCAACCCGTCCCCCCAAAATAAAAGAAGGGGAGAAATCGAAAAATATTACATACATTTCAAATGCAAACAAGGAAAGTCTACAATGAAAAGAAGTTCAAAGGATGAGGAGATTATTCTTACTAGCAGCAAAAGATAAAGACGACATGGGATGACAAGGCTGAGAGGAATGAGCAGAGTTATGATTAAAAGAAGACGTGAGGAAGAGGATGTTGGAGATTAAAGTTTCAGTTTTACGCGAGGAGGAGGAAAGAAGACAGAGAAGAGAAAAAGAGGAAGGACACGTGACTGATGGAGGAGTGATAATCTTCACGATGATCATGTTTGTCATGATCCCGCTGCTCTCTGTCAGTCTGACCTACTTTAATTACATAACAGCACGACACTGACAGAAGGAAGGAAAAAGGAGAAGACGAAAACCGAATCAACTCAAAGAAAAAACAGCATCAAAGAGACTTGAAGCGACTTCAAAGTGTTTGGGGATCGCCTCAGAGATGAGAAATCCAACAAAGACTTGAGAAAACCTCAAAGACAAAAATAATATCTCTTAAAAAATATTGAAGACGACCTGAAAGTGGGTCAAAGAAAATAGTTTGCGTTAGATTAGATTGTGCACATTTCCCGATCAAGAATATTGCTATAAAAAAAAAAACAGACATAAACTGTCTAACAAGAATATTTTTTACTGTCAGTCTGTCGGAAGCTCAGACCTCAATGTCAGCATTCGTTTGAGTTTTCCATCGACTTTCCGGTCAGGGGCTCATCTCACAAAGGGAAATCCTGCATATTTTTATGACTGTAAATTCCCCTGATCTTTATCTGGTGACTTCATATAAAACTTTCAATTACAGAGTGTTGCAAAAGAGGTGATTTGAATACTTGCTGATCTGTGACTACTTGGATTTTCACATCTTCAGCCTTGCTTTTAAATGTTTCTTCAACCTCTTTGGATTTTTCAGTGTCTGTAAAAACTTCTGTTCAGATCATGTAAAAGACTAAATCGCTTTCAGCCCTTTAGATTAAGGCTGCTGGCATCCTGATCAAGAGTCAACCATCTAAACCAGAGGCAAGTTTACAGGAAAAAGATAAACAAAAGTTAGAGGCGACAGACTTTAGTGTGAGTATGAATCTGAAATAAAGACTTAATGAACAAATGAGAAGTTGGTAGAATTCTTCCAACAGCAGATGTGTTAAAACAAATGTTAGATGATCATCAGCTTCATTAAAAAAACTGCTTCAAACCACAAGCTGCAACACAAAGTAACCATTATAAAAGGTTATTGTTTGCCACTCAAATCGACAGGCAGAATTCAGACGCGGGGTAATAAAAGAATTCAGCCTCTCTTTTTTCCCCAGCATCAATATTGATGAACAATCCCAATCGGAAATCTGTTGTTGCTGGCTCTTCTTTTCAGATGAAGTGATGAATTCCGCCCTGATGAATGATGAAAATTCGCATTGTAGGGGGGGGGAAAGCCATGAAAAAATAGGAATAAAGCGTTCAGTGACTGACCCGTCTGCTTTGGTTGCTTTTCTTCATTTTTTTTTTTTTGCCTCCACTCCGGGGGTTCACGGCGCGGACACGCGGAGGGCTGGAGGTTCCGTTGGGGCCCGGCGGGGGCTGCGGGCGGGCCACCGGTGGCTCGGGTCCCGGTGGGTCCTGGTCGTCGGTGTGTCGGTGCGTCCACCCACCCGTTGCCGGTTGTTCTCCTCCCTCAGTGGCGCGCTTGTTGTCTGAGCAGAGGCTGCATCCTCCCTGCGCGTGCGCGCGCATCGGGAGGCAGATGCTTTCGCTCTCTCCCCGGCGGACGCGCACGGTACCCTACATTCAGGCTCAAAGCAGCCAAACAGCGACACCCGGCGATTTGTCCTCAGCCTGTCCCGGAGCGTGAGGGGAATTAAGCCTTTAGGAGGAATTTAGTAAAAGCTTGAAAACCACAGAAACACACCATTAAAGGAAAAAGCTCAAATGTTCCATCTCTATGCCTTTTTATTGTAACAGACAGGAACAGACTTTTTATTGTATAATGTATTAACATTTTCACATAGGAAGATGTCAATATGTCCATTGTTACTATTCAATTTTTCTATGCTGAACTTTTTGGAGATAAATAGATCTATGTGCTATTATTCACGTTTAATCCCTTTTGAGCACAAGAATTCTATGAATTTGGAGCCAACTCTGACTTTCTAATATCTTCATTTGACACAGAAAAACATATTTCTATTCATCACCAGCATCTTCCAGTATATTTAGGACTTAATGGTTTTGCTTTAAGGATGATTGTCATCCTTTTATGATATCCTTTAATTTAGAAATATCTTTTTGTAATCGGGTTAAATGGTGAGAAACCAACAAATAACATAATAAAAAAGCATATTAAGAGTTATTGCCTAAAATCTATTCAAACTTACAAGATAAAAGACATATTTTCCCTCTCATAAAATACTGAATCATAATCTACTGTTGTACACATTACTACTAACCCTAACCCACTGAGATTCATTTTGGCTGCTGTAAGAAAAACCTATAATAAAAACTGTTGAGTGGAGCCAAATCATGGAAATGGCTGCAGTTCATCTTTACCAATATCTCTATATTTCCAGCTACATGATGTTTGAAATAAATACAGGCAAACGATGATGTTTTTTATATCTTTATACTAATATGAAACAAAACAAGACATTTAGTGTCATGAGCCCATCTTGTTGAGTTCCACTTCCTTCTGCTATTCCTTCTTATCCAGGCAAAAATCTGTAGAGAAAGAAAGACAAAATCAGTTAGTTTGTCCTGATGATCATGTTTTGTTCATGAGTTTGCTTATGCCTCAATCTTGAGATTGCTGTGAAAGTTCTCCTCAGTCATGACTGAGGAGGACTCAAATGCTGGATAACAGCAGGTGAGCAGGATTAGACCAGGGGTTTATTAATAAAGCAGAGCAACTGCTGAACCAGGACGAAAAAATACCACCTCAAGGAACAAAAACAGAACACAGCTGATACACTGAGCGCAGACTGACAGAGGACCACAGGAACACAACAATGATCTGGCACTGACCAAAGGAAAAGCAGGAGGACGGACACTGATGGAGGTGTGACAAGCAAAGAGCAGCTGTGGCAAACTGAAGCGAAGACCAGGCATGAGAAGGAAGTGAAAACATCAGAATAAAACTCATGTGAAAACACAGGCAGCTAGAAAACTGAAGAAAAAAGTTTTTTAAAAAGTAGGAATATAGAAATTTGGAGCAGAGACTTTAGCACAAACTAGTGGACCATGATACAGAAAATGGCAGCATCAAAGCAAGAACTTTTCAGGTTGCAGCCAAAAAAGATCTCTTTTGTACAAATTGTCCACATTGTGGGACAAATAAAAAACAATGTTATCTGATCTGATCTTTTTCGTAAGTCTGATACAAACAATTAAGAAATTTGACAAATGTGACACAAACCATTTGTTTTGGTCTTAACGGAAAGAAGCCTAAAGAACTTTTTCCAAGCACTGTGTGTCTTTTCAGGGCCTTTTACCTGCTTTCCCGTCATAGCGGAAGTTTGACTCAAGTTTGAACTTCAGGCACTCTGCTATCTTCCTGTGTTCGCCCTGGGCAGCTTTCAGCTCGTCAGCATCCAGGTGTTTTCCTTCCTTTCCTGTGTTGCAGAGCGCAACAGGAAGTTAGCGATCTCATGGCAGGTGAAGACACAACTCTGATGACAGCTTTAAAATAAGTCTGCAGGGAGAGCTGAACTGAACAGATGGTTTAGGATAACAGGAAGAAAACAGGCAATTTTCCACATTAATTCAGTGAAAAGGTCGATATTTCGGCCACATTCATGTGTCGAAAGTCAATGCATGGAGGAACACTGGACATGCCTCTCCCTCTCAAACAACACACATTTCTGTGTGAGGCTTTAAAGTCAGAACAAAAAATAACTTCAAGATGGAAAATGACCACAAATGAACATATACACCACAAAAATCTGCTTTGATGTAAAACTAGTGCAAACCGCCCTGCGGTCTGCAGTGATCCCATTAAGTTGTGGGAAAGAATGCAAAATGGCCACGGAGAATTATTCACAAAAAACAACAAAAAAGCCCCAGTAACACAAAATTACAAAAATCTTAGTGCAAAAAATTTAAAAGATGATGCAAAAACATGTAAAAGAAGTTCAAAATGATTTTGAAAAGACCGATAATTGAATGCAAACGCCTACTGTCGCCAATACAATAAAAATAAGTGTGAGAAAAGAAAGCTGAATGGCCCAAAACCATTTAAAGAGATAGGCTCCAGCCCCCCGGTGACCACGCTGGTAAAAAAGGAAATGGCTAGACGTCTTTATTATAAATGATGATGGGTTTAATCTGACGTGTTAAAGCCTTTATACCCACTTCTGTTTTTTTCAGTTAATGTGTGTTGTACTTCAGCTACTGGAAAATACATTAAAGTTTTCATAAATTTTGTCAAGTTTAGGGGGCAGTTTCTGTTTCAAGAGGGTCTCACTGTAGATGAGCAGCATCCTCCCTGGGGTTCCGGCAAAGACTCCGTGGTAGATGATGGTCAGACAGTCAGGACAGGACTGGTGGACGTCTGCTCGGCCCTGGTCATCGTACGGAGACACTACGCCGTCAAACTCCTGTTCTCCTGGAAGGGGGAGATTCAATAAGAACAAACTATGAAACCCGCTTTGGTCAGAACAAAGACCATAACGGGTTCCTCTCATTTCCAGTGCACATCATGTCTGGGCGAGCAGTTCGGCCTCAGGTGATTTGATGTGTTTTAGTGTCGGACCGTGTGGCGCTCACCTGCGTGGGCTAGATGCATGGTGTGGTTAGACGTCTCAGGGTCCGACATAGTCATGTTGACCCTGAAGATGAGGCATTTCCCACCCCTAGATAAGGAGAAAAATGTCACAGAATGTGATGCAGAGCATATAAGTGAACGTGGAAACCACAAAACTTTATGTTACCCAACAGAAACCCGGCCCGTGTAACCATCTTACACAATGTTTCTCTCGACAAACAGGGAGGTCCTGTTGCTATGGGTGTGCTTCATCTCCACCGTGGAGCTGCTGGCGTTCCTCAGTAGCTCCTCACCCGCCGGGTAGTCCGAGAAGGCCTCCACCAGGACCCACCGCACCCCAAACACCTGCAAAAACAAACTCATGTGAGCTCCTGCCGGAGGCAGCCAGCACAGGCGAGGCGACAGCAGCAACCCGACGTGACCCAGGAGGCCCGATGTGGCCACGGACGACACGGCCGCCGCATGTCTACCCGTCCCTAGGTGGGATGCAGACACATAAAACATCACCGTTCAGACTGTGGCTTGCTCCCACCTTCTCGGTGTCTTGTGGCTGCACTCTGGGCGGCAGGTCGCACTCCTCTGCCGCGGACGCCCCGCCGCTGAGCATCAGGACCAGCAGGGCCGCTCTGAGTAGGACCGGCATCTTCGATCGGCAGATCCTGTCCTGATTTTGGGGGAAAGTCGAGGAAGGGACCGTCTCTCGGGTTGAGGGGATCGCCTCTTATAAAGGCCACTCTGGAGTCTGCATGAGGAGACCCGGTCAGTTCAAAGTGCCTGTTTGCTTTGTGCAGCAGAAAAACTGGCAGCTGTCCAGAGAGCCGCAGCATGTGATGACGCGCGGACCTTGAACGCAACCGATCAATTAACACATGCTCCTGTATTACGTGAATGTTATGTCTGATATACATTTTTCAACATTCTGCATGTTCTGCCCATGTATCCTTCCACCCTGCAAAAAAAGAAGCATGTTGGGGTGATTGGATTCTATAAATTGACCCTTGGAGTGAGTGTGGGTGCATGTTTGTTTGTTTCTGTGGTGGATTTGTAACCTGTCTGAGGCGTACCCTGACCCTCACCCAATGACAGCTGGGATAGACTCAGGCCCACAACGTTGTCACTGGATTTCATGCTCTTTTTCTTTGATGTAGTTGATTTTTTTGTTTGTGGTTGCTTGCACATATTGCTTGTATGTCTTTTTGTTTTTATTCATTGTTGGTTCTCATATGGTTCATGGTTGCGGTCATTGTTGATGTCGTATTTTCTATTATGTCTGATATTTTTTTCCTGCATTTGCTGCGCTTTTGTATCACGTCCCAGTGAATTTGTCGTCCTTTTTAGATCAGTGGGAAGTTGTCACTCCAGAAGTTTATACGTATGTCTGTTTGTTTGCATTTAGATGTTGGTTGTTCACATTTTTGTTGTTACATATTTGTTTTCCTCTTTTTCTGTCTGGTGTAATTTACACATTTTCTTTTTCTTTTAGAGGGCAATTTGTTGTTGTATTTTTCATGGTAGTGATCACACTTTGTTGCAATGGGGTATCGCTGCTTCATGATTTACAAGGGGTTTAACCTCATGTTCCACTTTTAAAACAGAAATAGTGTTATTTACAACATTTGTATTCTCCAGTATTTAAACATGTCATATGTTTTTTTCAAGGAAAAATACTTTCAAAGAAAATACAAGTTGCTTATTAACAGTGAATACATAACATATAATGTTTGGGGTTTTGCTGTCCTATAAGTCTGTTTACACAAGGTTAGCAGCCTGAGGTTAAACACTTCGACAGTCTCTAAATCTAAATCTACATGCAACAACAGCTTTGTTTATACTTTATTTAGGGTCATAACCTTCAGATAAAAAGAGATATTCAAGACAAAATAGAAAACAACTTACATAAGTCAGTGAAGAGTGACCTATGGGAAAGGCTGAGCTATTTGTATTGCAGGTAATGCAATATGCTGCTAATTGATATCAGATTTTTGGTTTAATCTGTATCCAAAGGAACCGTTTGGTGTCTGTTTCTTTTAATGAAACTTTATATTTGGCCTTACTTAAATAATCATTTATTTTTTGTCGCTTTGAATGCTAAGTGTCTGCTAAATGCATAAATGTAAATTTCTTCAAAAACTGATTAAATGCCACATATTAAGCTTGTAGTATTTGGTATATTTACATATTTAAATTCAACTTACCAACATTGGCGGCAAGTCTTCAAGGGAATCTTACCCCAACAGGTCTAAATGTTAAGCCTTGTCAGACAGGAATTACATCGTTAATCTTCAAGTTTGTGTCATTTATTATGAGCAATAATGTAAAAACTGATGGACTAACAGAAGACTTGGGAAGCTGTGAAACAAGCCCATCTCAGTCAAACTAAAAGCTGCAAGTCAAATGAATTTGTCAAGACAGATTTGCAATGTAAGCCATTCTTATGCCACGGATCCAAGTTTTATTCGTTTATTTATTTTTCTTCAGATAAGCTGTGTTTTAATGGGTTCATCTGAGTTATAAAAAAGGTTGTGGTGGGTAGCACTGCATCCCCACAGCACGGTTTGAATCCTGGAAACAAAACAAACAACAAATAATAACATCAAATCAAGGTACAGTTTTAATTAAACAAACAAACGAAAAAAGCCTAATATATCCTTATTGTATCTTATTGGTATTTTAATATGAACCTTTTCACATTCAGCCACACAGACACTTATATGGGGCACACGGAATATTCACAGATCCAACAGTGTTAGTGACACCAGTAAGAAAAACAGTGGATCAGACTCTTTCTGGATGTAATTTGAGAACATTTTTGGTTTGTCAGGCTGTAAAACACTCCATTGAAACAGCGTTTTAGTAGAGTTATCCCTCAAAGCAGCAGAAACTGGGGTGTTGATGTCATGAATGGTACGTTTGTGTAACCAGTTTGCAGCTGTAAGAAAATCGACCAGCTGCCATCTGGATCTTATTCAATTTCTTTTATAAGCCGAACTGACTCACCCAAAGTGCCTCATTAATGCACTTTGGGAATTTAGAGAATTGTTACAGCCTTTGGTGCACAAAACAACATTGTGGCAAATTACATGTTAAATATCACTCAGCTCAGTCTGAACAGTCAAATACAGCTGTTTGCATTTCTGTGATGTTCTCATATCAAACTGCATTCCTGATATTCTGACCGCGTCCTTCTTTTGAACAGAAACACTTCTGTGTCCCCGTCTGATGGTCAGATGCTTCAGAGAAATGTTGAATTGCTCCTTTAGGCTTAGAGACATGGACATAAACTGAGGGAATGAAAGTGAAGAAGGAGAAGAGAAGGGACGGTGTTCAGCGTCTGTAGCCGTGGCGAACACTCCCCTGCGCTCTGTCACTGCCGCCGCTGTGTCCTGTGGACAGCATCACTTCCTCCAGGAAACTGACCAAAGAGAGATGCAAAGAAGGGTAAAGATCCCCATACAACAGGCCAGTTTCAGCTCAAATGCAACTGGTTTACAATGCAACTATTTATGGCACCAAAAGGAGCTGCTCTAAATAATTAATCACCTAAAGACAACATTTCTTTCTTTTTTTTCCTTTCCTAGAGCTGTGGCTAAAGTATGCTGAAGGCCTGTGTTTTAATGAGTTTCCAGATAATGAATCAGACTGAGAATAGATACTGTGACAAAAAAAAGGATACCTCTTTGTGTTGTGGATGCTGCTCCCCCCCAGGACAATGCGGACACCGGGCGTGTTGCGGTTCAGGTTGTAAACAGCCAGAGCTTCTTCATACGTGGCCCCACCGATCAGAAACACCACGATGTCCTGAGGCCTGAGGCACACATTCAAGCCGTGAGACTTTCTCAGCATCTTCTAGTCTCACTGGTCTAGGATGTTTTACCTTTTTCCTCCAAATGCTTATGTTTATTCTTTTTCTGAGTGTTGACCCTGACCTGTAGTGGCTGTATGCTAATGGTTTAAGGTTCGTATAAGACACCACTGTCCATACAATGTCTCAGATATATGTTACCTGCTTCTGTGCTGGTCTATATTTAGCTACATATTAGTTAATATATGTTTTCAGGTGTGCATTATACATCCTTACTGTGTTTCAAATATATATATAAGTTGTTTTTGAAGGGACCTAGTATATTCAAGGCTCACCTGTCTAAAAAGATGTGCGTTAACTCTTATGAACATCTGATCCGTCTATAAGGTTTGTGTTAGCTCCCTCTCAGGTGTGCATTACCACTCACAGGTGTACGTTACCTGTCTCCCATGATAGGGTTATCCATATCAGGTGTATATTATGTGTCTAACATGTGTCCATACCATACCTCCTCATTCTTAGAGAGGCACATTAACTGTGTTTTGGTTGGACACTCATCCCTCGGGTGTCGGCTGCCTATGTTTTATTGGTGGTCTCAGGTGCATGCTAGTTCTCTTTAAGGTACATTACCTCCTGCCCCGCCTATCAGGTGCATCTTACTTGGCTTTGAAATGTTTTATCTGTCTCTAATGTGCTGATTGCATGTGAAACATGGTGCTTTTCTTGTGTGCTCCCACATTAACAGATCAGAGGATCTACACTGCCTGCATGTTGTGCACTCTTGACCAACTGTAATTATTCACAAAGAAGACATAAACTGAGCATCAAAATACCAACCGATATTTGGTCCTTTGAGCCCAACAGGGACCTTTACCCCAGGTAAGGACAGAAAAGATCCTACAATATGGGCATAGGGGCAGATCCACCTACTAGAGACATGTCACACACTAGCCGTGCTGTCCTAAAAAAGATGTAACTTAAAATACAAACATGTGTTCCCAGTGCAGCAGCTCAGTAAAGCACACGCCCCGCTTCAGGCCTGAGGCCTGCCTTTGGTGCACGTCACGCATCTCCCAGAAGGATGTTATCTCATATGAGACACGTTTTGTGGCTCACATGTCTATCGGGTGTGTGTGTTACCTGTCTCTGAGGCTGCTAGGTCCAAGGTAAGGGAACTGGCTGTCTTTGAGTCTTCCTTTAATCAGCTGATCGAGCGTGTCGTGCAGTAGAGGTCGATGCTGAGTGTATACGTTCTCCACACCCTGCGTACAAACATCCAAAAGCACAGAAAAAAAACTCACTGAAAACCCAGATGCCTGGTGTTTATTTGTTCCATTGGCCACATGACCTGTAGTGGCAACAGGTGGACTTTGTGTGTTTTCTGCAGCAGGATGCACTGCATGAAGAAAATGCTCAAACAATTCATAGCTAACAAATCTACAGTTCACAGAGATTTTAATACCAGATGTGTGTCTGTACCTTGAGTCCTTTGAAGAACTGTTTGGTGATGGCCACGGCATCTGTCGGCGTGATGAGGTCACTTCCTCTGATTCTCTTCCCGCCGTATTCAACCACAGACTGAACCATCTGGAAGAAACGGGACACAAGCAAGGGTACTTTTAGTCAGCTTGAGACATTTACTGCCCTCCAGAGGCTACATGATGCAATTACCAGACAAATAAATGTTTTATTTTTGTAAATTTAGAGAGCGCTCAAGGAAATCGAAGGATGGTGGCTTCATTACCCTGCGGTGGCGTTCGGACACTCCCCTCTTGCTCAGCTCCTCCATCAGAGACGGCAGGATGCTGCTGCTGTGGCGCTCGTATCTCAAAGCGTAGAGCATGACAAGGCGGACGGCGTCCACCTCCGCCACCCGGGGATTCTGCAGCATCCTTCGGACGTTCTGAGACAGAGGGCATGTGAAAGTGGCTGCTGCTCCTCTGAAAAAATGTGGTTCTTACAAGTTTTTCGTCAGCAGCTAAGGGAGATGCCGTCCCCCCATGAAGACAGCGAGGACGGGAAGTACCTGCTGAGCGTTGGAGTGGTCGTTCTGACAGGCCAGGTCCTGCTCCACCTCCGACACCTCCATCAGCTGCCGCTCTGACACCAGCCGGGACAGCTCCCCCACCACAGTCACATGTTTGGACACGGTGCCCGACATCTTCTTGAACTGAGGGTAGTTATCTACAAATGCCTGCAGAGGTGACACAGGACACCGTTTTTCAAGCCTGTGGCCAGGAGAACGTCTCACTCTTCGTTCAGAATGAAGAAAACCGGCGCGCACTGAACGTCTGAGCCAACTCTAACCTTCATGTCGGAGATCGACTCCAGCTTCTGTTGCTCTTTAGGTTTCTTCTTCTGGAAATCTTCCATCAGGTTTTTGATGTTGGTGCCGATCTCCCCAAAGTTCAGGTACAAGTTCTGAAGGTGAAAAAGAGAGATGCAATGAAAATCCAAAGTCTTTTTGAGCTGAGGTGCACTTTCTGCTCTGTGCCTGCTAGAGGCTGAGCTGGAGTTTAATTTGTTTTACGGTTTTCAAAGACACTGATGTGTCAATTAGACTTATAGATTTATGGAAAAGCAGGCTCATATAAAAATATCAAGAAAAGCTATCTCGTTTCATGGACTCACATTAGCGTAGAACTCGTCGTTCTCAGCAGACAGCACCACCTCTCTCAGGTCTTTACTGACTCCTGGAACTCTGGACAAGTCGATCCTGTTGTTGTTCAGACCCAGCAACTCGTGAACCATCGCCTGGTACGTCCACTACAACACACACCAACACAGCTTTGTAAACAAAAAATTCTGTGGGGTGAAAGCATTTTAAATTTTGATTTCCTCTGCCAAGAAACAGGTTTACTGCATTGTGTTTACACTGGTAAAATGTATATTTTGGTGAGGAGACAGATACCAGGTGTCAGAGTGTCCTGCTATGTGTGTTCACCTGGTTAAGCAGCGGTGTGATGGCGTCATCACTGCGGTCGAGGATCAGAAGCAGAGGAGGAACTTCAGTCTTTCTGAAGTCAAAAAGCTCGTATTCCTTTGTAATGATTTGCTGAGGAAAGACGGATGTCTTTGACTTTTGTAACATTTCAATACTGTAAAGTTGAGTGAAAATACTCGTCTATTCAAAATACAAATATAAGACACAGATCCTGAAACTAGTTTTGGTGGTGCATTAATGTGTTAGTCTTGCTTATACACCAGAACTTCCAGTAAAAATGAAAATGATAAGATTACACATGTTCAATGGCTTTCTCATTTTATTTATTATTCTGACTTTGCTCTGAAACAGTGTGACAGCACTGCACAATTCAACCAAAGTAAAACATTTCCACCTGGACAGAGATGAAGTTAAACAAAGTAATTTACATTTACGTGTTTAAATGAAAAATACTAAATACTGACAGAGTGCACAGTGAGAACATGAGCAATGGGAGTATTGATGCCATGGATACCTTGACGCTTTCTGCGAGGCGTTTGGACATATCCGAGGACAGCTGGTAGCGGATCATTGGACATTTCTTCAGAGCAAGCAGGACGGAGGTCAGACCCTGAGTGCAGCGAGACAGCATGGAGGGCTCCCAGCCCCGGCCCTAACACACACACACACATACACATGTATGGCACACATGACAACTATCTGACATTTCTGTGTCCTTCACAAGGTTAGAACAAATCTTGTAAATCAGAAATTCTCTCTTACCCTGGCCACTCCATGCAAGTTGAGGGAGAAAACGTGAGGATTGACAGCGATGAAGTCTCCATAAAACTCCTGCAGGAATACACAAAAAAAGATTTCAGACCCAGAGTTGTTGTATTGAGACATGTTGGCCACGTTTTGGTACGTTTCCGCAACAAAAACCATGTAAGGAACTCCACTTTAGGTGCTAACAAAAGTATTAAACAGAATTTCATACTTGGAGAGACCTGAGACTCACCTGCACTTCAGCAACCACTTCCTGTTCATCGGCCTCAGCCAGAGCTTTAATCTCACTCTTGCTAATCACATTACTGAAGTCTGAAAAACAGAGGAACAAGATTTTCATTCTTGTCTGTTAAATACTAAAGATTTACTTTAAGTGAAATTGAGTTTGTGAACATGAGCACATGTTCTTCATGTCTGTGAAAGTATGTTCGATTGCCTGAAATGAGGATGAGGAGACCCAAACCAACTGCTGAACTATAACACCTGTCCCACTGGAGTGTGTTTTAGTCTCCTCCTGTCCTGATGATACTTACAGATGAAGTAGACACTGTACTTTGGTCTTCGTAGCTCTTGGATGAGGTGCTCTACGTTCTCCTGCAAGAATCACAAACAAATATCAGCATCCCAAGACTTACACACGTGAATGGTTAGAAATGTCATTTACTCTCATTCAAACTGACTGAGGGGGTGTTGTACCTTGGTGGGACGAAGGAAGCAGATGGCTTTAAGGTGCTTCATGCTATCTCTATTCTGAGAGTCGATCCGCTCAAACAGGTAAACCTCCTTCTGCAGGATCTCAGACTGGGTGTACACCACACTCACGATGCTGGTCTGAACACACACACAGAATCAGTTTTACTCTAGCTCTGTAATCAATCAAATGCGAGATAGACACAGAAAAAGTCTCAGTGATGACCATTTATAAAGCTATACATTACGTTAGAAGGACAGCAAAACAACAAAGAATAATATTAACCAGCAGTTCTCAAACCTCCACGTACAGCACAACTGCCACGTACTTTGAGGGCCCTGAAGCAGCCACTACACAGCAACTAAACACAGCAACTGACGGAGTATCAGACAAAAAAGAACTGGTATTGTACAGTAATAGTACTGAAGTCTCACCGTCTCTTTATCCATAAGCAACACCTTCATCCCAGGGCCGCTGTTCTCGATCATTTTGGAAATGTACTGCTTCACCGCAAGCGTCACGTTCATGGTGGCGACGATGAAAGAAAGATACGCAATAAATAAATCAAAAAGTTGTACTAGCTACTGGGGATCTGTTTCAATCTCTCATGGGGATTTTTCTCCCCTTGTTGATATTATTTTGGAGATGTATCAGCTGATCTGCTGTAACGATTGCACTGCAAATCTCTTCCGGGTTCCTGACGTCATTACGTTACACGTACCGTATCTTCGTAGATAGTTTTTTTTCTGTCATCATTAGAAAATAGTAATTGGCAGTAGGCTACGTACAATTTATTTTCATTATTCAATTTATTCACGATTAAATGTTCCCATCTAATTTGTTTTATTTTTAATAAATTAAACGCTTTTTTATTGCGATGAGGTTCTGTAAGCATTTAAAAGGACGGGGTATTTACACAAAAGTTTCAGTACATTCAATAAAAGCTGAACCGGTTTATTGTTTCGAAGAACAATACACAACCATATTTTACCTGGCTATTGGCTTTGAGATTGAACAGGGTTAGAGGCTTTAAACCTATCCTTTGTTTACTCGTGATTAATAACACCTTAGTTAAAATTTGGTAAAGATACCAATGGCTTGCTAACAGCTTTTTAAGCTGTGAAGAAGATGCCATTTGCTAACTGAACAAAAAATTTGGCTCGTTGTAACGGAAGCTTACAACTTAACATAGTATCTCTTAAATTATAGAGAAAGGTTAAGTATGCTATTCATTGTTAGCACACAGGCAGGTTGATCTGTCTGCTTGTGGTCAAAATGCTTTAGAACTTCTATGATGTCAAACATTAAACCTTGAATGGACATAAAAATAATAAATCATTCTAAAAAATAAGGTTACAATCGTTTAATATTTTGTTTCATGCGAAGTTTTCAAATTACGTTGCAGCATATACCTTATCTAAACGAGTATACTACTCCGCCCTGTCTGAAAGTAGTACGTTCCAACGAGGATTGCAGTTGAGAATGAAGGCGGAAGGATACGGCTGCTGTTGCACATCGTCAGATTCCAACGTGCTTTTTGTATAGCAGGCTAGCATCTCCAAGTTAAGGATTACACATTTTCTTTTCTTTTTGGTAAAAACACCTTTTAAAATTCGAAATTTGTACGGAATAAACATCTATTTACCATATTGAATGGCTGCAGAAGGTAAGCGCTTATGCAACATACTTAAATAAACTCAAATCATGCATAGTCAGTAATATTACAGAGTTAGCTGTCCGGCTACATGCTAGCCCTGTTAGCTCACTGGTAGAAAGAATTAAGAAGAATGGGAGATCATGTGGACAAGCAGTATTTGAGTCAGATTTTGCCATTGTAAGTTTGAGTAAGCACACAGAAAAATCGTTGAAAGTTTAAAATGGTAAGAATGTAGAACGATATGTTACTCATTTGAGGTTAAGGCTTCAATATAGTGGTACATTAGCATGCTAGCATAGCTTGCTAAATGACAGAGGTTTAGCTTTCAAAGTTAAATAGCGACGTATTCACTATTTAGACAAATTAAATAGTCATTACAACTTTAAATAGCATTAGTTATTAGCTTTTATTCATATAAAATTGCATAAAATTTAAAATTGATTGCAAAATATAGCGATACAATCATCAAAAAGGTTTCAAACCCAGAGCTAACTCCTCGCAGGATTTTCACAGTGAAAAAACAGACGTAAATTTGATATTCTAAAGTACATTTGACGTTTTTTTTTATGTTGTAGGACTGTTAGTTAGTTATTTACCTTGGTGTTAAATGACATGGTTACATACTTTTTGAAAATGTTGTTAAGCTCAATTCAAGTTGTACAAGTAATAGCTTACAAATTTGAGGATTTTTTTTTTGCTCCTATATCGATTCAATTTGTCTGACTTTTCATTATTGATCAGCTTTATTCAAATAAGCAATTTCGCGTGGGCTACAATTATTGCGGGTATATTAATTGTTCTATAAATCTGAATATTTAGTCACAAAATTCAACATTGTTTACCATCTGTGCAGATGATAAACAGACTAATGCAATTAAAAGGATCCCTCAACATTTGAGTTAATAAAAAGCTGCTGAGAGACTTCAGTCAAACAAAAACACAACAGCATAGCTATCCTCCGCAGTCTTTTAAGTTTGAAGTATTTTTGTTTGTACAAATATATATTCCTAACTCATTTAAAAATCCAAACACTATGCAAATTTTATAAACCAGGTGTAGAATTAAAACAGCATTTTAAGAATATATGCACATGCTGAAATCGATCTTTTGTGAGATTGTCAGATCTCTAAATGAATACACTGATTGCAGGTATAAAGCAACTTTAAACTTAAAGTGGGATTCCTCAAATGACAGCCGATGACAGCTATTATGTCGGAAATAAAGTGTTTGTTAGCTCACTGATTATTTCTTTAACAGAGTTAAGCTTGTATCACAGTGCCTTTCAGGAGGCCTAAAATTTCACTACGTTTGCCCATGTCTTTGTCTACAAAGTTAAATAATTTGCTCAGGGTAATAGAAATATTTTACAAACATAAGATTGAGGAGATGATGAAAGCCCAAGTCTGAACACAGCATTGGGAAAGCCCTCTTTGATTTAGATGCTATATCATTTCAAAGGAGTAGATTAGTTCAGTATTAGCAGGAAGTTTATATATGTAACGTGTTAAAGGCTTCTCAAAACACTATAGTTTGTAATCCATAGAGTATTCATTATGGATGCTGTTTTACTGCAGATGAGAATGTGATGATGACACAGATGGAGACGGGTGAAGGTGTGGACCTGCTGATGGAGTGTGATGAGGAAGAACCGTATATTCTGCCTGTACTACAACAGATGGATCAGGAAAAAGAGGCACTGGATGCAGGTTAGAGTTAACTTTTTCTGGATCAAATGCTCTAAATCCACAGACCTTTAGAAGATCCTGTCCTTTTGAACTTTTACAGGGATTTTTGTCCCTGGCTTTGAGAAATGCATTCTCTTTTAATTATTCTCAGTGCACAGATTGTTATGAGAAGTGATGTCACAAAATGTTTTTGGACGTGATCCTTATTTTCAGTTTTTTCATTTTCTATCTTACTGTAAAAGACATCAGTTTGTCTATCCAAAAACTGATGATCTTTGTTTAACAGAGAGGCACAACACCAAGATATGACCCAATGACCACAAATACATCATAGAAGGATTTACCACGTTAAAAAGAAAAAAAACTAACAGAATTACTGTTTCTCAAAGAAATACAGCTGTAGTAAATTGATAAGCGTCATAAAACTTGTGTTTTTTATTTTCTATTTAATTCCCCTTATAAGTGTAGTTCGATTATCATCAATATGAATCATATTTTGTGATATCCAGATTTTTTTCTCCCAACCATACACCAAAATAGAAAGAAAGGTATTTTCTGATCAGATGTAGTATTCATTTTTGTCTTCAGATTTGAGGCCTCCTGACAGTTTGATGAAGAATGAAGAAGAAAGAGACACTGGACCAGTTAGGATAATCCCTATTCCAGTCCAGCCTGAGACCAGCAGGTCCCCCACGGCCAGCAGGACAGTGAAGGTAATCAGATACTTTCAGTGATTTATGTTGGTATCTGTTCAATTATTCTTATTGATTATTGATCACCTCACTCATAGGGTGCTGTGGATATTCATATTTACTCAGCTGATGTGTTTAGTCTGTAGGTTCAGGGCTCTCCTTCACAGTCAACGGCCGCCGAGTCCCCCTGCTGCCTGGAGGTCAGTCGCTATAACTGTTAACGTTTTAACTTATAATGACTCAGAGACCCTCTGATTCATTACAAAGACGTTAATGTTTGTTTTGTTGTCCTAGAAAAATTGTCAAGCCTCATTTAGATAAAATTATCCTTTTGAAAAAAAAACATCATCATTGTTGAACCTTTGCTTTTTAAACGGGCCGTGAAACAGAGCCCAGCTGAAAGGAACAAAAGACTCTTTAGTAAGTTCTGCAACTATGACCATCTCACTGTGTGCTGCTTGGTTTTTCAGTCTGTTTGAAATGTCAGCCTGAACATGATCTATGTCACTTATAACACCTCTGAATTTGGTTTTGTCAATAACTAGGGTTGAATGCTGAAAGCAGCTGGTCATTTTATCTGCAGGAAGTAAATTTCATTACTCCCTCTGAGGTGTTTTTGTCCATCCTGCAGGTAGTGGCACAGAGTTGAGGCTGCACTGTCACCCTGAAGGTTCGGCTAGTGGCTTCACCACAGTGCAGATCCCCGTCACTGTGACCGTCCACAGTCCCGTGGGGACCCGCTGCATCAACACCATGGCCTCCCTGAAGACGTCCCCTGCTCCGGCCCCCTCTGCTGCCTTCACACCTCTCCCTGAACCCAACCACATCCCCGTTATCACAGGTACTCATCACCACCAGCTTCAAGGTTGGCAATGGCCACCACAGATCTTCTGTACACTGATCCCCTCTCTCTCTCTGACACAGATGTGGTCTCAGGCGAAGCAGCTCAAAAGGTTCTGAATGACCACAAAGTGAACTTTGAATCCAACCATCTGACACCACAGATACCTCCCCCCTTTGACCCAACATCAACCCAGACAGCCGTGTCACAGAAAACGTCGACCAAAGCAATACCCAAACGGCTCCAAAATGGTTTGATTCATCCTTTGATTCCTCCCTATTATTCTATTTAGAATAGTGTTCACTGGAAAGGTGAAAAGCATTTGTGCCTGTCTTAGATTGTGGACCCAGCTTTGTTGTCTCTGGATTAGTACATTCATGTACCATTTTGTCCTGTGTCTCAGGTGACGTTGAACCTGTTGTTCCCCCAAACTGTTCCATCTGCTCCTCTCAGTACAAATACATCCCAGAGTTGCGGGGATTCATGTGTGTAAGTCATGAGATTTGTCCATTATGTCTGAATCAGCAAACGACACACAGTGCTTCTCTTCACAACACTTAATGATCGTCCCCCAGCTGTGCAGTCCTGCCATTGCTCTGAGTCTGAGGAACTTGAAGAAACAGATGATGAATCAGATAGAAAAAAAACGCAGGAGAAGCAGAAATAAGAACAAATCGACAAAAACCAGCAAGGACCCTCAAAGCTCCAATAAAGAGAAAAGGACGTGCCCGAAATCTTCTGCTGTGAGTGTAAACATTTAGGCTTTCATAATGTGCAGTGAATGTAAATATGACAGTATGTTTTTTTCTGTACCTCCTTCAGACTAGAGTTGTCACTCCTCCTCAGAGGCGACACTCCGATGACTTTGAGTCAGATGTGCAGTCCAGTCCTGGATCCCCCTCCAACAAAATGAGCCTAACACAGCAGAACCAGCCTGCACCACCGTCTCAACCCCCACAGGGTAAACTGGTGATACTGGTGGAGGATTTTTATTATGGCTGTGACCCCGGGCGTGCCACGACCTGCCTGCCGGGCGGAAAGATGGGTCGGCCATACCCGTGCATCCATTGTCCCAAGACTTTCAGCAACAACATCAAGTGAGACTCATAATCATGTTAAACCCCCTGAACATAATAGCCAGTGTTACCTATTTCTTGTGGCTTGTCAGATGGTACATTTGAAACACTTCTGTGTTTCATCTGTTCTCATATCTTCTTGAGCAAATCAACAAAAATAATTTCCTTTCAAAGCACTTTGAGAATGCTTACAGAACTGAATGTCTTGCTGCACTCTGAATAAAAATATGGATAAACTTTAGTGCGGAGTCCTGATGTTTCCTGTGTTGTGTTGTAGGTTGATGAATCACATGCATGAGCATGCGTCCATGATTTCGCAGCTTGCTGGAAAGGTGGAATGTGCGTCCTTCTGTCCTCACTGTTTTCGTCCCTTCCTGTCGCCGCTGAAGCTGCAGAGCCACCTGGAATCTGTTCACAACGGCCGGGAGTCCACAGGTCTGCACAAACGCATATGCACACAGTTGTTGACGTTACCTGATCTTAAATCCAATTAAAAAAGTTAATGCATTTCTTTTGCATACAGATTGAATAACCAGTGATTGAAAGGTAGATAGTTTTCCAACTCTCCTTCAAAGTTATTGAACACCGATTACATCTGGATGTTAATGGTGTTCAAGAGGATCTTGAAGCAATTATGTTTTCTACCATTTGTTTAATTGACCTCGAATACTTTTTTTAGATAAATTACTCAGATTACTTTGTGTTCCTCATTTGTAAAGAATTATTTTTTGTATTGCAGTGAAATGTAAAATCTGTGAGGTGGCATTTGACAGTGAACCAGATTTCCTTTGCCACATGAAGTCCACTCACAGGCCAGGAGAGATGCCCTATGCCTGCCAGGTTTGACTCTGAGTGCCACCCACACTTGTTCTTGATTATCATATAGTTTGCATGAGATGACTCAGTCCTGCTCTTTGTCTATAGGTTTGTGACTTCCGGTCGTCCTTCTACTCTGATGTCTGGTCTCACTTTGAGCTGGTTCACAGTAACACCAAATACTTGATGTGTCCCTACTGCCTCAGGGTGCTGCGTAATAACAACTGCTACCAGCAGCATGTTGCCCAACACCAGGTACAAAAAACCACCAGAGATTACAGAGCCGCATACACCGCTCTGCATCACAGAGATGTCACCCTCTGCTGCGTTTTGAATATGTTTGTGTATATTTTGATTTTGTGTTTGTCTGCCTGCAGAAGAAATATATTCACAGCTGTGAAAAGTGCCGTCTTCACTTCCTGTATATTAAAGAGCGCACTGAACACAAACTACAGCATCACAAAACGCACATCACACCCCCCCAGCTCAGCGGACTAAAACCTGGAACAAAGGTACCCCTCACCTCTGGATGATCTGTCCACGCAGTTTGTCACAACTCCGTAATGCAGAGGGTGGATCATCTTTGTCATGCTCAGGGAAAGATGTCAATAAAAAAAAGACGAAGATTCACCTCTAAAAGAAAAAAAGACCTGAGTGGAACTGAAATGTGTCCCTTGTTTTAAGGTGACTGTCAGGACGTATTCTGTAGCTGGAAGTCATGAGAGTGGGGGCGGACCGAAGAAAACAGTCGCTCCATGCAAGGTGAGCACAACACCCAGTCATCACTTAGTTGAGCTTCCTCCACAGCTAACTACATCCACACTTAACTCTGGGCTTCTATAGAGCCGTCAAATGTCCCGGTTTAATTAGTTTGTTTAATTAGGTGGTGGACGTCGCCCCGCCTCCCCCCCCACAGGAATCTACAAAGAAGAAACCGGTTGAAAGCTTGGGGCCTCTGCTGTCCCAGCTGAGCACAGACAGGTACTCTGTGAATTCTGATCCTCTGCTGGATTGTTCTTTTTCCCTCCAAATAGTCAGCAATTAGCATTCTGAACTCAGCTATTTGAAAGATGTCTCATCTATTCACTCTTTCTGACATTGAGTTAGAGACAACGAAACCCTGGAAATGAGATTGATGATGAGACCTAAACTAAAATGAGACAGTCTGTTAGATGGAAGCCTTCTGTATGTGACGGCACACAGATGGTGGACTGGGCCAATCATCTGCCATCCTACCCCATTTCTCAGTTTTCTTTTAAAAGATGAACAGTGTAGCGAGTCCTGCTCTCTTCTTGGTGGCTTAGTCCATCACATCAAACAGGCCAACAGAGGAGTGGACAGGCACATAATTCAGTGAGATGTCCTGTCAATTTAAGCTACATTTGAGATGTAACACATGTTTGATGCATCTCACCAGCCTGAGCATTGTGGTGTGTTACTAGCAGCCCATTTTTTTTAACCTGAAGCAGGCCTAGAACTGGGCTTCTGCTAGAAAAAAGGATATAGACAAGACACATGTAAACAGGACTACGGCTGTCAGACATCCTGATCCACTGAGAGCAAACATCCTCCATATGGACCTGATGTGAGAGAATAACAGATAAGCTACTTGATTATGCAAAGTGAAGGAGTGAAACAGTTAATAGTTATAATTTTGTTACAATGCTGTAAATCCCGTCTTATGTTAAATAAGTCATAGAGCCTTTCCCAGCTTTTTTATTCGTCTTGTTGTCATTACGTTCTCCATGGAGTTTACATTACAATTTTTCATTATGAACAGCTTTTCATATAAACCTCACAGATTAATTTTAATGGCTCCTGCTTAATATACAACCATGAAAATATGAGACTTTGAACACACGTCTGATTTATACCTGATTCTGTTTGGTCTACAGTCTACAATTGGGTATGTGTGACATAACAGAACATAACTTTATTCCACTAAAAAGAAGTATCACATTCTGTATGTTCTTAGTATATAGTTACACATTATTTAAGACCAGCTGCTGCACAGATGAGGAGTTTCAGTCTGACATGAGCTCAGTGTTGTGCTTTTCTCTCGGTGTTGCAGTGACCTCGGCGCCTCTCATCGCTGTATCGAGTGTCTACATTCAGTCCCAGACCTCAAGGTTCATTTTCCGTCTCTGGTCCGCTGCTCGCTCTGCAGATTCGTCACCTGCTGCTCCACCTCCTACGCCAACCACATGATCATGTAGGACTGCACCTCGACACGCTGTCCTAAAAAATATCCCCCTGCCAGCTTTGTTGTGTGTCCTGCTAATAAACCATCAATCTTTTTTTTCTTTTGGCAGTAATCACTCCTTCAACAGGGACGTCCCTCAGTTCTCCACCATCTTCCAGTCGGCTCCAAGGTTCACAAAGACGTCTGCTCAGTGTAGATTCTTCTCGTTTACATACTGCAGAGCTAATCTGCAGCTTGTGTTTGTTTGTCAGGTTGCCTCTGACGATAAGATGTCAGTCATGCAAGTTTTCCACCAGGAGTGGAGATGCGATGGCCGTCCACCTGACAGAAAAGCCTGAACACACCTTTGCTGTTTTATCAGCCCAAGGTACGACCCACACAAGGCCGCCGCTTACCGACTAAGATCGACAAACTTTGTTAAGACTCTCAAATTAATTGCAAATATCTTCATACTTTCGTCACCTGTGATCACAAGCAGAACTTAGTTATTTAGATCCTCTGTTTAGATAAATATTTTCCAGTATCCGTATGTCAATTATTTTAAGTAGTGTTTTTAGATGATTTCAGCACAGGAGGTTTTTATTTGGAGATAATTTTCTAACAGTCATTTGACCACCAGATGGTGGCAAAACCAAATGGAGATCTGTGTATCCTTCTTTAACCTGTTTAAATGTTGTTTTCTTTGCATTGTTATTGGAGTGTGGAAATAGAACAGCTCACATGAAGAAAACTTGTGTTTTATTTCAGAGTGGAGTGCGTACAGACCTGAGACTCCCAACTCCGAGAGGTAAAACAGACCAAACAAGATTACAGAATTATGATCACAGACCAATCTGAATTAAATAAATCCTTTTTTTTAAATTCAGAAATGAATAAATAGACTTATGTCTATAAAGATCAGACACCAGTTTGTTCTGACGGCTGCTTCCATCTTATGTTTGAGTCTTTGTGTTATTCATCCAGCGGTCAGAATGGAGCCTTTGTCCCCATCCACCTCATGCCCTGTGCTCAGACTTGGCTGTCAGTCAAACCCCTCCCTCACCCGTCTCCTCCACCATTCACTCCTGCCATGACCATCAAGTTCCTGGGCCCCAAACCAGCCGGAGCGGTGAGCGGCGCCACTGATGAGGCTGCATGGTGAAGTCGATGGTGATACTTAAAGTTCCCCTCCTTCTCCTCAGGCTGTGCACGCCCAGCTTTCGGCGGTCCTGTCGGCTCTGTGTCATGGCGCCGCTCAGGCAGCCCGCCAGCACCAGACGCCCCCCGCCACCATCAGGGTCTGGATCAGCCAGCAGCAGCGCGGGCTGTCGGACAGGAAGTGGCTGTGGAGGACAGAGAAGATGGCAGAGTGGATGCTGTATCGAAGGGAGCAGCAACTGAGTGTGGACGAAGACGCCCTGCTGCAGAAAGCCCAGATGGTTCTGGGGGGGAACAGCCAGGTGGACTTTTACCGGTGGACGGTAGACTTCATGCTGAGGCACGAGCTGGGACTCCAAACATCCAGAAACGCCAGGCTGAAGGCCGTCCTGGACAGTAGCCACGCATTCATGCAGAAACTCATTTCACAGGTCAGAGGCTTATCAGCCGCTACTGAGAACAATGTCATTGTCAAAATCCAACTAATCTGAGGGGACGGGTACGTGAGATACTGTATCTCCAACCCAATCGACACTTGTCAACAACCCTGTTAGTGCGTCAGACGTTTGTGCTGCAGCTGTTTACCTCATGGGAAACAGATCCATGCGGGTGGAGAAACACCAGGTGTTTTGCCTGATGGGATATGTTGCTTCCCTGCTTTCAGATCCAGAGTCGAGATCTTCCTCCAAACTGCTTGGGCTGCCTGGACGAGCTTCCCGTCTTCATCAACCTGGACCAGTTCTCTGACCAAGACCCGCAGGCCCTTAAGCTGTTCGGCTCCCCCGAGGACAGACCCCTGCTGGATGTCACCCTCTCGGCTCTGTCAGACGGCAGTTTCCTGCCCCCCCTGCTGTTCTTCACAGGGACCTCACCCCATGTCCCCGACGGCTTTCCAGACAACGTGATCCTGGAGGCTCGACAGGAAGGGTTCACAGACGAGGAACGGATGCAAATATGGCTCGATAAGGTTCGAACCGCAGCCTCACAACAAGAGGGTTCCTGGTCCCTGTCCCAGCTGGGTCTTTGTGTCTGTCTTTATAGGAATCTGCTTAATTTTTGAGTTTAGAATCTGAGTGGCCCTCACATTGCTAGTCATGTGACCTCCTGTGTGTCCTCCCTGTCCCTGCAGGTGTGGCAGCCCCATGTGACCTCAAAGTATGACCACCACTCCCTCCTGTTGATGGATCAGTATCGAGGACACGTGAGTGGCAAGTGCAGAAAGAGTCTGTCTGCTGCCAGGACAATCGCGTCCTTAATCCCACCGGGATGCGGCTGTCGCCTGCAGCCCCTCGAAATCTGTGTGACACATGTCCTCAGAGACTTCCTGCAGGTACCCTCATCTGCCACGCCCACCTCACCTGTCTGGGTCCTTCCCATCCCAGTCATTCTCTGAGGTGTTGATGGTCCTTGTGCCCAGGCCCGTTGGACTCAGCTGGTCTCTGATGGGGGCCTGGACGGTCTGGAACTGCATCAGCTGGCTCTGACCCTGGCCTGCTGGCTCAGTGAAGTCTCATCCACTCTCAATTCAAAGACGCACTTCCTGCGCAGGTTTGAACATTTCGATGTGGTAATTTTAGGTCCTCAGATGTTCTCAGTTAGTGTTTCAGGCCCCCCTTCACCCGTCTGTCATGTGTACAGTAATTTATGTACAGAGACAGTTTTCCAGTCAGATAGCTGTAACATAGTAACACTGAACCTCTTTAAAGTTTAAACGGGGCCTTCTTTCTGATGACTGAACTGACAGCAAAGACGATTAAAACTATCCGCTTTAAGTCACATGACTATCTGAGATCAGTTTTTCTGTGGGTTTGACGCTAACGGTTGGCTCCTCCGATGTGATAACATTTCAGATCATTTAGTTTGACGTGCACTACGCAGACTGAGGAGGATCACGGCGAGGCAGAGAGGATGATCTCAGCGCTGGCCGAGGCTCTGATTCAGCCGATGGAGGCCAAAGAGCCAATACTGGTGCCGAAGGCCGAGCAACACCAGGCTGTACTTCTGCTGGCGATGAAGAAGGAGATAAAGATGGAAAGAAATTGAGGAGAAAAAGTAGGAGAGGAGTGAGCACTGATGCACTTTTTCACGAGGCGCTCGGAGGACAAAGCTGTGGCCCCAACGTGGACACAGGTGTTTCTTAGTTTCTTATCAATCAGTCGTCTGACCATCAAAATCTAAGAAAACGTTTTTTAAATGAGATTTTTCCAATAAAGTAAGTGTGATAGGTTTGGAGGAAGGTTGCTGTAACTTAGAAGAGCTGATTTATTGTGAAGCTGCAGATTCTGACACTGAATGATCTAGAGCTAGTGCTACAAGAGAAGTGCAGATCCAGCCTGCACAGCTGTTCTCTGTTCCTCTGAGTATCCAGAATATTTGGTAAAAGACCGCATTAACAGCCCAGAGTGATGAAACACCACCCTGGAAATTTTGTGTTGATTCACCAATTGTGGCAGCGCTGAACTAGAACCAGATATGAAAAAAATCTATCTTCAATAAGCTGTTTATAATTGATTGATACACGTGCAAGAACCAGTGGTCTAATTATCACTTATTTGTGTCCGTTTTCAGGCATTAAGGAGGAATGAATTGTTGATTAGTGAAGTTGAACTGATAAATATGGTTAAGCTAAGAATGACGATCACTATGTAAAATATTTCTTTTTCGCTGCTTGTTCGTGTTCCTGTTATCCAGTCAATGAAGATATTTTTACGGTTTTATTAAAAAAATAAAGAAGAAAGTTGAATATTTGACTATCCGGATGTTAATTTGTTCTGTTGAATGCGGTGTATTCGTTTGGGTTAAAACTAGATACCTGAGAGCTGAACGTGCCTTTATCTGGGAAAACTGAACAAGTGCAGGGGGACGGTTAGCGACCCTGTAGAAGGTGGTGCGCAAACTCCCACTCATGTTCAACTCTGACCTCAGTAGCAGCATCCAACGTCCCTGCTGACACTTAAATATAGAAACCATGAGAACAGAGTCCCTTTCCCAGCATGCCCAGGAGCAAGGCAGCGACCCCCCGAGGATGGCCTTGACCGGCTGGGGGATGCTGAGAGGAAGGGTTTCAGGATCTAAGTGTTCCCTCTTTAAATTTAGTCTCAGATGGATGATGATGGTCAACCCCCCTGATATCTCTTAGAAATGTTAACACAATGACATTTTTGGACAAAAATAACTTCTGAAATAAATCATTTCTAATCACTTAGCTGCTGTTCACAGCAGCTTATTTGCTAACGCCGTCAGGATACCGCCACTTTGGATGGACTCCAAAATGAGGAAATTGTTTTGCAGCTTAAAGAATCAGGACCGTCATTGGTCATGAGAAAAAATCAAATAGTTTCTCGCACAACGACCCGTTCTGATGTACAATGTTGCAGTGAGGCTGAGGAAGCCTCTGGCTGAACACCTGTTTCATGTTTGCAGAATTGTCCATCATGGTCATCTTGTCTATTCCTAAATACCTTTTACTTCTTTACTTAATCAGGTTCAGAGTTTTGAGCAGTCCTTTTGACAGAGACAAATCTGTTTCTTAGTTCAGTTTCTGGGACTCTGGCTGTGCCGGCTGCAAAGTAGATGTCACTTTCCATCACAGGCATTTAAAAGATAAGCAAAATCCTAGTGCATACACACTTTAACTCTCAACGACTGAAGTATTTCTGGTGATGACAACACGCTGGGTTGTATGAAAAATCCTGAATTTAATATCCATCTTCCTGTGTCCGATCCAAGTGGGGAAGGTGCAGCTGCCAAGGGGAAAGATTGTCCTTCTCAGAGGTTCTGTTTAGAATATAGTATGTTCTTTCATTCTGCTCACTGCTAAGGACGTTTCATGGACTGGGAGCAGAGAAGCGGGCCTCTTCATTTCAACAACTTCTCCAGCTGCTCCCAACATAAATAAATGATAACTTCAACATTTTGCTGTTTGTGTTGTGAGTTTGACATTCAGTTAAATTGATTTAAAACTCTTGTTAGAGTGCACTTCTTTTGCATTTTTTGTCATGATAATTAACACATGTTCTTTTAACAAAAAAAATACAGTTCAACTATTTGAATAAAAGTGTGACCTTTGGCTGTCCCAGCTGGGTAGTGTGATTATCACAAGACCCATTAGCATCTATTAGCATCTGTTAGCATCTCCCTCACAAGCATTAGCATTGTGAACGGTGCCCCAGCATGTGGTCTGCTGCTGGTGTGACCAGCAGGAAGACGTTTCAGTCAAAGGAAGGAAATTCACAGTTACAAACTCCATCCCAGGAGCTTTGATGTGGACTTATTTTATTTTAAGCTGCTCTTAATTTGTTTTACATGCCAGCTGTAGTAAAGTCAGCTCAGGCTAACGGTGTTAGGATTTATGTTCTACTTCTGAGAGCTGCTGCAGGCTTTCATCTGACAATCACTGCTGCCTGGGAGAGATACATCTTCTCTATCTGATTGAATTACAGGTGACCTTCACTTAGTATAAACCTCCAAACTTAAAAGTATGCAACACCTAATGGATTTCACGGGACCGCCATTTCATCCACATAAACCTAAGATCTGTGGGTGACACATAAGACGTTTGTTGCCTTGTCTTTAATCTGATCTAATCCAGCTCTCTACCAGATTACAACATAAACAGATCAGTTTTTCTGGGTTCAGTGTGTCATTTAGAAAAGTTCCAAAACAACAAGAGACAGATCTGTTTGGACCTTTATTTTACTACTCCTGACACATTAACAGGGTCGTGATGCATGTTACGCCCCGTGACCTGATGAGCCAAATGGATAAAAACAGAAGGTGTCCACCCATGACTAAAAGTAATTTATGCTCAAAATACATTTACATATATATTTTGTAAATTAATCCTGTCTGGGGGTTATATGTAACTCCAGATGTTAAAAACATTCTAATTATAAAATTTCAGTCTTTAATTGGCATTTTCCCAAACATCTTGATAACCAATTTTGAAAAGAACATTCAGATCTCCTTGTCTTTAAAAATCTGGGCTGGCATGCCAGTGTTTAAGATAATAACTTGTCCAATAGCCACTCAAGTTTCCGCTCAATAGTCTTCTGTGTGACTTCTTTGTAAAAAGACGATAATAGCTTGTAAATAATCTCCTGTCTCCAGGCTGAAACAGGATGGAAACTCAAAAGATGAATGTGTTTCCTCAAAGACAGAACCGTCAGTTGTTCATATGTGGTCAAAGCTGACATCACTGATGAGGTCACCCCACAGCCAATTTCCCTGAGAACTGAATACAAAGACCAGAGTCTATTGTTAAGCATCCAGCTGTGAAAAAAAAACAAAGGGCTTTTTATTACCATGAAGGTTCGAACTGCACTTTTTTTTTTATCGGTCTTAACCCAGTACACACGGACTGGACCAGTTTGATGGTGCTCTGCTTCCACCACCAGTCTCACCAGTATCTGCCGGTGCAGAAGCTGCCGGGTGGAGAAACCTGAGCCCTTTATCTGTTGTGTTGTGGCTCAGTGCTGCTGCAGCTGCGGCTTTTCCTGCCCCACGAAGACAATGTGTTGGGCTGGAGGGGGGGCAAGCCCAAACAGGAAAATTCTAATAAAAACACACCTCCGAAGGAATCTGCCCCCGAGATCTGATGAGCTGATGTTCTGCTGCCTTTTGTGCCCACAGCAGCCGTCGCAAACCAGTTCAACCCCCAAACCGCACTCTGAACACAAGCTGAAGAGCTGGAGGAGCTCCAAAATACAGGAGTCTGCAACTTTTTACGTCATTTGAACTTTTCCAAAGAAATTAGTTATTATATTTTATGAGAACAGTTTTAAGTTTTAAATGTCAATTGGTGAGCAAAAAAGTTGAATCCTGCCACCATATACATAAATTATTCTAAATTGGCCCTAACATGAGTTAATGGCCGTGAATGTTTGTCTCTGTGCGTGACAATGGATGGATTTAATCCCAGAATTTCATGGCAGAAAAGCATCCAAATAAGAAAAGATTAGATAAACATCAGTATTCCTGATGATTTGACCACCAGTGGATTATCTGAGACAGATGAGGGTGTCAGGATTGGGTATAAACAGAGTTTCCACCATAGGCTAAAATTTCAGAAAGTTAAGGAAAGATTGCCAGAACAATTCTGGGACTGCTTTGATGTGGGTCTACAATACTACTATAATGAATAACCACAATAAACATTTCACAAAATGTGTTGTGCACACTTCCTCTTTTGTAATATATCCCAAAGGATTTCTCACATATCATAGAACATGTTGCTTTATTATCAAAGTTACTGGGAAATTTGTGTTGTGTCAGGATCAGACTCACAATCCTTCTGTTAGCTTGACTGGATGAAAACATTTGCGCTTTTTGGCTGCAATTTTGAGATGCACTTGTATAATTTCTCTCATAAAAGATGGTCCAATCTATCCTGTGCTACATGAAATAATAAAAGAGGAATTGGAGTCCTATGTCTTGGTATTCAGAGAATTCAAACAACTCTCATCTTGTCTCCTACTCACAGATTCCAGGTTTTTTCCATTTTTCTTTTCTTTTTACTCAGTTTCAAAGTTTCCTGAACAAAAGAGGCTATTCTTACTTGACCCACAGTCCCTTCAGAGAAGGTTGAGTTATGGCTTACCCCAATGTAACAAACTCCTTTATAATAGGTTTGAAGAAATGTTTTTCAATACATTGGGTGTGTGGTTACTGACAAATTCCCTTCACCTCAAAGTGGGAATGTGAAACTTTTCTTTCCCCGCTCAAATGTATCAAAGGTAACAGTCATTCCATAAACAAATGGTGATGAAATATTACCCATATAAGCAGCAGGTCTTAATCTTTGTGAGTAAATAGGAGGAAAGGAATGCGCAAACAGGAAAGTTCAGATGACCTTGCACCTAAAAGAAGAATCAGTGAGTCATTTTGAGAACAAAGTGATCAGATATTTGTTTTCTTGCCAGAGAAGTTCAGCTGTATTCAACAGCGTTAATTTGCTCTGAGTATTTCGGAGCTCTACAGATCTCAGTAGTGGCAGACCCTGAGGATGAGAAGAGTGGGAGTGGAGCCGAGTGGGTCACTCCACACCCTCAAATAATCCACTTGAACAGAAGGTTGAAATTGATTAAAGAAAAAAGATCTGCTGTTTTTTTTCTAAAATCTTGACCTATGCACATGCATTATAGACAGTTTTTTTAAATATCTCAGGAGAGCATGTCAGCCTAAAGAAAAGGGAAACCATGGTTTCTTTAGAGTCCATCTAAAAGCGTGTAAAGAAACAGGGAGTTTCCCAAAATCTCAAAGACAGACATCGCTGAGAGCGGCTGCCTTGTCCTGTCTGCTGAGGGAAATTTGTAAAGCATCAGGAAGACGTGAATCACAGCCACAGACTGTTTAGCAACACCGAGACAGAATAAGCTTGCAAAACCCCAAAATCAGCAGTTTCCTGAAACACTTCCTAAAACACAACATGGTCATTATTTTCCAGAGTTGTTCCTCACTTAAAACCTCCAGTCTGTTGATCTGTTTTAAATTCAGTAGTTGATAGGAGACGGAGGGAAACACATTTCAATGGGACAAGACAAAAAATATTTAAATCTTTGAAAACAACCCCTGATAGTGTGTCTGCAGCCTGATTCAACCCTGCATCCATCAGACCCAAATGTGCCCAGGCACTCCCCGGTATTATGTAAAGACTGAAGTGTCCGTGATGACTGTTTGCTTTTCTGTCTGCTTCTGTCTGACAGGCCCCTCAGCTCTAATAAAATCCAGATTTCATAACCTCATCAGACAAAATCAACAACTGATAGCTCGGAAGCCGATATGAATTTAGCAACGCTGATGTGAATGTTGATGTTCATTCTTTAAAGACCCTGTGATGGGCTGGCCCTTAAATGTGGGAGCAGAGTGGAGGACGAGCAGCTGGGGCCGATTTGCATATCCACAGATCCGTGCATTTCAAATGAAGCCAAGGTACAGAGTTACAAATCTGGCTTTTCAATGAAGGATATGGAAAATTAGACTTCCAAAGACGTGAGTCTGAAAAGCAGAGACGAGTGTTTGCATGTTTCACAAACACAGGGGGGTATTACAGATCCTTCTTTTTTTTAAGGAGAAGCTGCTTTTTTTTCCCATGACATGCTGCTTTGAGTGACTCATTCGACTAAACCTCCACAATGGAGGAGCACACGCAGAGTAAATATGACTTACACCAACACAATAGACACACAGTTGGGAAACACACCAGACTGAGGTAAACCTGACTCTTTCTCTAAGCCGGGTGTAAGTATGATCCGTCTGAACCAGTTGCACAACCTTACAGTTTAAAAAAAGGATGAGAGGGCACGCGATGGCAGCGAGCTCGGCTTCTTTGTTGCTGCTAGAGTCTCTTTCTCACTGTGGATGTATCTCTCTTCATGTTTAGGCAAACAGGGAACAAAACTTGGCAGGAAAACCGGAGCAGCCCTCCCCCTTCTTCATCCCTCTCCTCCCCCCTCCCACCCTCTCTCCTCCCCTTTTCTCTAAACGTGTTCATGTTCATTCAGAGCTCTGTCGCTCAGGCCATCACACCTCTCTGCCCTTTGTCTCTGCTCACTCTTTGTGTCTCCCTCCATCCACTCATACGTCCACCCGTCCATCCTTCCTCCCCCCTTCTCTGCCCGTCCATGTGAATAATGTCCAGTTTCAGGTTTCTGTCACTTAATCTGCTTGGAGGCTCTCTGCTGCTGCTGCTGACTGCTGGTGAGTCTTTTAACTGTCTGACTGACTGTTGCAGCTGTTCCACTTCCTGTTCTGGTGAATTAATTTCTCTGTTTAGCTGTAAGTTGACATGTTTGCCCCCCTTCTCCTTCTCCTCTGCTGCTGCTGCAATCGATTGAGGTCTTCTTCTGTGTTTTTGTGAGGATAACAGAATCAGCTCACATGTTGACTTTAACACATGCTTGTTTGTTTAGACTTCAGCTATCTAAGTGACTGCAAATCTGTCAAAGAAATGACTCAGATATTTGCAGAGATGGAAAAGCCGCCACATTTCAGTCTGCCCTGTTTTAAACTGTGAATGATTCTGGTAGGTTTGATCCCTGTTTATGGGGAAAGACACTGCCGTCAACATGCACCAATATTTTGATGTTGATACTTTAGGGGTTTTGTATACAAGACTTGTTGTCTGTAATCACTGGTTATTGTGAGGAAAGTTTGTGAGCTGATTCTAGTTTGACATGAAGCAGTTGCACAGCTCACTCTATAAAATGAAGTAAGCCTGTTTACGTGCCCCATCATGGTAGTTAGTTTGTAAAAAAAAAGGTTTAATTAGATGTAAGCTGATGGGAAACAGGGCTCACAGGACTTGGGGTGTGTGTCTTATGCTGTCTGCAGAGATGTGCTGGTTTCAGAGGAGTTTAAGAGTTGATTTAACTGGCTTTGAATCAGGTGTTTGTCCACCTCCATCAATTCAAAGGCCCGTCTCAGTTCAGTGATGTACTGCAAGAGTCCATTTTGGTCCCTCATTCCCACACTGAACCACTTTTTAAAAGTCTGTCTCGTAAATGCTTTTGATTTAACAGCAGCTTCTTATCTGGATCCACAGCCGGGGGGAAGATCTGATTTCTTACTGGATTTTCATTCTCATCCAGCGTTTGGGCTTTAAAAAGTCATCGCCAACTCCGAGCAAATCACAGTTTAGCCGTTAAGCTGCTTCTGCCCAGATTGGTCGTGTGAAAGTTGTCTGATTGATCACCCCATGAGTGTCGTCGTGGACTCAGGAATCAGCGCTGACTGTTCAGGACAGATGTGAACAGCTGTTTATGACGGCAGAATTCAACCAGCTAACGGCTGCTTCACCCTGAGCTGCACACGGCTGACAGTGAAGTTAATGTCTAACTTTATTTGAGCCGAGTGTGTGTTTGACTGTAAGTGTGTGTGTTGGAGTCAGAGAGCGTTCATTCAACAGCTGGTTTTGGTCAGGTTTCTCTAATGATCATGTGACTTTGCCAACAAACGCCCCCACAATGCTATACAGACCCCCTCAGGCTTTTATTTTCCCAACTTCCTGTCACACTCCTCTGTTTTTTCTTCCTTCCCTCTTTTTTTCTCTGCTTTCTCACGTCTCTTTCATTTAATTCTTCCCCCTTTGCCAACTTTCATCCCTCGCTGCCTTCTTTCCTTGTTCCTTATCTTCCCATGCCTCCTTGTCTAACCCCCCCTCCATTCTCTTCTGACTTTTCTTTCCTCCCTGTCTGCTTTCATTGTTCTTTTTCACCTTTATTTTTATTCCCTCTTTACAGTAATTTCTGTGCTGGGAAGAACCCCCCCCCCACCCCCTCCATGCCCCCTCACACGGTGTGACTGACAGGTGAAATCAGACTGTGTGTTGGTGTG